AATTATCACAGTTTTCTATATCTTATACACTTGGTTCATGGAGTGCTTAAACCGCCAAGAAAACGCAATAAAAATATTCGGTTATGATAGCAGTACTGTCTAGCTCAAAGATACACGTAACTGTTCAGGTATTTGTTATCTAAACAGCTTTGTTCTGCATATGTCCGACCCGAATCCATGCAGTTTCCCGCCAGTCAGAGGAATTGACTTTTACCTTAAGAATTACTACAGCTAGACTACAAAATAACAAGTAGGGAAATATATAAGAAATACTAATCAAACACAAGACGATAAGGTGGAAGCCACCAAGTATAAACGTCAAATATTTAGTTTACGCATGAAACGACTTATATGTATAGCGGTCTGCAGTGAGATAGGATTAATATGACTCGTTTAACCATAACACAAATATATTGTGACCAAGAGGATCCTGACTTGAACCAAACGTACTTATCCACTAGCAACAAACTGGATAGAATAATCCAGGCAATCAGACAAGACAAAATTAACTCCCTCATCAAAAACACAATATCAAGGAAACCATTGGAAAATAAAAACTGTAAACAAAAAATTAAATAGAACCCCCTTAATTAGTTTATGAACATGATATACGTGAATAAACGGGATTAAGGAAGTAACGTTAGACATAGGCGGAAGCAAAACAGAATGTATACATGTAGGATTTTCATAAGTGCGCATGAATCGAAACAGAATGATTGTCCTGGAAATCCCTCAAAAACGTTTCGTTTAGTATTGTTATTTCTTGAACCGTTGTCTAGAATTTATTTTTGTGAAATTTTCATTTGTGGAACCACATTTCTCGAGCCGGTAGGTAACCCTAGTTCTATTGGTAGAAAAAACTAGACTAGTAGGGTGTATGTCCTTATATAGCTCATTAGACAGCACATCGTGGATCGGGGGTTATCTGTTCAAACGCACAAAGCTTTTCAACATTCGAAATAAGATAATAGGAAGTATGATACACATACAAAATGAGGGAGTGAGTGAATAGTTGAGCCCCATTTTTTTGACATATACTTAGTTGTTTGAGGTCAACTCTAAAGTAATCAACCTAAGTTGTTACATATTTTTCGGTGCTTTTTAAACTAAAAGTTTACCAGTTGACTCTGGTTAAGAGTATCATTAGGTTTATATTTGTGTTGCTCAGAACGACAGGTAATAAAGTCACTTTTGTCTAAACTCAAAGCTGTGGAGCAAAGAAGTTACTTCTTTTCGATCTTAGAATGTGTACTGAAAACGTTTACAGTTTGTCTTGAATCTTAAAGACAGAAACTATTTCACTTTCTGTTAAGAATATTATTTCCGATTCTAGGGTGCTTAACAGTTGTATTTATTTACCACCTTTTGCTTCACAGTACTTTATTTGCGCCATGTAAACTTCTGACTGCATAGTGGGTGGGCGGCATTGTCGAGGCGTTCAAAAGTTTTTTATGTTATTTATTACTACTAATTTAATGTAATGCAAATTAGCAACAGAATTTGTGATTTGATGTAATCATTGATCGTGATTGGCCCGAGGTTTGAGTGATTTCACCAGATTATTGGGTGGCAACAGAGCATGATGAGATATCACTCACAAGACAAACTGAGATAGAGATCATTGGGCACAGTGACCTCCTAATCTTAGTACGCATACATCCAACTGCCATCAACGAGAAATAGAATATATGGTGATTTCATAAGACCTTATCTACCGTTCTCCAGAGGCTATTGATGCTTATTGAGTTAAAGTGAGATTTTCAGTAGTTGCTCCACAAAACGCACTTGCGTGCCATGACTGCTCATTTTGTTGTCTATCATGAAAGCGTCACCTCTTATCCTCCCACCGTTTGAGGACTATAGTCGCTACGAAGTCTATCTTCACAAGGTTTTTTCCTTGATTTTCCAAACCATTATGCTCAAATTCTCTAGACTGGTTCCAAAAGATCCTCATCACTTTGACCAGTGTGGGTGGTACAAAGTGTATCTCAAAATACAGAGGAATGAATGTTCTGAATTGTTGTCAGAGTTTTTGCTCTCACATGTTACTGGAGCAAAGTACATAGATTTACTTGCAACTCACGATTCCAAAATTAAAATAGGACCAAACTCAATTTCGGGCATCAAAGTTTATCCAAAAATTATAAATGATTGACTCGAATATCGTCCCAAAAATGGTTATAATAATTACGAAACAAACCTTTAATTTGTTGGTTCATGGTGCAAAAACTCAAATACCAAGCCAAAGACAAAAAGAAACCAAGATTTCCGAAGCCAAACAAGCTCATAAGTTGAATAAATCAAATAAATCCAAAACACAGTGAAAGTAATCATATTCAGCATGACAGTTTTTAATCAGTTAAATTTCTTCACTTCTGTGACATCAAATAATACCGGAGCTAACCAAGTTGAATTAATTTAACGCAAGTGCCACTTTTAACACTTTAGCAGGAGTTGTAGGGAATGAGAACATAAGTCGGCACAGCCAAATGTATTTAAATACAGTACTTCAGGATCTCTTAGTGAGGTCTGAGATCCGTACAGTAAATACTTTATTCGAGAAATGTCTATCAGTTTTCTCAGGCTTCATTGTATTATCACAACCTTTGAAATGCGAAATAAATTAAACTTGAATTACTATACTAAGCCGAGCTCCACTTGGCAAATATCAAGGGGAGAAAGTTGACTTATTGTTTGAATAGATACAGTAACAAACGTCATAGCATAAATGTGTACAACAATGACAAAGACCAGTCACCATTGATATTTAACTATTATGTCTACAACCAAATGCTTGATTGGAAATTTAAACAGTATTTTTGATCATATAACTCCTGAATTAACTACTATGCTCTGGCTAGCGTGTATCTCATTGGTGCACCATCTGTATTAGCTGTAATGACTACAAACGCTCGACTTTCTTAACAGGAAGCAGCACAACTAATTTTATGGTTGCTGATGGACACCGATTAGCATAGCTTAAACACAGTAGGTCACTAAAAGGTTTGGTACTAATTTGATGCAAAACATAAGAAAGTACAACATAAACAGTTTAAGTGAACAGTTTTAACAAAAAACGGCTGTATAGCCAATTTATATTTTCAAAACTTGATATAAATATACTGTAAAACATCAATCGCAGATATACTTAGAAACTCCAGAACTTATTACTTTTCAAAGAATGAATTGTCTTGTGAAGTTTAGTCTATTTTAACCCACGCAAAGGTGAAAAACCAAATCTGGAAGATAACAAGTAAATAGATTAAAAAGCTGTTTCAATAGGCTGAAGAAGTACTTCACTCCAAAAATAATTCATATCAAGTAATTCAAACAAGTGAGGTCAGAAGACGGTTAATCAACATGGCGGTCGCTGTGATCAATTGCCAAGTAATGCAAAGTAGCTATCAACCATAAGATAACAAAACAGTAATAACATTGCAATAAAAAACAGTTATAACTAGGTACCAGCTTTAAACCAGTTCTAGGTCAAAGGTTCAACATGTCATACAAAAAACAGATTATTGGTTCGCAAGCACTGTAATCAAAAAGAAACAGAACGCTGACGTTGTTACATAGTAGTTATTTTTCGCTGTCACACATATATGCACAATTGCATACCGAAAGATCTTATACAAGTACATACAGAGAGCTTGGTTCTCCCTGATTACTACAATCCTTTTATAGTTGTCTGTGCCAGAGGTATAGAGAAGGACACGCAAAAAATCCTACACACAGCATAAAAGAATGAGGATTAGAACATCAAGTCAATTTAAATGTTTGGACACTAATTAGATATAACCATGTCACAAACTTAATCATGTACTCCGGGACACAGTAGATGACCTGCTGAGTTTGTAGTTGACACTTGTTTAGACTGTGACAAACTGTAAAGGGTGGCTGATACGACATAGAGGCTATATAGTACAATGAGCAGTGGGCATAATACATCATGATATTTTAAATTTGCCTGGCCAACACTATAATGCTCACTTGGGGGCAGCTGTTGTTATAAACCATGATGTAATTCATGACTTTAACTTGCTCTTTATGCTGGATAAGAAAATTACTAAATTTTTTGTCACTGTATCTATCACCAACATGTTTGCGAAGGACAAAGTCTTAGTGCTGAAATCCCTTTTAATAACGGCGGATTACCTTTAAACCTTCAAGAAAACACTACATAATGTTCAGTAATTCACATAATTGGAAGGAGAAAACTAAGTGAAATCAGGAACTGTGTAGCCTAAAGACCGTATAGAATAACTGAGCTGCAGCCGTAGCTTCCATAGTCTTTAAACATGATCATTTCATTTCAGTTCTCAGGCCTCTGATATTCTGAATCTAGTAGAAAGTTAGAAGTCAATATTCATATAGGTTTGAAATAGATTTAGATTGAAGATCCTGGGTATGTTATATCAACAAGTAGTATCATTGATTATTGGTCATAATTTCAAAAATCTAGACTCCGGTGTTGATGGAACGGCATGAGATTTAACTAACTTGCTTAACTCACTGACGACATCTCAAACTGACAGTTCATACAGTTCATTTTGTCTGTATTACTAGCAAAAGAAATGAGCCTCTAATATAGCTTATAAATTTCAGCACTCTAGATTAATCACGATTAATTGGTATCCAAAACTCGTCGCCGTATGTTGACGTATATATATCGGCTATATGAGGAAGCTTATCAAATGATCCATCTTTATGGAACATCACTCCCTCTGGGATAAAATCTCTCGGATTAAAAACAACTGAATTGTGGTAAGAACCACTACCTGTAGATTCAAATCGTTATTTTCATAAGCTTTGTCCTCCAACTTTAAATATAATAACCCCTTTAGATACTGATCTGAATTATTGAAGAACTCCATAACTCCTCTCCACCGGTCATCTTAGTCATTTCTTTCCTTGAATGTAGATAGAGAAGGAGTCTTAAAATGTTATTGAGCAGCATGAACCATGTATTGTGTTTACATGCACAAACAGACGTCCTTGTTATTGTCTCACCAATTATGAAGTTATGCTCCGACTGGTGGATTATGCTGTGGTTGTTGGATACGATTTCGAAAAGTCAGGTATGTTTCCAACCGAGGTATCCCATTTAAAAAAGGATGTAGAACTCGACAACTTCTTCGGGTTTAAACTGTGGACACTTTTCTACGTATTTTATGAAACATTAGTGAGTAGTTATTTCTGTATGATGCTGACGTACTTCAATTCCACCCACTTGTTGTATGATGATGGGTTCCTTGAGGCACAATATCTCATTTAGTATATAGAGTTTCCATGAATTACTTGCTGTAATGATGCACTACACAGTAAAAGTATTATCACCTATATTTATTCGACGTGTCTCAAACCGCTTACCAATATTGATTTCATTAGTACATTCGTAGCTCGCAAGTATCAGCTATAGGGCACTATGTCGGTTAAATGCATTAATATTGGTCATTACGATTAGCCAAAACCAAATTATTATGTAGTGGGTCTAACTATCATGACTCACGACCCTAGCTCTAGTTAAATTTGTAGTATTCGTTTCCCCACGTCACTTGCATAAACTGGACATATGAGGTAATCGCGAAATTTTTTAGAGGCTTTCCAGTAGGACACTCACAGGTGAGCTGTAATGGACATCTCACTCATTCTGTATCTTACTCCATTATTCTACCATGGGTTCATATTTTTACTTCAGGGTATGTAGATCCCCTTATTAACTAAAAACTAAGAAAGGATGTTCTTCTGTTAAGTGCATTAAAAAACAGCCAACACGTCGCACACATCCATCTTCAGATTCAGAAGTGTAAGTTGTATTTTAAGTGCCGCACTGACTCCCACCGCAAGTAATCAAAAAAGCAAAAGTATGGAGTAGATTACGATGCAGGTCGTCCGACTGTAAATTAAGGGTTTGGAGTTAGTGCAGTCTTCTTGGCTGAGGATGGTACAATACCTGTGACCGATGGTTGATGACGGTCATCAGCACGAGATCGGTTTAAGTGACATCGTCTCATTCATTCTGTATCTTTGAATTTATGTGTTAAGTGTTATATCTAAGTTTCCATTCTCCGATCGTGTTCGGTTCTTTAGAACTGCATTTTCCACGACTAGGTTTTTATGCTGAGTAGCAGAAAATCTAAGTCCAGGGCTTCCTGTTGACTACCTCCAATCGCCGACTTAGGGGGAATCATCTTGATCTAATTGGTTCAAATGGCATTTCATTATAAACTCCACATTGCTTCATTTGAATGGCGATGTCCGAGTGAAAGGCTTTCAATAGGTTAAAGTAATTTATCAATGCATTCTTAACGCCTGATACTGCCATGAAGTTTGTCGACTAACATCCAAGTTCAGCCGTCAGGTCAATAAATACAACTTTAATCGGACATCGGTATGCATGCTCCAAGACCTGACGGCTGGTAAATACTTGATCTGTACACCCACGTCCATGCCTAAAACCAGACCCCCACTTTTCTTGGTTTCCGATAAAGCGTTAGATGGTCACCGAAGCTAATATTTCAGATACATCATTGGTCGAACTAATTCCTCTATGGTAATCACTATAGAATTCCTCTCCCCCTCTAATTCTCAAGTATCAGTCTGACGGGATCACATCTGATTTCTGGATAATCTGCTATCTCAACCAATCTAACTTAAAGCTAGGTTATTGTCTTTAGAAACACTCATAGATAGCTCATCCGAACCAACTGATTTCCCTGATTTAATTAGTTATGCTCTTTTCAACTTTTATGAAAAATTAAAGGCCTTATGTTGATCTCTTTTTCACACTATGAAATGTGGCTGACAACTAAATAGTAACTTAATGGCAGTCAATATGTCCTTCAACATCTTGCGCCCATCGTTACATTTGAAAGTAGTTCCATCGGTTCCATCGTTATCAGAGTTCCTGGAAGAGCTAAAATATTAACTATGACTCCTTTGGTCAGTTTAAACCAGTTGCTTATCTTTCCAATTCCCTTTCTGTCGTTCGTGATGAGTTTTAGTCGATGCTTCTCATACTGATTAGGTTTTCTTAATCTTTTGGTTCAGGTTGCTGACAAACTTCATTGTTATTTTCATAACCGATTACGAGCCATATTAGGCTACCTCAGTATGAACATCCTCTTCTTGGTCGGTCAAGTTCTTAGTTGGTTTTATGCTAGACATGCACTTGATATTCTTTCTTTTAATTAAAATTGAAGAGGTCTTGTTCCTGTTTATCAATCGACAGACAAACGCATATTGTCATCTGGACGTGGTCTATCGCCTGAGATGTGTTCCGATGGCAACAACAATCTCTTACTGATCCTTTCTAGAAGTGTAAGATAACGATGTGACTGAATTCCATAGACGTCAGTTCCCCCAAGATTACATATACACCTTGCTGATGAGTGTCGGGTAACACAAAATCTAGGCCCAGTACTTCCTACCAATTAATTCCATTCACCTAACAAAAAGTTCGGAAACCGAAGGAGCTGTTCAAGAGTCCTTCATACTGGCTTAATCTATCTGCTTAAGTGTTGAAACTACCCATCACAATTAGATTTAAGCGTTTAGAGTTCTGTAGGCCAGAAAGTTCCTGACAAAACTAATATCTGGTTTAGTCAATATGTCGAAGCGTAGGCGTTGAGAAAAAGCAACGAAGTATAATCTGATTTTTTCGAGTTCTTACTGTCCAGTTTAAAAGGAAAACTCAGAAGTGAGTACCTACTGTAGTCTCATCTGACAGTGCCGGTTTGCACTAGTTCTCCTTATTGACTAGGTGATATCAAGTGGATAATCATTCTAGACTCTAGTATGTAGATCTTGTAGACAAAATACGTCAATGATAAGAGATTCTAAGGCCTTGAATAGCTAAGCATATCATTCGATCTGATACTGAATTTTAAGGTGGATTTTTCTAAATCCTTTTGTTTGTGGGAGGTAACATCTCTAAATATATTGGTTATTCATGTGAGAACTTACTATTATATAGCTGAGTACAGTCGGTTTTGGAGCTTACGTTTTCTGCTTTTGATAGTCCCTATTCGATCAAGCTGCTTGTTATAATGGATCCCAACGAACAAGTGTTCCAGCTTTGACTGTAGTTTTTATTCTCACGCATTTTCCATCCTCTTTTTTCACAACATGGTTTCTTGTTATGTGCATGTTTTGGTGTTGCATTGTACCGCCCATCTTTAGGTTTACTTTTCTAATACACAGTTATATACTTTTTATCGAGTTACATCTACCTTAGCATTTTTTCTTGACTATAAACTCTTTATTTTCAATAATTATTCCCCTAGTTGGCGGTGAAAGTGAAGGGCAGGTCCTACAGAGATTTCCTACAAATTGTTGGGATGATTACCCTTACAATTTCAAAATTGAAACAGTAGGTTATTTGCTACCTTTCATATTGATAATTAAATTTCAAATTTAGTTTTGTCAGCCATGTGGTTGGTATCTCAGCCGAAGTAAACCACCACCAACATTCTTTGTCGCTTATTTGACAGATGTTGATGGAAATCCTTATTTTGCCGCATGTCTAACTTTTCATGAAACTGTGTCTCCTAGTCAATTGATAAATTTGAAAATCCCTCATCACACTCCTCACAGTAGAGTTAGACCTACAGGAAATGCATTCAGTAGTTATCCTCAAAATGGACCTATTAATAATGGTTCATTGGTTGTAAATAAAAATAAAACTTTCTTGCCTACTACAAATTCTGTTTCTAATAATGAAAAGTATCAAATTGATTCTTTAGTTCATGTAACGAACATGAATAGCAATGCTAGTTCACCTGCAAACTCACCAACCGGATTCCAAGATCAAGTTTTGAATTACTCTGGTCTCAAGTCAATTTATAATGATACTGATGATCCAAATTTAGTACGTCCACCGGAATTTTATGCACCAAAATGTTTGGTGTTCCTAGCTCGTCATCAACATTTTGATGTATTGAAAGTAAGTTATTGTTTTCAGTGTCATATCTTTCGAGTTTTCGAAAAATTGGGGTTTCCGAGGTTTCTGAACATTCCCTCAACAAGTAGTGGATTTTTTGGAGTAGTTTTAGGTTTTATTGATATCTTTATCTTTGAGAATAAACTAGTGGGATTATGAGTTTAAATATTACATCACTCGTTTTGCCTTGTCTAATCTATTAGTGTGAAGAATTTTCAGCCAATAATTACGATGCGTAACTTCTTCTACATAGATGTAGTCACTGAAAAATATAAATATATTTGAACATATACTATATAAAATAGGTTTTCTGTAAAATCGAATCTTTTCGTGGAGATAGACTGTAAACCGGATAATTGCAAACTGAAGAGTAAGAATATGTAAATTGGTTTATGGACTTAAAGATTCAGTTGCGAAAATACTATACTTGTGTCGCTAAAGGTAGGTCTTTGAACGTTCAAATGTTTTAAACACCTTTAGGGTTGCTTAAACACTGATGATTCTCAACACGAAATATCCAGTGTCACTAAATTATCCCATCTTGTATGTATAAATAAATATCCATCAACGGTAGTTAGCTACCATTCATCTCCAGCCACAAAGGTTGCGACTAGTTTTGCTCCACTGATGTCTTAATTATTGTCGTTTGATATATTCGAAGTATGGATTTTATCGTCTCTTGTTTTTTCAAAGGACAGATTCAGAGGGAAATCTACCAACAACTGTTATATTGCAACCTGAATTTCTCTGATTAGTTTTGTAATAGGTTATGTCTCATAAAAGTGTATGAGTTCATGTGGTTAATATACTTGTTCAGTTAAAATAAATCTAAAATGGCACTTTATCACAACATTTACACAGTTGAAGAATTAGTGGCCCAAATTCTTGACTGTCATGGTCAGTTTAACACTATATCTATACTAATTTACTATTATAACCCGATCAATATGTTCTTTTCCATATATTGATAAGAATACTTCGTTCAATATGTAAATCAGCATCGGTGCTTTATTGTTATTGGTCTTAATCCTGTCTATGAACCAATTGGAATATGGAAATAGGGATTCATTGTCACGCTTTGTTGTGATACACATTAATGTTCACCGATATTATATATATGTTAATGTATATAGGTCAGTGTATAAAGATCCTTAGCACTGATCAGCCACTGTTTAATGAACCGCTGTGGATAGCCTTAAACTAATCGTATCGATTAGCAATACTTTTGGTCACAGTTCGGTTTTTTGATTTACTTGTTTTCAAGTTTTAAGGCAAATGACATCATGTCATCTGAATGCGTTAGTTTTCATATGAACCAAAATTAAATTTGCGCAATCAAGTTCCACCTAGTTGCTTAATTCTCATTGCGCAACAATTTAACAAACAATATTTGTGGTTATAAAGGTTGAAAAGCCAGATTAATATTAAAATATAACAAGTTATTAGAAAAAATTAAATAGTGTGAGATGATGGAGAAGGTTTGTAGCTCAGATGGGTGATTTTGATGGAGCTTTATTCTCTGAGCTGGATGGTTTGGTCGTGGAGCTTTCATCGTTCTGAACCATCCAGCTCAGAGAACAAAACTCCATCAAAATGAAATAGTGTCCATTACTACTGACCAGACAGAGACAAGCAAAACAAAGAATGACGAAAACATTTCTTTGGTTCTCAACAATGAGGAGAGAAGAAATCAACTGTAAAGGTCATGAGTATATGTTGAATAGTATGAAAAGTCGTTAGTGGCCCTTAAGTGTTAATTATTCTTTGATTGTTGTGAAATTGAATGTTAATAAGAATGTGAGTTGCAAAGTAGCATGATGCAGATTTTTCACTACTGTTCTGTTGTCCCACACGATGGTACACTTAGTAGGACAGATTAATTTGTTTTGCCTCGATGTATATCTAACACTTCAGCTGCTGGTGCTGTAACTCCACGCTAGGCATGCAGTTAGGAAAGTTCATTATCGGATTTCGGAGTATTATTCATTATGATATGACAGAATGCTAGAAATGGCACAATTATGTATCTGCTCAAGTTGTCATATCAGTACAGGAAGTTAACAAGCTTGCAGTGTTAAGTGAAGACTAAAAGAAATATATATTTTATGTCCCAGGCTCAAATAAACATATGCACTATTACAGCTGACTATGAGCTATATCATTCAATTGACAGCCAATGATTATGGTCATTGTACCTTGATACTTACTTCAAACTAGGAATCAGTGATTTCTTAAAGTGATATGTTTTTATTGGTTTACGTACTGCTGTTAACTTTTTTCTAACCTACTATACATATCGAGTTGAGGTAAGTATTAGCTGAACATAGGTGTTCCTTTTTCAACCTTACTGGTTAATAAAGAGGTTATTGTGAAGATATACTTTTCTTGCCTTTCACAAACCTCTTTTCAAATCTTTGTCGAATTAACTAATGTTTACAGATTCATTTTTATTATACCGTCACGTTATAAGTATATAAACACAAAAGATTTCAGCAATTTACAAGTGGTTTAAACTTTTCTGTTTCATTGGGTATATTATTATTTATGTTTCTATTTAGAACAATCTCAGCTTATTGTATACAGTGTTTGCTGATTCACTACATCAGTATTCAATAGAACAAATGATCGCGACTTTATTGGGTGGCATAGAAGTTCCACCAACTGGTTAGTTGAATTCTTTAATATATTCCTTATTCATTCTTACCCGAAGTAAATGAATACTTTATAGTGTAATCAGTTCAACAGTATCTTCAAAAAGTAGCATATAAGTAGGCCGACAATGCAATAATACATACTATGTAAACTATAAAATTCAACTCTTCCTATAAATTCCCCTATACTAATGATGATAGTCATAAGGTACACTCTAGTAACTGATTTCGAAAGGTAGTTCTCAGTTGTAGTAAGAATTTGTAACCATCGTAGTTCAATCACGTTGGGTGTTAGGTAGTTGCTCTCTAATGGCATTGGGAAATGTCGCGAATTGATTGAGGTCCACCGTTTGTCTCGAGACTTCAAGGTCCTGAGTTTGACCCATGGAGGAGTCGTAAATACGCATTGTTGATAGGTCTCATTTTAGGACGAAACGGCTGTATATCACTTACTTGTTTTCAGTGGTTATCTAACTATGATCGGTTCGCTGTGTAAACTATTGAAAATAAACCGTATTTGTTTTATTCATTTTTATGTGAATTCCTAAGTTTTTTAAAGTGTCTGACTCTGTCTGTTTCAATTTTATGTGTCCTAATGATTTACTAAATTGGTAAGGCAGATAAAATCAGTCTAAGATAAAAACAAAAGACCTATTACATTCTTATATTTTTTCTTACTGTGTTGACAGTTGAAGATCGTTTGTTCATCGATTACAAGAAATATCCATTGTGTTCAGTATTCTACTTAAATATAGAGCGAACTTCGCCTTATTTCACTAAAATACATTTAACACTTGTATGAAACTTATAGTTTATTGTTTGATAGGTCTATTTTTGATTATAAAAACTCAAAAGCAAGTGTAATTATATAGACAGACACTTGATCATATTTTAAACCTTACCTTTTAGGAATTGATGTAAGTGTTAACTAGGCATTATATTGATATTCAACAAAATGATGTGAAGATAATATATATTCATTTTATCGAAGATTCACTACAATTTATGTCCTTAAATGCAACAGTTTATCATTGTGTGCTGTCTGATTTCATACTATTTGCTTACCAGAACATTTTCAATGTGAATGTAAGGCTAACTTCTTTTTCAACTACATTCACTAGATACTTTAATTCTTCTTCTTCCTCATTTGACTTAGTTTAAAAGTTTATTTATCCTTTTTTTTAAGTCTTAAAATGTCAAAAGTTCAAGGATTTTTACGGTGGTTGGTAGTTTTCCCTAAAAATTTGTATCATTTGGATGGTAGTTTTTCTTAATAAAGAAAAAGTCATTTTATCTGTTCATCTCTGACTTGATTTTAATCCCTATTTAAAAGTAAATACGAGAATTGAGAGAATACTATACATGTTAGTCAGTTCGTAGCACAGCCTCTTTTCAATACTGAATCTGCGTACTATTTCAAGCGTTTCTAAGCATTTTGGGATTTATCTAGTGGGTGGGTGCTGCATACAACGTTTTTTCAATCCTGTCTATTTTTTAGGTCAGGTTATATAGATTTAGATAGTGCCTTTTGGATTTATAAAATTATACTGTTTATATGATTGACAGCCTAATACACCAGTAACGCTTACAGTATTATTTATGACATAACAATTGTGTGGTATGTTTATCTATTTTCGTTTAGTTAGAATAATTACCAAAAGTTTATTAGTTTTAAAAAGTGTTGAGAAATAAAATTGGAAAGAGAATACGTTTAGGGGTTGGACTCATCTTCATCAAGTGTATAAAACTTTTTATCACACTGAAGGGTAATAATGATTTGCAGGGAAAAGTTAGTTTTGTTAATTTGTTAAAGATGATTGTTAAGATACCTTGCTCGATCTAAGTTTCGTGCTATTTGGTATTATCTCTATGGAATTTGGACCCGCATCATCCAAACGTCACAACGTAAGACGTTACCACTAATCTGACATTGATTACTACTCAGTGACCAATCAATCAATTGTAAAGTATATCATTACCAAGGTCTGACTTGATAATTTCGAATAAATTGAGAGTTAGACAGATTTTTATAAATAAATAATGAATTTGTAATATCCCAATGAGTAGAAAAATTAGATTTACTGACGTTTCGTGACTAGTGTAAGCCACGTCTTCAGAGAATAAATAACCGAATCAAGATTAATCCAAGTTTATATAGTACAACGGGACAAAAAGAATATTCTTGTTCTGTTTGTGTTATGTTGTAGCACTGACCAATGCTCATAGAAAACCCTCAGCAATCAATAGGCAACAACGACAAGGAAACTGTTACTCTGTGCTTGACGGTTGGCCCAATACTAACTAGCTTCGAACGAAGAAAAAGAATTCAAGACTAATGATCACCAGTCTAAGATCGTTCTTATATTTCAGACATACGTAGTCTATATACAAGCAGATCAAACCACATCATATCATAAAATAGACAATAACGATTATGCATTATCAAGCCAAAAAGTGGCTGAGAGTAGGGGAGACTGCGAATAAATTGTATAACAGTGTTTAATGGGTTAATGGAAGGCTTATGAGTAGAGGAATATATATTTAATAATAGTCCATAAATTAGTCTTGGAATTTACCATTCTTTTAGTCTTCGTTTGGATATAATAGTTCGAATTATAGAAGGAAGGAACTATTAGATTAGTCAATCATAGTAGGTATGCATTAAATTTCATAAGATGGCGGTTGGAGGTAGTCGACAGGAAACTCTGGACATGGGTTTCGTGCTATTGAGCACTCGTCAAAAAGATGTACCTGTAATCTTGAAGTAACCAAGGTTCCCTGGCAGATTCGACCCTGTGTCGCCCAACTTCACAGTCTGAGATGTTATCACAGCTGTTTGGGAGACGAATGACTTCCTGTAAGACAGATGTATGTACAATTGATTTATCACTAATCTGTGATGAATGTCATGTATCTTAAGTCATTCTTAGTAATAATCGAATCTTATCTGTTCCCTCAAGATTACAAGTACTCGTTTCTGGTAAGTGCCAAGTAACACAGAAGCTAAGTTGATTAGGTTATTTCGACTATCTTTAATTACCACCTAAAATTTCAATGTAGTGTAAGCGATGTTGAGTCACTTAGACTAGTGACCATACTGCAAATTGATCGATAGAATTCGGTCAATAATAAGAAGGACTTGGGATAAATAAAATTAGTCATTACTTAGTGATCAACCAATTGTGAATTAAAATATATTTTACATTATGAGATTTTGCTGTTTGTTGTTCATTGTTTAGGTCAGAGACTTCATGGATCTTCTTTTCGATATGATCATACTTAGTTTTTAAGTTTTTTTCTCTTATCACTTGAGGATTACCGATACTGCACTATCGACATACTACAATTTTTCTATGTTTTCATAATGTGAATTGTTTGTTACACGTTCAGATAAAATGTAAGATAACTGAAAACATTAGAAGCTAAGTTTAACTATATATTACATAAGTCTGTATGATTACTAAAGTTAAATTTCGAGCATAATAAACTTAGTAGGTCTTGTGCTAGTGAATTTGTGATTAGTGGTTAACTGTTTTTAGATAATAATTTAAATCCCGCCTACTGTAACATCCCATGTTGACTAGCATAGTAATAAGTGTAAAGGTAGCTAGGGATAGTCAACCCGATAGTATCATCTCTCTTTAGACTCATTGGTCGTTAATGTGATTCATATCGATAGGTTCTGAGTTTCTACTGTAGTTTTGTGCTATAGGTTTGTAAATAAACGGTTCAATGTCACTGTTTCATTCTTTACCTTATAGTCATCAATCTTATTTCGTATGTTAGGTATGCCTAATCACCATTTACCTTGATGAGCGATGCTTTTCATTGTGGAAGTAGGGTAAAAGTAAACCGGAGGCGAGTAACACAAGGACAAGTCATCAGTTTATAAAGTCATTAATATTTGATTAAAGCCATATCGGTAGATGTAGACTACCTATTTGGGGTCTACGTGATGATCGCAATCGGTAGTTGAAGATTTTGTGTCGAGATGATTCAGAATTGGTCACAGTGGTGCAGATACAAGGACTCTTTGTCTTACTTTAGATCTTAAACTCCAGCATTCCTTCATACATCCCTTCTTCTCAAACTATATTCTCAATAGTTAGTTTCACACATTATCATTGGTACTAAAATTGTTTCGGTTGTTTTGCTCTTCGACGACTTGCTAATTTTTCTTGTTATACTGATATTTCAAGTATAGCAACTTACTTTAATGTACATTTATGCTATAGTTCAATGAAATGTAAGCCGCTTAACCTAACCAATGAACTACAATATGAAATAAAATACTAAGGTAACTAGATTGTATTTAAACTCATGGCTCAGAGGTAGTTTTATGGTCAGAACTTCAACCAACATCGTAATTTCATTGGTCGAAACAAATGAGATTTCTTCTGTTTTGTTATTTTAGCCTCGATTGGTAACTTTTTTTTCAAGCGTATTTTTTATATTTTATTTGTAATAGGTGGTCCACGAATTACATTCAGTTTAGGGGTTGGTGATCGACAGACAATTCAACCTGCTCATTGTAGTACTATACCTGTGACACGGAATTGTGTAGCTTTACTATTTAAACACTTAGGTAAGATGTTGTTTTAAATGTATAATTTAATACTAGATTTTTATTCATCCTTCTTTACATAAGAATATGTGTATATAATGACTATTTACTTGTTTGTTTCTGTTTGCTTTTTGTTCCCGTTACCCAATCATATATTTAAGTTATGTTCATACCTACTTCTTATAAAATCAATCAGTGTATATACATACATGATGATTTTCATTTATTATACTTTGCTTTTAGTTTTCTGAATAATGAAAGCAGACATTTCGTTAAATGACGTTAGATAAGTAGAATGTCAGAAAATCGTTATATATTTTTGATTTAGTGAGGAGTTAATGTTCGTTCACTTTATTGCTAAAGTGATTCCCATCTGTAGACATGAGAGATTCCTCGTATTTTTATTTTCTTCATCAATGCGAATATAACCTGAAGTCATTGTATGCGAACCGGCTCGTGTAGATGCGTATCGTATCGGAATATAGTCAAAAAGCGTATGAGTGTTGAATTTGAAGTATTAGCTGTAAACTCTGAATTTGTCAAGACTATTAATGCTTTATATTTCATCCTATGTCATCTGATTTAATCAACGATCTAAAGTGTGTTTATAATTTAACACTTCATACTTAAGTTCAATGACTGATATAATACACAAGTATTATTATTTAAGTGATCATCAATCGCTATATACTTCTGACTTCGGAGATTAAACAGAACAATAGTCTAGTGATTGTTAACCGACAAATATGAAATAGTATAAAGTAAAAGACGTTACTAATTTTTAGCATCGACATATAAAGTTTGAGTTTCCAGATTGGCAGAATATAGTTAGGAGAAATACATCAGTTTTATTGTCAGTGTACAAATCCTATTTATAAGCAAATATGAATGGTGGCTAGCAGTGGAATTCAGGACGCGCATTTCGTCCTACTTGGGACTCAGCTGGATATATCTGCATCCCATAATTGACGCTCACTCTGGGACTCAAACTTACTACCGTTCGCTTCAAACGTCATCGCGTTATCCACTCAGCTAACGAGTCCTGACAGCCACCTGCTTGTGCAATGAGGTGACGTTTAAGTTCATTTGGTATTGTTTGTTTGAATCTTTCCATTGATGTTTAAGATTGGAATTGATCAGTCTCGTATTGGTATATGTGCATACTGTACGGATTGCCTCACTATTGCCTTAAGCCACAAACATTATAAGCAAATAGGACGAAACACGCGTTCTGGATACCACTGCTAGCCACCATCATCCTTTACTTGTAGTGCTTGTGACTTAAGGCAATATTGAGGCATTCCGTACAAGATGCACATATACCAATAAGAGACTGATCAATTGCAGTCCTAAACATCAATGGGAAGATTCAAACAAACAATATTAAATGAATCTAAATCTTATTTGGTATTAATAATTGGATTACTTAAATGATACTTTTCAAAAAGTAATTAATAGTGTATTTGAAATCTACTTCGATTTAGGTTTTTGTTTGTTTAGAAAAAGGCGCCCATGGTTACAGTAGTATAAAATGTGACACAAGAAAATCCATCAATTTAAGTCATCTAGAATTTCAAACTAAATAGTTCTATCATGAATTAATTTGATCATCAGCTTAGGTGTTTGATAAATGTATCTGTACTATTGTTCATTCCTTTTTGCTGCATTTTATACATATATTTTATTCATTTCTAGGCATACATAATGTGATTTTATTATTCACTGCAATTTTAAGTGATCAAAAAGTACTGGTTTGTTCACGTAGTGTAAATCGGTTAACGGAAGCATGTCATGCATTAACTTCTATACTATATCCTTTAAAATATAGGTAAGTTAATTCGAAATAATAGTAATAATGGTAGTGTAAATGGTTGTATATCTTACTTGGTTTTAAAACTTCCATTTCAAAACAAATATGGGGCCATTGTTTATTATTCACATACATGAAGACATGCATATCTTCATTGGGGTTTCAGTAGTGTAGACATGTATACGTAGGGAACTGTCAAGAGAGATTCATTCTAGTTTCAAACTTATATTTTTGTCTGGAAAAACAATTTTTTACTACATATTGTTAAGAACATTTTTGCGACCATATGTATATTCGTTCGTTCGTTGGTCGTATGTAATGAACTAATTGTGTACGTAAATGTTTGTATGCAAGTTTTCAGTCATAACTGTAATAGTTTTGTTCTATATGTGAAAGAAAAGTTTATTTCTTTTCTTCTTCTCGTTGATATATAAACTTCCTGACAGTAATCATAAAAATAAGCAGTCAAGGAATTCTTTTGCTAAAGTTTACTGATGGATAGTTTGATCATCGTGTGTTAGAAACTACCAAATTGATAGGTAATTGATGTTGGGAAGATCTAGAAAACTCGAAAAAAACCCAAAAAGGCTCTGAAAACATTGAGAAGCATCTTATCCAATCAGCATTCATTAGGATTTTCGCCAGAAACATCTAGAAAGTGACAAGTCACATATCGAGTTTTTGATTGGATGGTTACCTATACTTCTACTATATTTGGTATCGTTCCAGAATTTTCCGGAAACTCAAGGCCATCAAAGATACTATAAAAACCCTAGATTTTCCGTACATAAACGGACTTTTGAAGTAAAGCGTTTCTTCCATATTTCGCGCCTTTTCTATCGTGTACAAATTGCTGTGTAGATCTAGTCTGGGGGTTACTGGAAGAGCTTAGGAACCGAATCTAGCATTCAAGAAGAAGAATTACCACCTGGAAACATATCCCGTCAGGCTCTTAACATGATTAGGTTCGAGATCAGTTAAGATGTAAACTGGCAAAAAATCTACACAATAATCATGAGTATTGGTGGGCAGTGAAAGCAGAAAAAATGGAAGAGATGAGTCCTCGTGATTATCGTAATCAATGATTGCAGGCGTTGGGTGAATTGGTTCTAAATCAGTTGGAACGACTCAAATGTATTCATTCTCTGTCTATCTCTACATCCTGAATCTTAGATTTATTTTATCCCATCTATTCCCTACAAGCTTGTGACAATGGCTTTCGAGGCAATCTGCACTGGATGGACATAGTGTAAAAGAGACTGACCAAAATAGTCAAAATATCAACGAGATAATCTAAACCGTTACAAATGCAATTACGATACCCGTAGTATATTTGAATCAATGTGATCGGGCCGTTATTTACGGAGGCAGTTGTATTATCTGGTCTGATTGTTGATTAATTCACCTACATAGGCTGTATAGAACCAATGACCTTCCGTTAACTAGTGATATCATGGCCTTTTTATTTGAACTACGGCTAGATGATAGTATGATAACGACCAAGATCAATACTTAACACATACTGACTCAAGATACAGTTTTCCACACTATTTTCCCTTGTAATCAGAACACAACAAAGTACAGCAGTTGGAAAAACTTTTATTGTACAAGTTCAGTTCATTACTTGGAACTTGTGTGATCATGTAGATCAAATACCTTATCTCACAACAGTATGAATAAGAAAATATAATGTACATATAATTACACCATAAGTGAAGGGGAACTAAATAACAGATCTGTAATAAGTTAGCAACAACTTAAGAAAAACCCAACTTAGTGAATGCAGAAGAATATAGGAATACAATAACCCAAATATGTAATTATTATTACAGCAAAGCTATGAACATTAATTCATTATAACTAAGTTTGGGGATTTGTGGAGATTGTAGTAGTGTTAATAGTTAAATTCACGAGTCGATATAAACTAGACTACCATTGGAAATCTGGAAATACTGGATGGCCTTTTCTTCCTAGTATGGGACTCCTGAACAATGCGCATCCACGATATCACATGCAGGACTCGAGTCCTGGACCTTCAGCCTCGCGCACGAACACTTAAGCTCTAAACCACTGAGCCGGCATCCAATAGTGTTAATGTCTATCTTTAATCGATATATGATCTTGCGCAAGTTTGAGGTTACAACTTTTACAATATTAGCCCCGTTATGACAATATTGTAAATTCGATTTCTATAGGTAATACTACATATGTAATATATTCTACGTAATTTTCAGAAATTGTTTAATTTTATTTTTGTCCATTTTGTAGTCATACATACGTTCCTATACTTCCTAAATCATTGATTGAATTTGTCAATGCTCCAACTCCATTTCTTTATGGTATTCATTCAGGATATCAGCATTTACTATCTGATATGGTAAGTTTAGACGGTGTTTTATTCAATGAACATGTTTCTTTTTGTATGTTAAAAATGGAAACATTGAAGGTAAAAAACATCAAACAACATAGAAATTATATTTGAACAACAATAGCGTAAAACGTTTTCATAATATCTCAACTGTTTCATTTCTTTGTCAGGTAGCGCTATGTGATCTTTATGCTGACAAGTTTATAATTAGAGAAAATTTAAAACTTTTTACTAGTATAAGTTCTGTAATCAAATGCAGTATTAAAATACAACTAAGTTGGATTTTAAATGTTATTTAGGGTACTACTGGTCTTCATCAATCCTTAGTTTGACCATGAGGAGTGAAGTAGTTGTACATGTTGACAGTTTCACTTATCTTGGAAGTTCAATCAATGCTAGTTTGATTTCTTTTATTATGACCCAATTACTTTTATGGCTTAGTATTTTTGAGCACTATTTCGTTCGACAAATCCCCAAATCAGAACATGGTTTAACAGGAAGGCAATTATATTCCAAATGGATGGAAGTAGGAATCATAATAAGAAAAACGTTAGTATATTTATAAATTTTACATGAGGAGATTCTAGAGTCTTCTCTAAGTATCTACTAGCACTGATTAGTCAAGGGGTAGCCAATCAGCGTGCTCCAACGCAATCGCACACGGAACATGCTTTTATCCAATCTACATCCTGTTAACATTTCTCCGTTGAGCAGATTTGCAGAATCTGGTCCACCGGAAACCGCGTGACTGGTATGTGCTTTCGATTTGTCCACCTAGACAATAAAGAAGTTGTATTACTTTTGCTTGCACAGAGACTGACCTGTCTGTTCCAGGAGTATTGATTTCAAAGGTGTTCAGCAGAACATCAAGAGGTATTCTATGTCAGGTCTCGTTGCTGGTGGTCGAAGTTGCTTTCGGTTGGTTAGCATGACGCACCCAAACTTCTGAACCAACTTTCACTTCATAGACTACACTTCCTTTCTTTTACGCGATTCAACTAGCTATCCATATAGGGTGTTTTCCACAATAGTCCATAGAAAGTAATTTTTGACCCACAGTGAACAATCGTCTTTGTGCTTCATGATGTCTATTGAATTGCTTCTCCATCTTTATATTTCGTTGAGTCTCAAGAGTGGGCGTCGGACGAATGACATTGTAATGTATTCGTATTTTCCTGCCAAATAAAGCTTCTACTGTAGATACCCGTCAATTGTCTGAGGATTCGGTGTAGAACGATAGATAAGCAGGAACCTCTCTAAAATCTCTTCGGTGGTCCGCCCCCCTTTTGACTTTCGCGAAATATTTTTAAATGTACCAAAATAGCGTTCCACTTGGCCATTGGATTAAGGATGGAATGGAGGTGTTCGGACATACTTCATTCTTTCACTCCGACAAAATGTACTGCGAAAATCAAAGCTGAAATCATGGCCAATACCACAGTCACACTTGAACTTCGCTGATCACTTCATCGAAAAACTTACCGTTCGGCAGTTGATGCATACAGCGAGTGACCAGAAAGTTTTCGCATAGGACAAGCTACACAGTCAGAAAACTACGATAACTATTTAATCGTTTTGGGGTCCCAGAATTAATAGTTAGAGACAGTGGAACACAGTTTACGTCTGCTATCTCAGAATTTTGTCAGCAGAACGGAATCAGTCCAAATGACTCAGATATATCTACCTTTTGTCTATCCCTAGATTTCGAATCTGAAATTTATTTTATTCCTACTTTTCCACGAATTTATTCTTTCTTCTTGAATAATATACTTTATGTATCACTGATACTTAAAATATTTTTTCTCGTTTTGTTATTCATTTTGATAATTTCATCTAGATGTTCTGATTAATGTAGTTTAGTAACTTGAAGCAATAGATATACATATACATTGCTTTCTACTGGAAGCTGTATTCATAGGCTTATGTTATTAACAACTCTTTTAAAAAAAACAATACACTGTCAACTAGCGTCCCTTAGCCTCCTAATGACCACATTGATCACTGAGATTTGATCAAACTTACAGATTAAACATTGTAACCCCAGTAATTACTGTTTACCACTAATACGGATAATCGGATTAATTGATTATAATTTAGAATTAATTATTGTCTGATCGCTACTTGGTGTCATGTAATTAACTGATTAACTAACTAACTGCATAATTCATTGATTAGTCTGTATCAAATACATTTTTTTTCTCTCTCTCTTTATGAAAAAAAAGAATTAACTAACTAATTAAATTAAACTGGTTTATATTATTGTATGATGCTTCATGCTAATATTTATGTATTGATTGAGAAATACATTTGGTTACAAAAAAAAGAACGATGTGTTGTGCATACGAACCATATACATATATAATGACTAATTTAGAATTCGGATAAACTTCACCTTTTCAACACGTCTTAGTTTCTACTTAATCTATACGGCACTAATAACACTTAGTGAATATATATATATTATATATGGTAGTACCTGTCATCACCCCCAAGGTAAAGATACATGTGGATGAAAGTGGGAATATGGGATGATTTTGTGGTTGAATTATTCATTGATTGGTTGGTTATCCATTTCAAAAGTTTATGGGCACTTATTTTTTTAAAAAGAAAAAGTCATAGAGCTTTGTTGGGAATAACGATGTGTTAATATTAAGATTACTGTGAATGAAATGGGCTAGTTATTTAAAGTAAACAATAAGCGTTTTTATCAGTATAGGGGTTGTAAAGATTATTAAGTTTGTGATTGAGATTATGAACCGATTGATGTTAGACCACCATTGAAAACCTGAAAGCATTGAACGACCGTTTCGTCCTATTGTGGGACAGATCAGCAGTGCGCATCGTCGATCCAGCTCGCGGGATTCGGACATCTAACGTCTAGCGTCAGTCGGTTCATTGTCTCAATCAAAAACTTAATAGTAAGCGTTTTGATAATAATAATAGTGTTGTAATAAACGTATTATATATAATGTCCAAAACTAATGACCACTTTATAATCTTTGTCTAGGTATTATAAACACTTAAGTCTAATATATCATAGAATGCTTATAATATTATGTAGTTCTATTTTCGCCGACAAATAAAGCATTACTATTAGTGTTAGTAGTATTTTAAGAGATGATAGTATGTGTTTACTAATGATAGTGTATCACATTTATTGTTACATAGTTTTATATCGATTCTTTTTTTCTCTATATATGAAGTGCAGGTTTGAGTTAATGAGCGGTTTTTTGAATCTTCTTGTTGATGTTGAGGTCCAAAATTAATCTATCCCTTTTCACGTACGCACATCTTGAATTTTACTGATAACCACTATCCAAATTTACTAAAAAGTGCTCACAACTTAAGAACAATATCTAGACAATCCACACAACATGGATATATGTCAAAGGAGACTGATCAATTGCTTTCCTTAACATCAACAACGGAAACATTCGAAAAACCTTACAAATGGGATAAAATTCACTCTTGTTGCACAAGCCAGTAGCCAATTGGGTATAATTTGTTAGGTGTTTGAATCGAAAGGTACTAGGTTCGAGTCCCGCTTTGAAAATCGACACAGTGGTCTTGGTATATATGGCTGATTAGTCCTATACAGTGGTACGCGCCTTCTGTTATATTTGGGGAGTTCTCGCTGTTATGTACGTATTGAATTTTTCGCGTCCCCAGTCTTACTACCATAACTTGACAGGTAGGAACCATTTAAATTCCTCAACGCTGCTTGTTATACCAGTAGACAGGAGCCATTACTATTCCCGCGACGCAAAGTGAGAACACGAAAAACCGATGCAATGAAAGTCTATTGACTCCTTAAAAACACGTCTCTAAACAGGTCTTAAAATCACGTCATCCTTAGACCACAATATAATCATTTATATACCAGATTTTACACAAAATGATATCACATAGAGGGTAAATACTTGAGTACCCGACCGTTGCTGCTGCATTAATGCGGTGGTCGGGTTTGCCTATCGTAATGAACCAGTGGAGTTATACTGGCTGGAACAATAGTTCCTCAAGGTCTTACCACGTCAGACAGGTCAGTTGAAGAGCGGTAAGATTAAAAGCAGCAAACCTAAGGTCTGAGGGCGAAATTGTACTACAGAGGTGTGACGGTGTGGTGTGTGCTACTTATATTGACATAAGTAGTATATGACGCTAGTCAGGAACAGAATGTCTGGCAGCAGAGAGACAAGAGGATCGAACAGTAAGCAATGGAAGGAGAATGCAATTTATATGAAAATACATGAACAATGAAGTCTGAGTCATTTTGAGACCATTGATGGATATTTTGCAAATTAAGCATTTACTATATGATTGTTAGATTTTACTAACAAGTCCTGTAATTTTGTGTCAAATACATTCGATTGTCTCCATTGGTGTTCTGTTCACTACAACGGCAGTAAGGTGTTTCCTTCAGACAACCGGCATAACAGCGATTCTGCCTTCCAACAAGGAAGGGTGATGTTAGAAAAGTTCGACCCTAAAAATGCTCACCTCGCTTTATCCCACGGATATCCGTCTCCGGCAGTAAGGTCTCAACAAGTACGGAGCTAATTCGAAAATTACTCACAAAACAATCTTGTGTGGCGAACCTCAAGCAGTTCTCCTTCGGGCACTGTGGTCACGCTCTCAGGTCACTAAGACCACCTCTAATCGAATTTCCTTTTCAGGTACCTCCAGAAGAACCCTTCCACGGTGTGGGTAGCTGGGAACTGAAAACTGCCTGCATACCTCTGACAGCGCTCAAGATCACTGACTGAAATACATGAGTTTACAATAAGCACACTAAATATAGTTCACCTGAATAAATATAAGTAATAAAGTTGTTACGCTGAACGAGATTTCACAATGGTCTTATTGGATAAAATTTATACTGAATTGATACAACAAAATATTGATCTCAAAATGTCATTTTTAAATCTCATCATATCATATACTTTATCAGTGTGACCTTGGCTGATTGTAAATTAACCTGGTAGTGAAATTTTATACAGGTGGTTTTAACTATTCAAAATTCAGATAGTGTAAATGCATAGTTTAATTCTTAAAACTACGAAAGAGGTTAGTGATGGTGTTAGGAAGTTCCAAAGTATTCCTCGAAAAAGTCCATAGCGGATCAAAGAAAAGTTTGAAAACATTTTATTCAGTGTTAAATGTATTCATCTCAAAAACTTCTAGAACGTTGAAGACTCACGTGTTGCGTGTCTGATTGGATATTTACCTATACTGCTGTTACATTTAGTACGGTTCCAAAAATTTCTAGAAGCCGAAAGCTATATGTAATTCTATAAATTCCCCACGTTTTCCTATACATGAACTAACCTAGGAGTAAAACGTTATTTTTGCTCTGGAGGTTACTAGAAGCGGCTGGAAAATCGGACCAAAATTCGGTTTAGTATACTTATCAGTTAGGAATCAAAATTTGAATTCGAGATTATGCTTATGATGAATTATTAGCTTTTAAGGTTAAGGTTATCTTGAAAAGTGCGTAAAACTTTACAAAATTTAAATACACTTATTTTGTATATATATATATTTCATGAAAGACTAGTCGGTTTCCTTAATTGTCATTTCCGTAATCGCTTGGATTTTTAGTTTTGGCATTTTTTTAAGCTGAATATTATTAGGTTTTACTTAAATTCTATTAAAGTACAAGCTAACCATTACCACGTTTTGAATTTCGCGCAAAAATGCCCTAACTGCTACCTTAAATCTGATTAGTACGTTGTAAAGTATGTATTCGGTGTTAATTAATATCGATTGTGATATATTTGATACAAAAAATGATTTTCAATGGATAATCGGTTTATTTTTTCCTGTAAATACTCATCCTCTTGAAATCGGGAGTTAATTGTCATACTGTCTACATAATATTGCGCAAACTAATATCTGTTACTTTCGTAGTTTAAATCACGAATTAAATCTCAGCTAGACCATCGTTGGAAACTTTGAAGCACTGGATAGCTGTTTTGTTATGATACGAAACTCCTCAGCAATGCTCATCCAAGTTCACTCATCCATTGATCTTCTTGTACTAATAATATCTATGAGGATGGAATAGATATCCAAAAGAATAGAAAACTATTTTTACAATTATTTCTTTCCTTTAGATTACTTTGAATTCTTTAGATATCAGATTAGGACACGATATTCAGATATGTTACTACCAATAACATATGCTTCTGATTTATCAGAAATATGAAGTTGTAAAATAATTTTTTTGTAGTTAGATTTCGAATCAAACGATAATATTCATGGCAGGTTTAGACAAAAAAAATGATACATATATGCTTTTATCAGTCTTTAATATGATGTTCTAACATATCGATTTGTATACGACTGGATTTAGTTAGTAGTGGAATTTGGGATGGACATTTCGACCCGTTTAGAACTCATCAGTTGGGTGTATCCCCATTTCAAGAGATGTCTGTTGCACATGAACTTGTAATATGATGGGTATACTGGGGCAATCAGCGTATGATTGACCTATGACGAAAGATGGTAAAAATTCGGTTAAAATATTAATAACGGGATAATCCAAACCGTTGAAAGTTAAAATATCTAATTATAGTTGATGTTCAAGATCAAAGGACCTGGGTTCGATTACCAATGATGGGGTTATGAATGTGTCATATTAAGGAGTCACTTACAGCGAATATACTGCTGCCCTTTGCTTCCAGGTTGGCAGCATTCGTAACTTAGATCGGCTCGTTTTCTCTAGGACGTTTAGAAATTTCCACAACCTCCTTACAAGTTAAAGTTATAAATTAGCAAATTAATTGTGTAATATGATAATTTAAATCAAAACAGATGAAGGCTGTAATTGTCTTCTGTTTTTTGTTATCATTTTCGTGGTCGTATGTTACTAGGTTGATGTTTTTGTTGCGGATCTTGATGGAGGAAGTGTTGTGTGCCCGGAAAATATTCCTATCCCTCAACTGCCTGATCCATATTTCACTGAAGTTGTGGAGAATTTATTCCAGGTAAGTAAATAAGTGTACTGGAGTAGGTAATTGACTAGTTGATTATCTCCTTTTAATGTTAAAAAGATGACAACAGCATTTCTCTCCTTTCATTCATACGTCTGTAAATAAAAGGCGGTTACTTTGAGAGTTGAAGATCTTTTTTATTCCTGTTTGATTACTTTTGGAATGTTGTGCAGTGTATAATTATTGGGTCACTGAGTAGTATCCAATGTCTTGTTTGCCTAGTCTTTCAAGTTTGATGGAATTTTATCTATATCAAGCTACTTAGACTTGTAGCTTCATTGCAACTTGATCGGTAGAATTTCATGTGACGGACAGAAATTAGGTGTAACAGTTAAGTGTTAATTGATTGTAGACTGGTAAGTGATTTACTAAGTGATTTCCAACTGCCTATGTTATTTTTTGTGGGGATATTTTGTGTGTGTTATTTTATTGTATAAAAACTTATTCTTCTGATCAGTAATTTTGATCTCGAATCCTTCGAAAACTAAATTTAATAATTCGGTCCCATAAGAAACCATCACTCAGCCATATCATATTATTAGATGTCACTGGTTGGTCAGCATTCTTCTCATTGGTTTTGACAATTGAGAACCTGTTCATCTATCAACAAAACACCAATTCGTAGAAAAATTCAATCGACATTAGAGGACTAGAAAAGTTTGACACTACTCAGTGGTCAAATAGTTGCCAATATCCTGACCTTGCAGAAGTTCGGTTGCTCCCCAAGTATTTGGGGAATAAAGTCTTAGATTGTGACGCTGAATGATGCGGGTTCTAATCCAACAGGTAGCATCAGTTCCTTCGAGATCCCAGGTACACTTTGCTGTGATGAGTGCCAACTATCACTCGAAACCTATGTCCAATTGACTATTCCCTACCACCTAACTTATCTACATAGCACAATTTTTTTCGAGAGAAATGTTTGTGAATTCGTTGGATAATCTCGTTAGTTCTACACCGTGTTCCTTAACCTAAAAATCTTATTTGAATCAGTTATTGAAATGGTCAATTTGTTCTGATATATGACGTCTCAACGTAATATTGAAGTGGTGGTCTCTATCATCCTATCTTCAATTAGGCACATTAATCTATATTTGAGATTAATGATGAATAATAATCCAAACTTCAACTGATGAGGTTTATATGATTACTTAACTATCAAGTCTATTGCATGAAATTCTCCACTTTTCCGCTGGATAAATTTGTTATATGATTCGTGTTGGTGTTGGGAAAGGTCCATGTATTTAATTTATACCCTGTGGTGTTATTTATATTCTGTTAGTATATTTAAATGTTGAAGTGAAATTACGTAAATAAGAATATAAAGTTCGTCCTAATACGATAAATTACATAAATTTCGCTCTAATTTATTCTAAGGTATGATGTTTTTTTCTCGTTATTAATAAAGAAGACAAATACACAGTTGTTTTTATTATGGGGGGTTTGTGAAGATTGTTGAATTTCAGAAGTTAACATCATGGACTACTGATTTCATACAACCACTTAAAATCAGTAATTCGTGAACAACTGTCTCATTCTCTAGTATGGGACTCCTCAATAGTCCTCATCGACGATCATATTAGGTATCGGTTTCTCGTTAAGCTTTTAATCCTTAGATCATTAAGTTGGAATCCAAACGATTCACATGTCTAATATCTTTCGTTTGAGTTCAGTTATGTTACGTTTGATTATGTATCTTGGTTATTGCATTCATCAAGTATATTTGATAAATATCTCTATAATGTTACACTTCAACTGTTTCTTCTTTAATAATGTGTGAATTACAGTTGATGTGATAAGTACACACATATCTCTTTATTTATTTCTTATTATATATATAATTTCTATTTGATATATATTTCAGATTTTAAGTCCTGAATTAATGACAGCTGATTATATCTATCCACTTGTTACATCTAATCAATCAGGTGATTTAATTTCATTGGATAAACGATTACGAGCTGTATTCCTTCGTTTATTTACATCTTTATTTGCTGGTTATCGGTCGTGTTTAACAATTACACGTATTCATCCTAAACCAGTGATACATTTCAATCGAGTAAGTAGTATTCAAACAGCATAAATGCGTAAATAAATTCTTTCTTCTATACAATATATATACATTTCATATTTTGATGTCGTGATTTGTAGGAATGTGTTACTTTTTCTTTTTACTTCATATACTATTATATAATATATTGTAGTACATCTCACTGGAGTCTGTCAATCTCATCAATGATAGTGTTATAACTTGTGGCCTGTGTGCCCTGTTAATGTATACGTAATGATACCACCAATTAGGGAGCAGTGAATTATCTATCGGATTAATGACGCCAAAACCCGTTTGACCAGACTAAAGTCCTTATTGGTCCTGCTTCCCGTCTAGCCTTGCCTGTTAAGTCCAGAACACCGATCCGAGCCTCTGCGATATGAATCATTTATTTCAAGCATACTGGGTTTATATACCAACCAGACAGATCACATCGTACCATAAAACAACATTTGTACAAGAATTAGCCAAATGTAGCTGTGAATGGGGAAGGTAGTGATTAACAGACAGGGAATAATTCAAGAATGGTAAATCGTATAATTACAGTTCATAGGTCAAAATAAAGCTCATAATAACAGGGACATGAATATCAACAGTTTAGTTATTTAACAATTATACGATAAATATATACGCAGATTATTGGTCCATAAATGGATCCCAAAAGTTACTATTCATTATGCTTATCGGGATCTAACAGATAGATTCTCCTTCTTATTGTGTTTTACATTTTTATCAATCGACTTTGAAGAGTTCTTCCTGAATAATAATCTAGACGGTTTTATACAGAATGAATCCAATCTATTGATCAAAAGGTGTTCAAGTGTTAATTACTGTATTGTAAGATTGAAATCAGTTAATTTTTGGGTTCAATTAACTAGAGTGGTTTCTGTTTATAAAATTGTTATATGTGTTAATACAACCTGTTCAAATATCACTTGTATTATTTTATACTAATTTGTTAATATTTTTGTTTTACTTCGGTTGCAAATTATTTCTGATTGTAATATTGTAATAGTAATTAGGGAAATATAACTTCACATCTGCATATAGTTTTTTTATTTTTCTGTTTTTCTGTTACCGGTATTCATTCATGCCAATAAACAAAATGATTATCTACATAACTACATATCTATTTACATATTTACTTACCCATATGTTAGACATTTTCTGTTTTTAATTAAATGTTACCTGAAGTTATCCGACTGGATCGATTAGTATTCTGCACTTAAAACGGCTATATTTGTAGATACTTTTTTGTTTGTCAATACATTACATTAGATGTTTGTTATTTCTTTCCTTTTCTACTATTTACGCATCTAGTCATCGATTCGATACCAATGATATATGTATATTCGTACAAGGGGGTTATGGAGATTGTCTAGTTTTATTAAAATCATGAATCGGTTTTATTTAGACAGCTACTGAAAACCAGGATGGACTGAACTGCTGTTTTGTCTCAGTAAGGGACTAAGCAGTGCACATTCATGATTGTATCAGAGATCGAACTAAGGACCTTCAAATTTCACGCAAGTGGTTGACATTTAGATGGTATCGATTCGATGGTTTAGATGTTTATTTTTAATCATTTTACGAAACTATCTAACCATCTTCCTTTGGTCGTGGTGGATAACTGTCATACCTGAAATGGTGTAACCCCTTTAGTCATGGCTTCTCACTAGAACTTCGGGAAACTTCTTGAAATTGCGCACATGATTACTATCCGGGTGGTGGCTACATTGCAACATGATCGATAGCATTCGATCTGCACTTTTAAGGACTTGACACACATGACATTGATCACCACCCAATGATCAATCAATTGTGATTACATCTCAGTCCTACAGGAGGTCAGTCGCGGCCCGGATAGCTCAGTGTTAACGTCTCTGACTGTGAAGCTGGGTGACACGGAATCGAATCTGCCAGGGAGCACCAGTTCCCTCAAGATTACAGGTACACCTTTCTGACGAGTGCCAAGTAGCACGAAACCCGGGTCCAGGGTTTCCTGTTGACTACCTCCAACCACCATCTAATCTCAGTATCATTGTCACACTGAATAATTATATTTACATAAGAATAGTGTTAATTATATTGCTTGATCAATAAATTTGTATTTTTCAACTATTTCGACACTAAGAATTTGTCTTTGGTTTTATGTTATTTTATGATTGAAAATTGTTTGTTTTAAGTGTTAAACATACACTTCGCTATAAAGAATCCTCATATAAAAAAATATTGAATAGGATCTATTGTTGTTAAACACTTGTAATTGACATATGTTCAAGACTATTCTTCGACTGTTGTTAACCTCATAGATTGATGTATTTAGGACATTTATCGTATATACCCAGCCATTTCCTACCTCGATGGAGGATGTGCATTAGTAATATGGAAGAAAGGCCTAAGTCGTTTTACAAAACGTGGTATCGGTAGATACATTTATTAAATGTTGGTCTATGCCATAGTGATATGTTCACACCATCTGGTTATAATTGGATCGTTGACACTGCGGCTAGTGGCTGGAGACGTTGAATGAAATAGCTCAGAGTTGACCACAATGGTGCAGATACATTGACTCATCTCATACATATATCTTTACATCGCCTCCTATCGAAATATATTTTCAATGTACCATTTTTCTTAGCATTACTGCTACGATTATTTTGACTCATTTATTATTAATTTTGTTAAATTTTTCTCGTACTAATGTTGTGACAGCAACTTTTGCTAACACATAGTTATGCAAAGCTCTATGTTGATTATGATTGACTGACTTAATTATGTAAATTGTCTACTGGCAGTCCATACTATCCCAAAATTTTTGGTTGAGTCTGTTTTGGATAAATCTATTTGTGATTGTAATGACTATTTAGAGAAAGTCTATGTTAAAACATAATGCAACACCAAAAAGAACAGCTACTTGGATTGTATTGCAGCCTGTGTAATAGTATCGCTTTTACACTTGGAGTTTTATTCTTTAGTCCAACTATTGATTGGTGCACCAATCTTTGTTCTTGCTCTCTTTAATAAAGGGAACTATGTATATGAAACTTATTTGTATTTTTCCATGTTTTCTTAACTTTCAGACATTATATTTACTTCTACGTGGAAATAGTGCACATAATGAATTCTACGATCGTTTATTATCTAGTATGCGTTTTCATCAATTCATATTAGAACGTGGTCCACCATTTCGTGTATGTGATATATTTGATGAAGTATATGAATCGAATGTCGATGATCATTCACTGTGTGATAGTAATAATAACTGGACACTGAATAGTAGAGATTATGAATATGATATGTTCAGTAATCATAATCCATCACAAATGATCACTGGAAATACAGCCAATTTCAGTTTAATAGAACGACTAAGCACAAAACTGTTGGATAATGTAAGTGACACTTTATTTTTATATTTAATTTTTTAAAGCTAATTTGGATAGTGGCTAGCAGGATAGTCTAGAACGCGCGTTTTATATTGGAGACTCTTTAGCTTTTTGTTAATGTTCACTTTGGGACTCGAACTCGGCTCCTTTCTCCCCAAGCACCTACCGCATTACATCCAGTTAACTACTGGCTCGTGCAACAAGAGTGAATTTTAACTAATCTGTAAGGTTTGTTTGACTGTTTCCGTCGTTTATATTAAGAACAGCAATTGATCAGTCTTTTTTGAAATATATCCATGTTGAATAGTTGGATAGGATCTATCAGTCGAACACATGATGCAACCTTCCCTGAATGTACATATGTCGAAAGGGACTGGGCAATTCCGACCTTTAACAGCAACCGTGAGATGATTTAAACAACTATTACAAGTGAACAGTCTTTTTCTTAGTTTACAACAGATCTTTATATTTTGTCGGTTTTGGAAAAAAACTTCCTGATCTTTCTTCACTGAATTCTTTATATATATTTTTATCTGAAACACCTCTGCATATTATCAGGATGTTCTGATTAGTTTTCCATTTGGAATGTTGATTTTATGTGTTATGGTGATAGTTTTGTAAATGGTTTGAATAGTTTTGTTTTACGTTAATAATAAGCATTTACAGAATGCTGAAAATGGTAGATGTATATGTGAACTTATCGAGAAGCCTGATGGTCGGAGCATGCCAATGAGTTGGAAGCAGCAGCTGCATCTGGTAGTTACCGGATGCTTTGTCATCTCATTCGAGTCATTAGCAGCAAGAAGTCGGATGTGTGCAAAATAACCTGTGAAGATGGCGAGGTGCCAACCACTAACATCTGCCGATGTCTTGGACAATGGACAGTTTTTGGAGGAACAGTTCGACTGGTCTGCTGGTCTGTTTTACCCATACGAAAAGCGTTAAAGGGATTTTGATGTTTTTTCTGAGTGACTTTCTCTCGAAAGCTAATACAATTACATTGTTTGTTTCTATGGATGCTAAAATGTATGACAACGTTGGACGATAATAGCAATGTCATATTAAAATTACGTTGCATCACTGCTAGAAGTTTTACTCTGGACAACATACCACCTCCGCCCATTCATACAGTACAGCATTCAGAACTGCAGTGAAATAAAATTATGATAGAAACAAGTTACTGGAATTTTACAGAATCCGATCAAATACACCATTGTTTCTTAAAAAATTTATGTACACATAAGTAAAATTATCCGCTTAATTTAATCTTGTCAATAACTTAGCTTTATCTAATCTCATTGTCAATCTTAGTAAATATAAAGTATATCGCCGAACGACTATGAAATCTTAATCTCTTTTACATCACTGGTAAACGGTAAAGATAAATCAATGTTGTGAATGAAAGCTAGGATATGGATTTTAGAGACCTTGGATTATGGGTGATATCAGTTGGTTGTGAAGACACTAATCCTAGATTCTGACCGTCATGACTCTGAAGTTGCTTCCTCTCTTTTGTTTTGGGTTTGGCATTATATTGTTTGTTAAACCTAAGCTTTACTTCATTACTTTGTGTTTCAATTTTGACTCAGAGGCATCACAGTTTCAAATCTTCTCACGGAATCTCACTAAACAAATTTCTAACATTTGTAGAATCCTAGGAAATTTTATGTTTATCATAACATTCATAACTTTCACACACTACTTCTCATAGTCCTCTTGTTTTTAAAAATTGAATTGTAGGAATGCGGTGATCAACCAGCTACACAGATTCTTCCAAATGAAGCTATTGAAGCTCACAAACGCATACATCAGACACCGTTCCCTGTTTTAGACGCTAAATTAATCGATGAACTAACTGTTCAGTATTCTCAAAAGAAAACTAAGTAAGTTTTTTCAAAGTGCTTTAAACTTTTGTCCTTCCATGTTGTTGAGTTTTTCCATAGTTTCAATTTTCACGATCACAAAACGTTATATATATATATATATATATATATATATATATATAGTGATAATTATGACATGTAATATCTAACTTTAATTACTATGATAGTAAGTGGTTTCCATAGTTGTTATTTTCAATATCGTGGTTTTTGAATATTGAAATAATACACTAAATTGTTTCATCAGTAATTACATGGGTTCGGTGATTAATTTTTTTCAAAAAATATCGACATTAGTTGCATGGGTTGATTACATGAATAAAGCATTTCGTTGAATTGAAATTTTATTACCGATTATGGGTAATTAACACGTTATATTGAGTCTTTTAATCTGAGAATTGAGAGGTTTCGATTCGGCACAAACTCCTTTTTTTGCATTTCGCATATTAATATCAGGTTAATTATTTCTAAGTATTGTTAAGATTTCCTTTATTTATTTACTTGAACACAAATATTGGTACAAGAATGCGCCAAATATATATGCGCCACACAAAACAGTGAGAATTTAAGGTGAAGGAAAAAAAAGAGAGAATAACAACGAAGAGATTGATGTAAGGTGGTATAATAATAATAATGGTGAAAATGGGGGAACGGAAAGTTACAATCAGAAGAAATCTTTCAGTTAAGGAAGACACAACCACTTTTTCTTATGAAGAAAGTAAAAGAACGTTACAGAAGGATCGTTACTGGCTTCTATTCTGAGCCATATCTAATAACATCTCTAGCCACTGTGTTGCACCATCTCTCGGACCCCAACCAGGGAGTCGTGAAGGACCAACAGAAGATAGCCCTTTGCAGCTTTCCTTCATGCCACGACACCATGTCATATACTGTCAGTGGTCTTGAGTACTGTTAGAGGTATGAGGGCGGTTATCACTTCCCGGTTGCACACAACGTGGAAGGGTTCTTCTGGAGGTACCTGAAGAGGAAATTCGATTAGAGGTGGTCTTAGTGACCTGAGAGCGTGACCACAGTGCCCAAGGGACAACTGCTTGAGGTCGGTCACACACGACCTTTTTATGGGTGATTTTTGTGTTAGCTCCGTACTTGTTGAGACCTTACAGCCGGAGACGGATATCGGTGGGATAAGATGAGGTGAGCATTTTTAGGGTCGAACTTTTCTAACATCACCCTTCCTTGGTGGAAGGCAGAATCGCTGTTATGCTGGTTGTCTGAAGGAAACACCTTACTGCTGTCACACTTTTGTACAGTCAGCAGTACGACTTCGCCTTCGGACCTTGGATTTGTTGCTTTTAGTCTTACCACTCTTCAACCGACTTTTCTGACATGGTAGGACCTTGAGGAACGGTTGTTTCAGCCAATATAGCTCGGTTGCTTCATCACGATAGGCAAGTCTGACCACCACGTCAAGGTAGCAACAACGGTCATATACTGACCACCTCTCCGCTTTTTCCAACCAGTCCCAGAGTCGGCAAATAATGCACGATGTGAAATTCTCTGGGACGACATTCGTAGAACATGTCCAAGCCACTGAAGTCGATGTTTCAAGATGGTGACACAAACTACATTATCGTCTCTCTGCCCGAACAAACGATGCCGAACCTCTGCACTACTAACATGGTGTTGCCACTGGATGTCAGCAATCCTTCGGAGACAACGATGATCGAACACAGCGAGTCGTCTAACGTCCTCAACTCGGAGAGGCCAGGTTTCACAAACATAGAGCAGAACTGCTCTCACCGACGCGTTGTAGATCCGACCTTTTACAGCTAGACTAACATCACGAATTCGCCAAAGATGGCCCAGATTGGCATAGGCCTCTATGGCTTTCACTATACATGCATTGATCTCATCACTCACGCCACCACCAGCACTTATGCAGCTACCCAGATACATGAACATCTCGACTACTTCTATCTGCTCACTATCCAGGGTGAGTACAGGATTACGATCCTGCCAGTGTTGTAGAAGTACTTTGCACTTCGAAGGTGCAAAGCACATACCCATACTTACGGACACTGGTTGCCAACTGATTAAGTGCGAATTGCATGCCTTGGGCATTATCGCACAGTAAGACAATATCATCCGCATACTCAAGGTCGAGAAGTCTTTCTCCAGGCAACAGATCCATACCACCATTACTTACATTCATCAGAGCTGTTTCCAGAATGTCATCAATGGCAAAGTTGGAGAGGAATTGTGAGATTGGGCAACCCTGCCTAACCCCACTGCTCGAATGGAACAATGGAGATAGGTGGTTGTATGCCCTCACTCTGCCTGAGGTGTTTGTATGTAGGGCTTTTAGGATGTTAATAAACTTCTCAGACACACCCTTCTTCAATAGACAATCCCAGAGAACAGTCCTATCCAACGAATCGAAGGCAGCCCTGATGTCAAGAAACACTACGATTGTTGGTCTTTGATAAGTATGGCGGTGTTCTAACATTTGGCGGAGGGTGAAGATATGATCAATACATCCTCGACCAGAACGAAACCCAGCCTGCTCCTCGCGAGTCAATATTTCTCAGGTTTTGAACAACCTACGAAGTATGACGGAAGCCAACAGCTTGGACGCAATCGGAAGTAGACTTATCCCCCGATAGTTGTTACAGGAACGACGTGAACCGTTTTTAAAGATAGGGACAACTATCGACTCATTCCATGACGTTGGTACACTCTCTAGCTCCCACACCTTTGTAAACAACGTCGTCAGTTCTTCAGTCAGAAAGTCACCACCATCTTTAAAAAGAGCCGGAGGTAAGTCATCTGGGCCAGGTGATTTGTGGCCCTTCAAGAGTAGGAGTTCCTTGTGGACTTTCGCTTCATTTGGTGGATCAGTCGTCACGGGCCGTGGAGGGCAGGACCGTCTGACCGATGTTGCCCGAGCAGCAGGCCATTTGAACTGCCCTTCGAAAAATTCTTCCCATCGTCCAAGACGTCGATGGATGTTAGTGATTGGCATCCCATCATCCTCGCAGATTGTTTCACTCACACCAGACTTCTTGCTGCCAGTGGCTCGGATGAGTTGGAAGAGCTTCCGGTAGTTACCAGATGCAGCTGCTGCTTCCAACTCATTAGCACGCTCCGACCACCAGGCTTCTCGGTCCTTACGCAAGCTTTCACGATTTCATTAAGTAACATCCTTCGTTTGTGGTCAAACTCACGGTCACCCGGAGTAGACCGACGGGCTTCAATGAGTTGTAAGGAACCAGAAGAAACCCAGTGCTTAAAAGCGGGACGTTTCGCAAACCCACAACTGACTGTTCCCGCCATTTTCATGGCGTCATGCAATTGCAACCAATGCTCATCTATACTTTTCGGTGGAATGGTAGCTAGCCTAGAAGCTAGCTCGGTTCGATACTTACTTGCAACAGAAGTTGCAACCAACTTGCTAACATCAATCCGTTAATGGCGGTCACTTCGTTGGCCACTGAAAAGTAAGGTAAGATTGGCGCAGACCAAGGTATGGTCAGAGTCCAGATAGGTACTTCAAAAGGAGAGGCAGTCTTGTACACAACCACGCCAGCGGTAGCTGATCGCGATGTGATCAATCTGAGTCCAGGCTTGAGATGCAGAGGGAGGACGCCAGGTGGCACATCGGCGATGACTGTGCCGGAAGTTAGTGCTAGCCAGAAACAGTTTGTGGTCTGTGCAGAGTTGCAGTAGACTGTCCCTGTTATCTGTCCTGCGACCAACGAGTTCCCATCGGCCACCTAAACAACTCTCTTCTGTGTCTAAGACGCCCGACCTGAGCATTTAAGTCTCCGGCCAGTACTACAATATCTGTCGAACGCACTTTCTGGAGAATAACAGATAACTGGTGGTAGAGTTCATCCTTGATTGCATCCGGGCTGCAATCTGTCGGGGCATAGGCAGAGATGACGAAAAGACATCGTTTCTCACGCCGATTTCTTCTCACTTTGATGGAACTCTCTAATCTAACAGCACATAACCGACTGTTAGTGTGGATCCAGTTGATTAGTGCTGCCTCAGCTCTAGCGCTTAGTGCGACACCAACGCCAGTAAGGCCAGACGAAGATGCCTCAGGGTCCCTGGATAAGCGCACGTAAAACAAGCTTTTTGAAGTGACAGATGGAGAGCGAATTTGTAGTACTTCACCAGTCTTGAATACGGGTCTCGGACAGACAGCAAACATCAATATTAAGACTTTCCAAAGATATAGCCAGCCCTGTCTGTTGTCCGGCCTGCATAAATGTGCGAACGTTGAAGGCAGCCAGTTTGAATGGTGCACGTGGTTTCAGAAAAACTGCTTCAGTCCTCGTATTCGGTGGTAATATATAATTTTCAACCGGACAGTGACTCGAGAACATTTCGATAGAGCTGAATTTCCACCACAGGTGAGCTGCTGTATAAGTCGAAAAATAAGTATACACAGAGTGGGAATGAAAGAGGGTGAATAAATGACGTAGTAAATAATAATAATAATAATAATAATAATAATAATAATAATAATAATAATAATAATAATAATAATAATAATTTGAGTCATTTGATTGTTAGTCGAAGCAAGAAAAGTAGTTTCCATAATTATAAACAGTTCATCATTTGTGTGTGGGCTGTGATACTGCCCGGGTGCCCAGACCGAAGCAGGTGGTTATCTTAGGGGGCCACATCCCGAGCCTTTGACCTAAAGGTCTAACTCACAAGGCAGTGGAGCATCGTGAGGCGATGCAGTCCCATGGAAGCCGGTGACCGAAAATTGGTTCATACGCCATTTGTTCCCACAGGGTACTGGAGCCCATGTGCAACGTTGATTTGGTTTGGGATCCGGTTAAAGCGCCGGACATTCGCTTTCCGTCCTCTCATTTTCGTAAACAACACTGTGACCACGAGAAGGCAGTGAGTAGGACTTTATTATTTATGTATTTGTATATGGTTTCAGTGAAACGATAAGTATTCATTATATTAATAGTTTATGTATAAATATAATTAAAATGAAAGTTGCTTAGACAGCTGATGAGTTTTATATAGGACGAAATGTACATATTTCATTCCATTACTAGATACATACCAAATATATTAAAAACTTATGAATAAAAGCTTTATTGAGGCAATCCTGCCAGAAAAGACATTAAGGAACAGTAATCGATTATATACTGCAGTTCATGGTGATAAATTGATTGATTTTAATTTTATTATCGCGTACAACTTGAACATCAATTATGTTTACTACTGATAATGATTTTAAATATTTTAAGTATTCCAGCTCTATAGAATTCCATGTTGATAACAGTTTTTAAGCAATAAAATATAAATCATTAATTTGGTATATCAGTTAAGATGTAACAATGTAAATCAATCTATCTGAACATTTAGTTTTTTTGAGATACCTTTTTATTTTATTGATTTTCAATGTTTTCATAATATATATATATTTAGACTTTTAGATCTGGTTATATAATGTTTAATTCGTTGAATTATTATTATCCAAGATGATTTCTGTTACGTTCAACGTTTATCACTTTTCATTCTTTGAATGTTAAAAATTCCAGTATCCATGTTGGTTTTTACCTTCAACTGGTGTATGTACTAGTAATAATAAGTATGAAATTATTTGTACAGATAATTCACAATATACCGTCTATTTTTTTCTCTTTATGAAGATATAAAGTTAACTTGAAAAAAAAAAGAAATAAATGTATCTATGGTGAAAAATAAATAAACAAAAGAATGTCTATTCTCTATCTGCTTTGTGTTATTTACTAGTATGATGTCATATTCAAAATCAAACTGTTCATTTAGTCAATGTTTCTTGATGCCTTTTAAACGTTTTTTGTTATATTTTCTATTTGTTTATTTGATCTTGTATAAAGGTGGTGAATGATCTGTAAAGAATATTTTACATCCAATTTCATGATTTAGTTTTTTATTCACAATCCTGAGTTCTATATTGAAGCATTCTTACTTAGCATAAAACAAGATGTAGATATTTTGTAGCTAGCAGTGAATTGAACTATGCGTACTTCGTGTTATTTGAGATTCCTCAACTGTATATACTTACGTTCCAGTGTTGTTGTTCACATTGAAATTTTAATCCCAGTACCTTTCGTTTAAAATGTCAACACATTGTCTACTGAGTTACCGAGTTTAAATAACCGCTAACTTTTCCAATGTGTATGATAATTACATTATAATTAGTAAGAGGTTGTGTTATAGCATTGTTGAACTCTAGCTCTGGGATACAACTACATTTTACTTACGAGTCCAAAATCAGACAAAATTCACATCCTTATTTTTACTGGTAGCCACAGTTCTTCTTTTTAAACAAAAGTACTTGTAAACAAATCGAGAGAATCTAATCAAACAGAAGTGTCTTCTGAATATCAGTAGCGGAATAAAACCTAAAACTTTATTGATCATGATTAAAGAAACTGTATATTTAGAAGAAATCTGGTTTAATGTTTTCACCATATTTTTTCATTATGCTTTGATCAATAAAAGGAATGTTGTTTATCATAAACCGGAACCACGTTTTGTACCACAAGGATTACAATTGGATCGACAAATATTCAAAGCAGAAATGTTTCCTGATAAATATCGTGTAATTCATGAATTTGTTGATGATATTTTTAATCAACATATTACAGAAGCTTTAAAAGTAAGTTAGATTGATTTTATGACAATTTGACGTTTCTATAATCTAATAATTAGAGCATTAAACATTCAACTTCGTTATAATCTCTATTTGAGTTACATTTCTTTCTTTCTTTCTCTCTCTCTCCCTTTCTTTATCTATCTCTCATACCGTCCACTTTATTATTTTTTATGATTGTAAAATGTCAATAATAAATATGAGTTGCTTAGTCAGTATACTGGAATCTTCATTTGATATTCTATATGTTTACTATTATTGATCAAAGAAACAACAAATTGGTAATGTGATAACTGTATTTCTCTTAAATAGATGTTCTCTACAAACTGTTAGCGTAATGATAGTGATGAGTAAATTAAACCTTTTCGTTGTTGTTGGTTTGTTATGGTTAGAAATGTAAATTTTATATTGTGTATGAGTTCTAGATATTAGAAGAATTGATTTTATAAAAAGACATTTGAATCATCAAAAGAAAAGTAATGCGTGAAAATAAAACTTTTGGTATTGTATATTTGTATATTGATAATAAACTACTATTTTTATACTTGGAGACAATTGTCAAAGTGTATTTTTGACTTTAAGATGTGTGTTATGATACTCAATTAACTTGCACTTTATTAATCGATAGCTCGAGGAAAAAAACACGCAGTAACCTTAACTCTGGTTTATTCCTCTTGAACCCATATATGATAGTTTACTAGTAGATTGAACACATAATTTGACCAATGAAGGGTGTAGACTAGCACAGGTGTAGTGAACGAACATGTGGATTGGGGAAAACCATTTTATTGTTTAATACATTGTTTAATACATTAAATACTACATTCACGCATTCTTCATCAGTTGTCTCTTACAACGTTCATCGTTTCTTTATTCGTGTTGTTATTACAATTTCTCTCTATTGGCACTCCTGTTTTTTTCAGTTCGATCTTCTCAACCTTTTGTTGTTAAGCATTCCACTCCTGATTGATGTTACATACTACTTATATATGTCAACATAAGTAGCGTACATCACACAGATAACCTTGGCAACTGGCAAGATAATCTTGACTATTATTTTCCCCCTGATATGAATGTTTTCTTTTTTCCCTCAGTATTGAGTCCGGATAGAGAATACCACAGACAAGCTTCCGTTACCATATTTAAAAGTACCTAGTGCATTCATCTTAAATAATCTTTAATCGTTAGATTGCCACAAACACCAAATAAGAAAACATACTTGACGCACAATCACATCGTAAGAGACAGATAATAAAGCAAACAATATAAATTTAATTATTAATAATTAAGAAATAATTCAACGTGTAACAATAGTCAATAATTTAAATGATCACTCACAATGTAAGGAATACAGGAATATAATAACCTAGTTATCTAATAATCATACAATAAGAATGTAGACAATGACAGTCCGTAAAATAGTTCCAAAGGTTACAACATTATTCGTTTACAATTTCATTTTATATATATATATAAATAATGTAAACTGAGGCTCAGTAGCTTAACCCCATCATGAAAATGTCTTCTTACTTTCCAGTGATCAGTTAGTTGTGAATGTCTTACACGTATATGAAGTCATTCGCCAGCTGAACAGTCTAGTAGCAATGTCTTAGATTGTGTAGTTGAGTGACGCGGGCTCGAATCCATCAAAGAAAATTAGGTCCCTCACATTTGTTGGTGCACCTTTCTGACAATTACTAACTAGCTCGGAACTTGAGTTCAGCGTTTGCTACCATCTAATATAATGATCGTCAAAAGTATGTCATGAGTATAGTTATCTACAGTATAATCCACCATGATATTTCCAACGTTTGGTACTCTCCTTTTTATTACTCTACTAATATCTAGATAATTTTTCGATTTTCTATATTTATTTTGTAGAGACGAAATACAATTCGTCAAGATTTAAAGTCTAGACCAATGAGACGCTTATTCGTTGATGAATTACGTTCATATATAATCCCGGAAGCACCAGTATCACCAACTGTAGCTATCAATAACTTCCTTGGTAATATGACAATCAATAGAAGTACATATGAGAGACGGGCTGTCTTAACATGGGAACAATTTGAATTGATTGTTGACCTATTAGATGAAGCATTAAGACAAGAGACACAATCAAAAGACAGTGGAATTACACCAATTATTATGGATATTAGTACTAGACTTTGTACAGTAAGTGTGTTTGCATCTATGCATTTATCATGACTCTTAGTAATTTCGATTTATCCAGTCTTGTGGTGAATATATGGTAACGTTATAAGAATGTAATGTTTATTTTATTGTATTATTCTAAGGTACTGTACTTTATAGTAGTCAGTTGATTTGAGACTGTGGGGTTCTACACCTTCAAATGCCGCTAGTTATATATCTTATTCTACCGTAATCAAGTAGAGGACGTAAAAGGTTTGTGTTCCCGAAAATAAATTTAAACAAATGGTGTAATAATATATCCTAGAAAGTCTCAAATAATTCGAAATCAAATTCGAAGAGTAAATGTTTGTATCTGAGTAATAATGCTCCATTAAATGTTGGAGCAATAATTTCTTGTGACTAATGAATATTTGTAATATCCGTGGTCTTTTATTCACCGTCAATTAATAGTAATGAAAAATTCTAGACTATGCCTCAAATTTCTTCTACAATCAAAAAACGGCAAACTTTCGAAACAAACATTTTTATTAAGTTTTACTAACTATCTGGATTTTAAGTGTAGTTGGACAATAGTTTCAAACAGTTCACCATTTTTGTCTGTCATTGACTTTTGAGTGAGTTTAACATTTAATCAATTTCTTTGTATCTGACAATGTCATTCATTTTGTAAACTAACTATGCTTTTCAACTTCAATCGTCTAATGATTATCACTTTGATTTATAAATAGCATGAAATCAGTAACGTCTATTGTCAGTATAAGGTTGTAGTGATTGTTAAGTTTTTGATTGAGATCATGAATCGATTGATGTTAGACCACCATTGAATATCTGAGAGCAATGGACGACCGTTTTGTCCTAGTATGGGACTACTCAGCAGCGCACATTCACGATCCCCCACTCTGGGTTTGGACCCAAGACCTTCCGTCTCGCACGCGAACGCTTAACATCTAGACCACTGATTCGGCATCCAACGGTGTTAATGTCTAACTTCCATCGATCGATGGAAGTTAGGTGATAAAAACCTTAACTCTCATTACCATCCGTATTTTCTAACTCTGAATCTTAATCCTATTTCCTCATACTAATGTTTAATTCTCTTTTGACCTTAGTAAGTGGTTGAATTTTCTGAAGGTTATTTCAACATCTCTCATTGACCGTTTTTGTTATTCACTAACTTACGTTAATATAATTATATATTTGTTAATGAATTAAATTTGAAGGAATTAGGCGATGTTCGTTATTATGCTAATATGAGTCATCAAATTCAACGTCATGAAATCTGGCGTAATATGCCATTTTGGGAGAGTCTTTTTAATGAACAAGTTAACAATCAAATTCGTTTGTTATATATTGATTTTTGTGAAGAAGAACGAAAATCTCATAAATACCAACAAGGTAATCAATATCAACATTCAAACACAATGAATATATCCAATGGACATTCATGGTCATCATCGTCGTCGTCACCATCTGACAGTAGGACAAAACAATCTATTAATTCGCCTGAGAAAAATGATAAATCATCTGTGATAATTGTTGGACGAAAGAATAGTAATAATAATAATAACAATCAGAAATCGAATGTAAGTCTGGTTATTATTCTAAACCTTGATATTTTTGTCTTTATAAATTACTTATTTAGTATAGGATAGTCAGTCAGTCAGCTACAACGTAGGACCAAGCACATATATGCATCGGTCCAAGTTGCCATACCTCATTAACACAACAAGATGAACATCGGATTCATAAAAGCGGTTAGTTGAGTGGTGGTAATATATAAAAGGAAGATTGCAATAAGGATATAGTACAGGAAGAAAGAATTAGTTCGTAGAAAAAAAGATATGAAGCGATTTTAATCTCTTAGTTTAAGGGAAGACAGAGAGTTTATACACCGACGCCATTGTGATCAATTCTGAGCCATGTCACCAAGAGTCTCCAACCATTGGTTACGATAGTCGGACCGGACCCCAACCAAGTAGTCTGCATCTCCCAACATGGCTCAGACTAGAAGTTAGTGACTTCAAGCACTGATGACACGTTTTGATTTCGCCGCCCCTAACTTTCTCCCAACCATCTCCAATAGCGGATAGCATTGCACGTCGTGGTAATCGGTATTCAGGCATACGTAACACCTGGCCCAACCATCTCAGTCGATGAAGATTCATAACCTCATCAACTGATTTACCATCATTCCCTAATACACTGCGTCTAACCTCACTATTACTTACCCGGTGATCCCAGCAGATGCCAGCAATATTTCTAAGGCATCTGTGGTCAAATACTAGTAGCTTACGAGTGTCTTCTACTCTTAATGGCCATGTTTCGCTGCCGTAAAGTAGAACAGAACGGACTGCCGCGCAGTATACTCGTCCTTTTATTGATAGACGGATATCTCGCCTTCGCCATAGGTGACGTAAGTTGGCAAAAGCCAAACGAGCTTTTCGAATCCGTGCTGAGATTTCGTCAGACACCAACCCATTAGGGCTGATCAGACTTGTAATACAATTAATCAGTTGCTTCTTGATAAGTATTTCACCTGAACCACTGGGGATTATTTTTGTATCCGTCTAATGCTGTCCTCAGCGACTAAACATCCATGGTTAATATCAGCTTTAGTACACATATGAAGTGATCAACGTTTTCGACCACCTTACTCCCTATGATCATGTCTAGAAACAGATTAACCATGAGACAACATTTTATATTTAAACGCAAATAAATAGGATCTCTAACTTTTGATTGTTTGTTGCCGTGTTTGAAAAATTGAAATTATTAAGCATATTCACTGGACAGAAATACTTCATCTGTTTAATTTGGGTTGATAAATGAATTTTATCATAGAAAGTTGATTACTAAAAAGAAAACAGCTCTGACGAACGCCATTTTTTTGCATTTAATTCAAGTGATAGTTTGTCCTAATATGTGACTCAACTCTGTTGAACTGGCGAACCTTCAAAGACGGCTTTATATGTTTTTTCTTTCGGTCCCCATTTCCAATGACAAGCACTACCCTTGAACCCCTTGATCGATCGAGTTGAATGTTGCGTTCAGGTTATGAAATTTGACTACGATCAAGTGTTGCTTTGCATGCTTGTGTTTGAAGACCTAACGAATGTTGGATAATCCGACAATAAATCTATGCCCAGGCCTATAAAGTTTCCCGTCCCATCGAGTATTCCGTTCCTGATCTCTTTAATCATCATTCCTATCACAGTGTGACTACTATCCTTTTTCATGGAGTAGAACGATAGAAACTGTTTAAGTGAAATAAATTCCAGCTCTTAGGGTCTGTTTATCATCAATGCTTTCTCTGTTCCTTGCTTTCGTTACGCAATAATATTGACGGTTACTTCGCCAACTGTTCTCCAGTCCATGTTTAAGTTTCCTCCGTTTTCAACTTAGCTTGACGATTCTCTGTGTATCTATGTATTCGATAGAGGCTTTTGAGATCCAATGGTCTTGCTTGATCTTTAGCATTAAATTGGTAACAGATGCCACTCCTATATTTTCAACCACTTATCGAGCTACTTCAGGACAAATATCTTTAAAACTGTTTGCTTAACTAATTCTTTAAACCACTTCATAAGATTTGTGTTTCTTCGCTAAGACCTTAAAGGTCTTTATGTAGGGGCTTTTCTACACCTAAAGATATTTAGTTGCATATATAAATCGTATCTTCGAACCCTTATCTTGTCTGTCACCACTCATGCTGTTACTACTTCTACTATTCGTTGATTTGGCATGACAATTTCATCTCTCTGTACCAATGATGTATGGAAACTTGAACTGACGTACTTGCGTATCAGATTCTACTTTTTGACTGACTGAGATATAATCTACAAAGAGGAAAGCTTCGCATGTCTCTGTCTTTAGTTCTTTTAAAGTGCTAAAGTATATATAAAGTATAGTGAAGTCATAAATTTGCCTAGATCAATAATAAGTAGATACTGATTTCGAAACTACTGTATCTTCAGTCGATGACCGATAGTTTCAAAAAACAATTATCAATAAGTTATCTGTGATTCTATGTTTAGTTCTCTTTTCTAGTGTAGACAGGAGGATAACTCCATTTAAAAGCTAATTTTGTTTTTAAAGTCTACCTTTAATTATCTCAAATGTCTGTTATAAGATATATATATATTCTTTTTCCTACATATCAATAAGATTACAATTCAACAACAAAGTTACACATCAAATATGTCAGCATTAGAAATCGCTGCAGAAGAAATGCGAATTGGTCATATGCGTCCAAAAGAAGTACAACAAATATTGGAAACACGTGAAGAAAGTACTGTCTATTCTCAAATTATACACTTTGTTAATTTAATCATTAATTTTCGTATACCAGTTCATATTGGTGCAGCGGTGGCTGATATATACGGTGAAGATACTCAAAATAATGATGAATTAAAAGATGATATTACTGGTATAAATGGTATGGTATCAAAAATACCTGACAGAATAATCTCCGATAATGATAATTATAACAATAATAAAAATAATAATAATAATACTAATGATCATAATTATCGAAAACAATATACTGGCAGTACTAATTCATTAAATAATATACCAGTAACTAATCAAATTAATAATGCCCTCAAAATTATCTCACAAACTGAAGGATATGTTAAAAACACCAGTCGATATACTTCAGACAATTATTCTAATCATCTATCAAATTCAGATGGATTTTATAGGTGAGTAGTATTATAGTTTACATTATATCAAACTCTTTATTTATTGACTAATTTTGTCTATTTGGTGAAATAATAAAAGAGAACTAAACTGAAGTAATTTATTATCTACCATATATGTGTTTTCATACTTCGAATGGAAATAATTCGAATTTATCTATCCACCTTTTATACTGAATGATTGTCTCCTTTTGGAAGTAATATATGTTTTTCTGTACTAATGCTTTTAAATGTCATACTTATATCATCATTTTGTAAGAAAAATTTCGCATTTTTAAGCTGAAATTTTTGTTCATAGACTGTTCACTATATAAACTGTCTTGTGATTCCTTATCAGAATAAATGGATTGGGACTAGTAGTAGGAACTAGAATACGTATTTCATCCTATTTGGGACTTGTCAACTCTATGTAACTCCATTCTAGTGTATATTTGAAGCACATTACTAAAAATAACTACCATGAAACAGTTGGGCAACATTAACTTGAATACGTGATTATTTTCTCAGACGGCGGTAACCTGCGTGTATGCATTTTAGTTTTTCGACTCCATTTTGACAATTGAACATATCTATTGCATACATCTATGAGTTCTTCATTTTTCCCCCATAAATTTGACTAAGATCTGATGTTGCCGTAGTATGAAGAGATAGATAAGTGTACGTATCAATCAAAATCCATGTGGGTAGTGATTAAATCGGTGATATTGTGGGAATTAATCTGTTTGAAATATACGTCTTTAAACTAAATTTTGACATTACCTATTATTCCATCAAATCCCACAAATAAGTCTTTGTATTCTAGATGTAGTGGCTAGATATGGTTTTCAGGAAATCATTAAGACCATTGAAAAAATCTGCAGACAAGTGATCAACAGTTTCATTTAGCTTACGAACAATCACTATAGTAGCTGATAATCAGATTGTTCAACTGTATGATAAAATCATTCGGATAAGCTTTTATTTCACGTTTTCTGTTTTTACAAAATTCACATAGCCAGTTACTAGATAGATTCAGTCAGAAAAAGTGTAGAATTTTTGATCACTTTTGTAGTTATGCACATTTCCAAGGTCAAATTTACTATTTATTATTATTATTATTGTTGAGATTGTGGTAATTTAATAGTTGAATTCATGAGTCAATTTAAGCTAGGCCACTATGGAAAACCTGGAAGCACTGGATTATTATTTCGCTCTGAAGATCACAAACATTCAAGTATCTACGATATGATCAATTCTCATTGTTCATGTCATTTACATAAAACCGCATAATTAATTGATTAATCTTTTTAACCTTAAAAATAGCCGGATTATTTCAACCGATATTTTTGTCTATTGTCCTCAGTATTAGATCATTAGATTTGTCAAAAAAAAGAATGAGATTTTAGCAAAGGAATTGTCAAGTTTGTTGTTGTTGTTGACTAAAACATGCGAATAACGAATTGGTAATGAACTTAAAACTTTAATTTTCTTGTATCACTTTTAGTAGGCGTACTTGTTTATATGAATATATAGTTGGTTATTTCAACAAACAAATAAATGATTATGGTGTATATGAAAGTATAGTTTATCTTATCAATATTAGAATTATTCACTTTCCAATTGTTTGATCTATGCGACATTATTTGAAAATTGTAGTTATTAGAAAAAAAAAAAAGTTTTTTAAGGAATATTCTGTCTCCAACTTTTCCCTTGGTTACATGTACTACATTTTTTAAAATAAAAAAATATTTACGGGTAACCTATTTCTGTCGGTATGTTATTGATAAAATCTAATTCCTTATTTTTATGAGCATCATCTGAGCGGATGTATTACAAGTAGAAATAAAAAGATCTATTCATAAATGATTGTACAAAAAAGAGTTGTCGTTTATTAATGATATACTGATAGAAATATGGTACATGAGAACCTTTTAAAAATACAACGTTATCATCGAATAGGATTCGTTTTTTGACAATATGCATGTGTGTATACACTACTACCGTCTATCGACTAAAGTCGTTAACAAATATTTCCTCATTGTTAGCGTTTTGTATAGCCTGGAACAAAATGCCAATTCGTGAAAAATCTCTGATCAATGAACAATGTTTTTGTATCTTTTAAGATATTCGCTTCTAAAAATTATTCTGGTATAAACGTTTTTAGTTTGGATAGAAAAATCACAGTGTTGGGTAGTTAGAAGTTTATCAGTCAGTAATTTACAATCTAGATTCTGGTATATATGTGTAGTGAACGGTTTAAGTTCCTACATTACATAAGTATAGCGAAAAGAAATTATGATAATTCTCAAACTAATGAAGGTGTCACTACTAGTAAAAAAGGTGTGTAAATCAGATAAAAGTCTTAAAGGAGGATTATGGGACTCAGTATCTAATGGTGAACAAATGTCCCATACATCTTCAAGAAAATCATGAACCTAGATTATGTGCTAGTTGACACTCTTCAGGATAGCGTATTTTCAGTCTTCATTGACGAAATTTGATCAGCACTAAATATCTTGACTGATATGATGCTTGCAACCATTCAGTGATCAGTAAGCTGCAAGTATTTCAGTCTTACAGCAGATCAGTCGTAGTTTTAATCGCTTAGTGGTAATATTTTATACGTTGTAGCTGGCCGATATCGGTTCGAATCTCACGGGAAGCATTAATTTTTCTAAGGGTTGCGTATAATTCTTGCTGAAGAATTTTTACTTGAATAAAACTTGGATCTAGGGATTCCTATCGACTACATCTAATCCTCTAACATCAAAATACAGTTTAACCAATGCCAAGTCACTGAGATTTTTGATCACATTTCAACTTGTTTGTTAGAATTCGATCAACACTAAAGGACTAAACAAACATTACATCGATCAATACTTTTTAAACAATCAGCTGTAGAAGTCATTAGCTGAAACACATCTGCCCTATATTGTGTGTTTATGATGTGTTACTCACATTAGTTTACATTTTGGTACTTAATTTTAAAGGTTTTATTGAATTTCTATTTTTCAAAATGATTCGGTGGTTCTTTAGGATTAATGATTGGATTTGAAACCAAGTCTGATTTGGAATGAGGAAAGTTATGTTCATATTTCAGGTGAATAGTCTTGCTAGTATTTCGTCCTTTGTACTGCATGGTTTATTTGCTTGTTATGCCTTTATTTTCATTCAGTAAGAAATCTTCAATATTTCGGATGAAAGTGATCTTTAAAAGTTTTGTTCCTTAACTGTGTGTAATCAATCAGTTCACTGTGTAGTTTTACGCTTCAATCGACTGTTTTGTTAGTTTTACATATTATCAGTTGACCTTTTTCTCATTTATTGATCAGTCAGTTCTGTTTATTGATTACAATCTTCAGACCTTAATATTCTTAATACTTTTAGATTTTATTTAATCTAGAATTGTGATTTTTTTACTGCGTCAAAATTTATGTTCGTAGATTTCCACTTGTATTTGTTGTAAATTATGGCCTTGAGCCCCTATCAATATGTGACGTAATGTTACCACCAATTAGAGAACAGTGATTTATCGACCGGACCAATGACACATAGAGCCCGTACGAGCAGTCTAGAGTCCTTATCGGTCCTGCTTCCTGCCTAGCCCTGTCTGTTATGTCTAAAACTCCGATATCAACCTCTGCGATATGAATAATTTATTTCAAACATACTGGGTTCATATACAAATCAAACAGACCACATCGTACGTAAGATAGAAAATAACATTTGTACAAGATTTAGCCAAAAGTGGCTATGGATGTGGGACATAACTCGAGAATGGTAAATCGTATAATAATTTTTTATAGGTCAAAATAAAGCTCATAATAAGAGGAACACGAGTATGAATAGTTACTTATCACTTATACAATGAAAATATATGTATAGTGTTAGTCCAGAAATAGATTCCAGTTACCATTGATTATTCTCATCGGGATATAACATCTCCCCTTTTTTTGATGATTCGGAGTTGATATCCGGATTTTGAATTTTCCGACTTTATCCTCCTCCACGAAATAATGTTGGATTCTCATATTCCCAAGTCACAATTGACGTGACTACTTCGAACGAATTTGTCTCATCGAACAGAGAATCCATTAAAATTAGCTAGATGATGAGGATGAACGCCATTTGATTTGAAGTCATCAGGGTTTGATTCTTCTGGAAAGGTTTCCTCAAATTTATTGAGGATCTAATTAGTAGATAATGGATCACTAGAGTAATCAGTATCTATCAGAATTGCATTTTCTTGACCAGTCAGAACATGATGGATCTTTCTAGAATATCAACGTGACATGCTACTATCGAACAGTAGCATAACATGTTTCTTTGCGGATTGGCTGAATTATAATGTTTATATAATAAGCACTAATATCTGTAAACACCCATAATTTTCTGTACATTTTGATTTTTGCCAAAGAAGTGCTTCTCCAGTCTTCTTCTGTCTTTTGATTTGCGACTCTGGGGGTTCTATACGTTCGAGTGCCGTAGTTGTATACTGTATTCTGCGTTATCAAGTAGGGAACTTAACAGTATTGTGATATAAGTGACGGAATGTTATGCCACTTAACTGCTAATCTGTATTTATTTGATGAATGTTAAGATACGTTTCTTTAACTTTGTGTTTATGACTTCAGATTACTGGAGTGGGGAGTTTTTGAGCTGCCCTAGGTTGTTTTTGCGCACGAATTTGCTTTTCAATTTGCCATTGACTTGTCTTTGCTGTAGTTCTGTACTTGATCCGTATGGCTAAATTTTCCACACAATACAATCTCTGATCTTTATCTGTTTGTTTCATGAATTAAGACGATATTTTCGTCCAAGTTTACGCCTCTAGAAAGTATATAATTTCGAAGATGTGATCGATCATCCTATGTATATTGTCAAGAATTACATTTTGGTATAACTTATAATTACTCAGTTACGATTAACAATCGTTTTACTGAATAAATAAGGACACTTATTCCGTATATAACTCAGATTCATTACTGTTACTATTATTGATTGGTTGTGCTAAAAGTTAGATATGGTTATCGATGCCAAGCAAGAAAATTCTATTTCCAGTAGTTTACAAGCGGAACTAAATATTATCTCGCATTCGTGTTGGGTTAATAATATAGACCAAAGACGCTGGCAGTGCAATTTTAAGAGCTAAATAAAATGTAGTTTAGTCAATGAAAATCAACTTAAATTCTTCTATCATTCATTTTCAAGTTTGTAATTTGCACATCGAGTTTTTATTTCCAAACCAATTTTGAATTTCCTCATTGTTTTAGGCAAACGTTTTGCTGTTTATTTTCACGTAGCATAAAATTTAGCGTCTGGGTGTCGTGTTACTAAGTATTTGTAATACTTCATTGTCGATATTCAGGACTGTAGTTAGGCAGGTTTTCATATAGTGATCCTGTGTGGATCGGGTCTCATTCTGAAAAAACAAACAAACAACTTTGGGTGCAAGTTCATCTAGCTGACGAGTTGCAAACAAGATAAAACATTCGTCTTGAATTTTACTGATAGCCAAATATCAGACATATTAAAACCAGATTATGATAGGGTTTTTTTTAATCATCCATCCGTTCATTCATCCCAGCAACAAAAAATAATTAGAATTAATAAATTTTCTTTCTGCAAGTAAAATTTATTTTTGTATCTTCAGTCAATCAACATCACATGCCAAATTTAACTTTTAAAATTCTAATTGTAACTTTGTCTAATTCACATCTGTTATTTCTTCTATAGCCTAATGCCTCAATTATATGCCTAACCAGAACTGTTAATTTTTAACCAACGTAGCTAAGATTCTATTAGTCTGCTATTCGTAAGCTCTTTTGTATTCTTTGCCCTCAGTCCAAAACGTCAGCAATCAGCTTCTACTGTTATTAAATTTCAAACATATGTGGGCTTATATACGTACATGCTCAACCTTATCGCTGAATAAAATAAAAATCATTACTATACATAAATGAGCCAAAAATTGTTTCAAACAATCGATTGGGAACAACATACAAGATAATAATTAGTTTAATAATACTTAATATGTTAAACGGAAGCTTACGATAAAGAGGATACATGTACATTGTAATCAAGTTACTCAGTAATAATTCAAAAACCAGTTTTAACCTTGACAATATATAGCTCGTTATACCAGTTATCATGATCTTCGTATGACATAATTTGAAGAAAAAAAAACAACACAACCTTGTTTCAGATCTAACATTTTAATATTAAATCGTTAAATATATTTAGGAAAATGAAGTAAATATTCATCTTTATTTCATGTTATGTTGCTATGATTATCTGAAATTGATCATGAAATGTCCAGTGTAGTTCATGAATTTACAATTCTACAGCTTTAACTATTGTTGTAATCTCAATGTCAATTGTTTGATGGTTAGTTAAATGACTTATTAATTTATAGAGTTATGTCAGATGATACAATGTAACTACTATTAAGTTTTTATTTAATAATTAACAGTTCAGTGTTATTATCGTTGATACAACAAAATGAAGAAATTGAAAGATGTTGACCCTAAGAATAGTATACCGATATAGTAGGTCAGTTAGAAATTGCTTAAATGAAAAGTGTATGTGATTGATCAAGAAATAACTTGAATTTCTAAAAAAATATGTTCTACACCTTTGGTGGCTAGATCTTCTAGAGGATATATATACACATGAGAATACACACCCACCGATTCAGTTTACTTCATAAACGTCCCTCTCATTCAGTCTTTTCATTCGAGTAACCGATTAGGCTCGTATACAGGAAGATTGCGTATCGCAATCGAAATCGGACATAGCATACACCTCACCTTACTATACGGATTTCTATCGCTGGTGGTAAGGCCTCACATGTTCATAAACAGCACATCAAGAAAAGGCGGGCGTACAAATGTCCTTAATCAATTGTTTCTTATGTAGTGCGATCACATTCTCAGTTCTCCAAGATCACTTCTTATCGAGTTCGCCTTTCATATTCACCTCATGAATACTTATCTTTGTACAATATATACAGCCTGGAAGTGATAGTGGTTCACATACCCTTAATACCACTCGAGATCACTTTGTTCATGACTTGCCAGCTGATGGATTGGATATTTTTCTATATCGTTCCACACAACAAAATAGTATTCTTTCAATGTACCCCATTTTATTCGCTTATTTGTTTTCTTCTTTTCTTCCCTTATTCGTAACAGCCGTTATAGTGCTCAGAATTTTGACAAATTAAATCAAGCCACATTGTTAAATCATATCACTGTTTTAGAAAATTGGTTATTAAAATTCGTGAAAATTGTTGGCGAAGAAAACAATCTTGTACGTGAACGAATTACTGAAGTTGAGGGGAAAATTAAAGGTAATGAACTTATTAGTTAATAGTATCACCATTATTATAATTATTGCCTCCTCACAAACGATGTATAAATAGTTTCATTACGTAGTGTACTCGAATTATAATGATGCCATTAGTTATTCATTGTTTACAGTTTTCTATCATATAGAGTGTAATTAGTTGTCTTTTGCTAATTATATATATATATATATATATATATATATATATATATATATATATATATATATAATTATGCAATAATATTACTCATACTTTGAGCGGTTTTAGATCTGGAACACATGATTTTTCAACCTTCGCTTCACTAAAGAATAAGTGATATATATAGAACTATAGATTTCCAGTTTCTATTTCTTTTATTTCTACTGTTTGAGTCTCATTAATCTGTAATTAAATAGTGATTTCTTACTTTATGTCATCATAATGTTCGATAAATATTTTTCAGGAATGCTATATTCCTCATTATAATGTATTACATGAAGAAATAACTCATTTCAATTGTCGGATCAAAGTGAAAACAGGATGTACCTAAGTGGAGTAATGACTCAGGGATAAATGCATTTGACTTTTACTCACAAAGTTACTTGCTCAAATACTATTACACTCAATTTGATTAACGTCACTAGACTTGAGATTAAGTGTGTGACTTGCAATAACTAAGTATACAAATCTGTACCTTGTAAGTCCGTATATAAATATATTACCTTATTTCCTACACATAGTTCCCTTTGCTTTGGATCATAACTTATCTTAAATATTCATCGATGTGACATATTTAAAAAAAAATTCATTTTCAAAAGTTAAACTTTGTGTGCGTACCCGGACTAAATTCTTTACTAGTTAGTTAGTCCTGTTAGCATAGACCAGAGATCAGGTTTCTCCAATCAATTTTATCCTGTACTTTCTTTTCTAGTCGTTGCAAAGTGCTACTCATTCTTTTTATGTCTACCTCCAGTTCCCGATGCAATATGTTCTTTACTTTCCCCCTTTTCTTTTTGCCTTGAGGATTCCAAGTTAAGGCTTACCTCTTGATGCAGTTCGGTGGTTTCCGAAATACTTGTCTTATTCATCCTCAGCATCTTTTCCTAGTTTCCTCTTCGCCAGAAGTTGGTTTGCTTTATCGTACAGTAGGTCGTTGCTGATGATATCCGGCAAGCAGTCATTGAGTATCTTGCGTAGTAGTTCTCCAAGTTTCAGCTCCATACACTCGAATTGTCTTGACGTTTATATTGAAGATTCTGACTTTGATATTGGTTGACAGTTGTTTTGAATTCTGTATGTAATTCAACTGTAGGAATGCGGCCCTTGCTTTGCCAATCTTCGCCTTTATGTCTGCATCAGATCATCTTTGTTCATCGACGATTCTGACCAGGTACGTGAAAGTTTCTACCTCTTCCTCATAGTCAAGGTAGTTAATGTATAATGACAAATTCCATTCAACAGATTTGGTCTGTCCTGATGCTTTCCCACTTTTGACTTGTCTGATGACCATCCTGGTTTTTTCGATTATTGGTGGAGTGACATCTATTGGAATGTTTGTATGTGCTGCTTCTATATCTGGTGGGTTCGGTAGGGCTGGTCTACTCAAGAGTTCTTTAGATTGTCCTATCCACTTGTTCCTACGTTCTTGAATCTCAGTGATTGGCTTGCATTCTTCCTCTTTGACTAGTCTCTCTGGTTTACTATATTTCCCTTCTAGTTTCTTCGTTCTTTCATATATCGTTCTCTATAGGCTTTTTCCACTGTTGTTGCTAGGTCTTCCACGTATTTCTGCTTGTCAGCTCTAATGCTCTTCTTCACTTACTTTTTTCCTTCAGTGTATGCAGCTTATGCCTTGACCTTCTCTGTTCTTGCTCGGATGTTGTTAATTGCCGTCTTCTTTTTTGAATCTTGTTCAGGATTTCGATGGAGATTCACTCCTTACTATATTACCTCTTGCAGCCCAGAACCTCCTGACTCGTTGAAGTTAGTGCTTCTTTAGTTTTCTTCTGTTGTTCTACATCCCATAGTCTTCAGTCAAAGGGATTCAACTTCTCGTGATCCATGTTTTTGATGTTATATGGTGGTTGTAGGGTAACCAGTAGAATACCTTGACTATAATTTCATGCTACACGTCATTCGTCAACAAGATGCGTCTGAACTCGTGAGGAAACCTGTACTACTTACTACCTATGGAACTATAACTCATGTTACACATTTTCATAGTCCCAGATGTTACCATTGTGCTTTTCACGTTCTCTTCGCAACTACTTCTAACCATCTCTTTTTACATAAGATTGAATCGCGATTAATATTCAAGGTTTTAAAAGAACACTCTTCTACAATTGCATCTTATCCTAATGAACACTATTTTTAATCTGCACTGGTTATATTTTTTACTCATCGGTTTCGTTAATTGTCCTCTCATCCACCTCTGCATCATGTAATGCTTTTACTCTCAGAATGAGGGGTTTATGGAAATTGTGGTGATTTTAATGGTTGAATTCATGAGTCGATGCAAGTTAGACCATCATTGAAAACCTGAAAGCATTGGACGACCGTCTCGTCCTAGTATGGCATTCCTCTGAAGTGCTCATTCACGATCCCGCATGAGGGACTACAAGGTCTTTTTATTCGTCTAATTCACATTTCACGTTCTGTTTGATGAACTATCATCAAAGAGTGAAATTACAGAATATTAAGTATAGAAAGGTTGACAACACTAATCAATATTACATGATTAAAATATTTTTTACATTCAATAGTCATAATTCAACATACATACATACGTATATACACATACATGGATACATACATACACACGAATGCATGGTAGTCACCATTATATCTGTTACATTCTCTATTTAGTGATTCTTGATTAATTACTTTTGTAAGTGTAATGAATACTTTTTGTGTTATAATGTCATATGACAATAACAGTTTGATTGTCACCAATTTTTTCTTGACTCTACACAAATAAACAATACACTCAATGTATGTGTATATGTTTGTATGTAGTGTTTACACTCATGAATATCTAAGTGACATTCTTCCACTTTTTTACCTTTTATTTAACCGAGTCTATATTTATTTGAAACGTTGAGATATCAATAAGGTATATATAGAATCTATTATCGGTTTATGTGTAATAATATTCAGGTCAGTCATTATTATAGCTATTACATTGACTGTATTGGACTATTGATAAATCATCGTCAAGTTACGATACCTGTAGCCGTAAGCGAAATGTGTTCATCTGTCAACTAAAGAATGAGTATACTCTATAGGAGTTTGCTCTTCTGTATACTGTGTGGCTGTGATACGTAACTGTTCGAAAAGTAGAAAATGTAGATATAGGTTACTAATTTTGAGTCACAGATGTCATCAAAGTATTGTTTGTCTTTGTTGTAACAAACGAGGAGTCAATGCAGAGGTTTGACTCACATTACTAGATAGAGATGGCAAATCAGTTGATGCGGTCGTGAACGTTTATTGACTGAAGTGGTTGGAACATTTATTACGTATACACAACCCGTCACTTACCTCGGCAAGTAATTCACGATGGTGTAGGAGTGAGTTGAAAATAAGATAGGGATGATCAAAACAAAACTTGGCATCAGTTCTTGAAATCATCAACTGTTATACTGCGTCATGAAGGTAAGAGTAGACTACTCTGTTGTGATCCACGCGATAACGTGAATCGACGAATTATGAAAGGAAAGGAAGTAGATGTCTCAAAACGATTTATTTCTTGTCGTAAAAATCAGACTTCTGTTTGTTAGAGGAGACATGTGGAAACTTAATACAACTGGCATTCGATTTGATGTATGATTTTCGAGAAGTTTAGTCTTTTTTGTTCACTAACTATTACAGATGATCACTGATATGTCTCTTGTTTAGTTTTATACATCTAAAAACAGGTTCTTTGACAACTGATTGTTATATATGCGAATAATAAACTAGTCTGTGTAATTTTTCGTTTATCTGATAGCTTTCAAATTTAATACACCTACATATATTGTAACCAATTCGTAATATACTGCTACCAATTGAATTATGTAATCTTGAGTTTAGTAACCCTGAAAGTCATATATGCAATGTTAAGGTGCGTCATGATAAAACATAATGTTAACTTTATGAATAAGTTTACCTTTACATACAGTCGCGTGTTTCTGAGAAGTTGTATGTTTTCCTACGATGTCTGTGAACCTGCAAACATGTATACAATATGTAACACCAAATCATGTCAATCTAATCGTTTTATATATGTAAGTTATATCCGTCACACGTTCATCTCATTTGGGGCACCACCGAAGACCAGGAAATGCTGAACAGATATTTTATTCTAGTATGTAGTTTATTATTAGTATGTATCCACAATCCTACTAGGGGTAGAATCCAAGACTTTCAGGTATTGTTGCGAACTTTTACCATCGGGAAAAGTAGGTCCGCGTCCAATATGTAGCCCCGAAATCAAATCAGTCTTCACAAAATCTTTTCATCTTAAACATTATAATATTTGTAGAATAGATGGATTTGTGGTTAACAGTTGAACAAAGGATGCACTATTTACCCTACTTATAGTTCGTCAGCTACATGTATTTCTCATCATCAGTCAATAATACCCACAACAGATTAATTCAGATCCTTTTTAATATAGATATAAACACTAAACCGACTGAACAATGGTTAGTGGTTATCTGGACTCCAGTAGCTCAGTAGATGATGCGATGGTAGTTTGAGGCAAAAGGTTTTGGGTTTGAGTCCTAGTATTAACACTTCAACATTGAGATGAGGCTGTATCCAGTTAACGAGTCCTGAATAAGACGCAACGTATTTCTGTATCCCATTGTTAACCGTAATCCATTTATTCTGTAAAAATGTGTGATATAATCGATTCATTGCACACAGGATGCACATAATCTAATTTAGACCGATCAAAATTCAATCACGAGTGTAGACCATTAAAATTGTTTATAATTATGAGTATTTATTTCTGATACTTTTGTTGTTTTTATAGGTGTTTTCTACTTCTGATCATTACCGTTATTGTTAATGTTTTTCTCTTACTTGTTTTACTTTAAACATATAGCTATCATAGAAAGTCATTTAATCAATCTACAAGATATTTACCCTAAGGTACAAAATATTCCACATATGAAAAAGGTATGAGTTTTATCATATAGTCTACCAAATGTTTTTGATTATTCATGCTAAATCCTATTTAAATTTACAAATTCACCAAGTCCTTGTGTATACGTTATGCTATAAACACGAAGGTTAACAATGTTATTTAGTTGTGCAAACCAAAATAGAGCGGGGCACAAAACTAAGGACGTGGTAGGTGAAAGTTGAATACTTTAACCACTGAGGTGCCTCTGTATCCATTATATAGAATAGATGGGTCTGATGGACACAGTTTTTTTTCCAAAGAATTTATCAAAATTTCTGCAGATGTTCCGTTTCTACATTGCGTATTGTTACATGTGGGCTTTATTTCTAAAACCATAACTTCTGTTCTCTAATTCATGTTTATATTATTCGGCGCTTGGAATAAACAGATTTGTTTAAACTTCAAATTAATTAATGCTTTGAATATGGAGGCTTTCATTATTTCATTCATGAAGTGTATTTATATATTAAGGATTGATTTGCTGACAGCTAGTTTCACAAGATCACCCTCCACTGAAACAGAATTTTTAGTTGAACTTAAATGGTCAAGATGAGGCTGATGATAGTATAACTGGTGATGATAAGATACGGGCTGTATTTTTTCTTCGATAAATCAGTACAAACGTGGATAAAATATACTTCACATTTAGAGGTCATTCGGATATATCGCGATATTGAATTGGATGTTCCCAGTCATATCCATTATGGAATCATCAATAAATGTCATAATTTAAAAAAAAAAACTTTTTAATTATTGCTCAGGATTCATTCATTTTGAAATTTGTTGTCAAAGTTGGATTTAATATTTGAGATGTTGTACATGAACTCATACCAAAGTAACATTTTGACGAATTAGTCAATTAACTAAACTATTGTACTTAATTATCTTCCTACCGAGTTGTCACAAACTAATTTTTTACTTAGCAGGAACTTAGGCAATATTAGTGTAATGAAGATAATATTGGCTCCCCAACTATACGTCATCAAATAAATCTCAAAAATCACATCGTCACTAGACCGATATAATATCGTTTATATACTAATTTTTACACAATCGTATCACATATAGGAAGCAGACGCACTGTAAAAACGAACAGGCTCCGTATAGTTCACCTGGATTGTGATGCACGGAATAGAAATGTAGTCTATTAATCCTGTCGTATCATAATCATATTTGTATGCTTAGGAGTTGACATCGAATTCTGATTTCTTTCACATGTATTTGTGTGTGTTTTGTAGCCTGAGATTGCTAATCCAGTCCTTCTACCTGGTGAAATCGCTATTCCAATTGGTGGTTATGATTGTTTATCATGTCAGTTATTGCCAGATGGACGTTATGAACGTAATGATTATCAACTATTGGACCCATTCAATAGTAATATTATTAATTCTAACATCAATAATGGAGGTCATGGTAACGACAGTAATGACAATATCAATAGTAAACAACACGATTCACTTGGAAACTTGGATGTATGTGATTTAGATGTGGATCTTATGCTTAGACCATTACTACCTGCTCAAGGAGCGTTATTTATTACCAATTATCGTATAATATTCACAGGTGTACCAAAAGATCCATTTCGTAAGTTTTTTCTTTAAATGCTAACAAATTTAACCAGTGAGATTGTTGTCAATAAAGGAAAAATTCTAAAAAAAAGTATTAGGAAATACTTGTTATGGTAAGAGTAACTGGGACGTAATACAAACATGAGTTGAAAAGACAATGTAGATACCATTTGGCTAGCATTTTTATGTCCTTTACTAATAAACTTATTTTAATTTGTGTATACTTCTTTCTTTCATAGATTAGTGATTGTGTAAATACTATCTAAATTGAACCACAGTTTTATCCAATAGCTTGTGTGTTTCTTGGTTAAGTGAAGCTAAATATCTACCAAATACCATGGGCTTATCAATCCTACTCTTTTATCATCTGACCCTATGTCTGATTAGACTAGCGTATTTCATTTATATATGTATTATGAACATCTGAGGAATTCAAGTGATTGACTAATTCCGCTTATTTTGTCTTCTTACACGGAAAACGAGTTATACATTTTTAAAAAATACACACTATAATAACCAATAAGTTGTTTAGTGTGAACATTTTGTAAATAAAATGCGAGAAAAAAACAACAACTAAATTTACAGAGTACGTTGAATTCATTTGTATTACAAGGCTTGTCATCATCATCTATAAACACACTCAATCTACGTTAGTAATATCATTATAAAAAGGTTTTACATACCATAATCAATGAAGTTTTTCTCAAAAACATATGTGAAACAAGATAAGGATACAAGATATTCAATATAACAATTAAGATCAATTTGTATTTGTATGTTCAAAGCGAAAGTATGAAAAGAATGCGGTGAAGTTATAAAAATGATAATAAAGAGATAGTGAATAAAAACAATTTGTTTTAACAAATAAATAATAATCAAGTTACATAGTTCACATAAAATGAATGTTGTAAGTGAATATCAATATGAGTCTCTTTGTTTTAAGTTAAAGGATAAAATAAAACAATAATGTAATTTACCAACTTGAAAATTATATACCCATCTCACCATAGTAACAACTAGTTTACCACACTTTCTTTCTGTATATAAAGGTCAGGTCGAAAGCGCATGATAATGATGGTCTTCTGAAAGTGGAGTTAAAATGATGTTCTCTTATTGATAATTATTTTACACATCTTTGGGTTAACCACATTGTTTTCTCTATCCACTAAATATCTAGTAATTGCGCTTGTGAATAATTTACTTTTAAACTCAACTTTCGAGAAATATATTCAGAAACCTTGGAGATGTACTCTTCTCTCATTGTTCCCTATGTAACAACCCCCATAAGTATTCTAGTTTTCCCACCTTTACCTCTTTTTCAACTTATTGCTGCATGAACAGGTTACACACGTCCTAACCACCTTACATGGTGATGGAGTACTGGAACTTAAGTGTATATTGATCAATGTTAAATATTTTATATCCATTATTTTTCTGAGGGATCGTTACTGACTGTTCCGTCTAACACTTTTATCTTCTCCAGAATCTAATAAAGTGATCAATCGAAGTTTCCCTATATCTGCATTGAATACTATCAAAAAGCTTGGCTGTGTTCAAATGGTTACTGCCTTTCAATCATCATCATCAGCCAATCCTGGTTCATTAACAACAATAACATCTGGTTTCCGTTCAGCAACATTATTTGTTGGTAAAAAGTCTAAATCAAACACAGTGTTTGGTAAAAATACTTCATCAAGATATCTATCGACAGCATTACGTCCAACGTATTCAGCTACTACAAATCGTCATGGTGTGGTTTATCGTACTGAAAATTTGGACGTTCTCTTACTACGTGCATTAACTTTTCAAATGCTTAAAATTGGATTTGATGTTGGTGAAATACAACCGGAAACGAGAGATGAATTACGTAGTCTGCTGGAAGAATTGCGTTATCCCTCAATGATGTGCATGGGATTTAACTCAGCCCCATTAGGTTTGCTTTTCTCGCGATCTACAAATACAGTGGGTAATCGTTCTGCAATTACAGATTTAAATAATAATACTAGTAGTAATACAAAAGACTATATTTTACCAAATATGGTTCGTATGAGGCATTTGAAAGGTAAAACCCATAGAAGCAATATGTTAACAGATGCAAATTATTCTTCAATGACGAATGGGGATCGCAGGTATTTAAAATTCAGGTCATTAGCGTATTCCGAATTTTGTTTGTTTGTTCAAGTTATTCCTTTTTTATTTTATTATTGTCATTCTGTTGGTTACAGTAATCGAGATAACCGGATGAAGGATTCTAATCTTAATCAGAACATTTCAGAAAGTTCCTCCTTTCTGCCTTATTTCGTTTTGATGAATTGGCCACTAAAAATCTTCTTTAGTGTCTGGCTTCGGAGTTGTAAACTAGTATTTATTTTAAACTGGACTGTCGTTATTTTATGGTCTTGAGTACTTTTTTTTACAAACAATATTTTTTTTCGAATCCGTAGTTTTTTCAATTAGCCTATCTCTGTATGTGTACCAATGGTGCGTAATCGCATACAATATAACATAATTATTCACTGTTATTATTTTACCAGTACTAGCGATCAGGCAAGCGTGAAATAAGACAATGCTCAGTGGTTAATCAAAGTCAATCTTTTCGCCTTATAGGTTCGAATGACTCAACCATATCATGAGTAACACTAGTTGACTCTCGTTTGGAGCATGCAAGGAGCATTAGTTCTTTTGTCTAAGAAGACCTTAGGTTATCTAGTTTTGTGACTATTTGTTAACTGTTTCTTGTAACGATAACCATAATTTTTGTAGTTGACATTTCCCTAAAACGTTTAGATACACGTTACCGACCAACATTAATCCTAGGTTCATGGCTTATTGCTAATTATTTCCAACCTCCTGGCGGCGTTAATACATTTTATTCATAAATATATAAATAAATAAATAAGTAAATAAATATAGAATTTATTCTGTTTATCTTTCTATTTTTTATTCTGGTCTTTAGGCGTACACATAGTAACCAGCAATTTGTTAACTCAGACAATAAAACGCTGATATATCAATCGTCTTTGCGTTCTCCTAAGAACCATCTCTATAGTCAACTGAATTGTATGCTACCTGCTGCTTTTCAAAATAGTAAGTTTGTAGTTTACATTTTATATTAGGAGATATACTTTTCTAATTTGCAAAGATTATAATTCGGCGTATGTTATTATGTAGAGCGGTAGCTCAGTGGTTGATCTATTTACCTTTCAGCTACCAAGTTGCATGTTCGAATCTAATTCTTTTTTCTTTGATTTGGGCAATCGAGTGGTATCAATAACTCTCACGCGTTCACTGTAGCTGAAAGCCATGTACAGGAATCTGTACACCGACGAATGGGTAGATGTGGTTATTCATTGTAAATGTAGCATAACAATTCTGGACACCTGAGTTCAATTCATACTGTATTTCAAAGAAATCTTTGGAATACTCCTCAATTAATTTTTTCTCTTCTTATTTTAATACAATCGAAACCAAAAATGAAGGCTATTGAGTTATTGCAAAATTTCTGTCGTACATTATAATTTAATCAAAGAGGTTTGGAGGAGACTGATTTAATTTCTTGGTTGTGTTTGCTAGAGATTGATCTCAGCTTGCTGTATCTTTGAACGTTGAGTAGTACTGGGCAGTTGTTTCATTTTAATACGAAGCTCTTCAGAGGTGCATGTCCATGACTCTTTCATGGATCTAACCTAAAACCTTTAGGTCTCGTCAATCGTAGATTATCAATTAACAAATAACTTTTTAGACTGTATGTCAACCTTGAATTAATCAAATATTCGATACTGCATACAACTAAATGATATACAGAAACTCAAATCAGATTCTTGTTTACCTTACTTCATTGGAAAAAAGGTTTTCCATTCTAAAAGATGAGGAAAGAGTGATCTTTATTCAATTGTTAAAAGTTTTTGTCTACTTATTTGGATTATTAATATGAGCCAGAATTACTATTCAGCTTCGCACGATTTCCAATAAGCAGTTCCATCAGTATTTATACATGTGAATGTGAATTATTTGCATACATCTAGATGTCTACCTCTTTTCCAGTGGTTCTACTTGATTAAAAAGTTTTTATCATTACAAATAATAACTATGTAGTAGTCTAAACCTTTACTTTGAACTTTCATGTTTTTAAAAAAAACAATTACAGCTGTTTCGTTTGAAGAAGCAGCCGCTAATTTAGCTGCTACGTTAAAAGCTTTTCTAGTGCCTCCGTGTGTATCTGCATCATCGACAGCTTCTACAGCTGTTGACCCAAATTTTATAAGACTATTAACACAATCTGCAGGCTACTTGGACATGGCACGTTTCGGAAGTAATTTAAATCCTGGAAGCACTACCGGTGCTACAGTATTAGCTGCAACAACTTCAACAACACTGACAACACCGTCGAATAATCTTTCGGTTGGATTGAATGAAAGTGGCAGTGGTTCTTTGAATCGTTCTTCTGTTGGAGCTGGAAGTAGTAGTGGTAGTCGAGGATATTGTGGTGCTCGTCTTGTTGCGTTCAATGTTCATCATACTTTAGTGAAATCTTATCCAAGTTTTTTCATCATACCACAGGTAATTTTATTCTATTTGTAACTAGTATTTATTCTATAGTTTTTGATTAGTTGGAAATTACGTAAATTGAGATCAGTGAAAAATAAGTGTTTACTCATTTGTTCATTATTCATAAACAATAATGATGCCATTCAACGAATTCATATATAAATTTTTTATCGAATCATTTTGTTTGTGCTTAAACTTTTCTTCATTCTCTATCACCACTACAACTTCTGTTATTCAAGTATCTAACCTTATAATTTTGTCTCATTGTACTAATGTGATAGTGAAACTTGGAAAGATACTCCCTACCCCACATATATGCCAGTTTTCAGATTGTTTATGATTGATACTGGTTTATTGTTAACATTGACAGAATAGTGAATCGTTTTTAACTAAATAATTTTTATTTTTTATAAATGTTCCATAACAAGATCTTTTGTAGTCTAGTCTAACATATTTCAAACAAATAGTTTTTATAGTAAGAGACATACAAGTGAATACTTCGTAAAAACAGTCTAATATGAAATTGATTAATTATATATAACTTGCCTGGACAACGATTATCACAATGCGCAATTCTGACTAGTGTTGTAGACGGTTGAAAGAAAGTTAGGGGCGGCCAAACCAAAATATGTCGTCAGTCTTCGAGGTTACCAACTTCTAGTCTGAGCTATGTTGGTAGATACAGACTGTTTGGTTGGTTTCTACGCGACTATCGTAACCAATGGTTGGAGACTGTGGGTGATATGGCTCAGAATCTATCATAATGGCGTAGGTGTATACACTCTCTTTCTTCTCCTAAATTGCTTTATACCTTTCTTTCTATGAACTAATTCTTTCTTCCTGTATTATATCATTATAAACAATCTTCCTTTAATATATTACTACCATTGAAGTAACTACTTCGGTATTGTTCTTGTTGTGCTAATAAGGTGTGACATCTTATACCGTTGCAGATATGTGCCTGGTCTTACGTTATAGTTGACTGACTGACTGTCTAGTTAATTTATCTATCTGCTTTATATATATATATATATATATATATATATATATCACACCAAGACTAAATCACCAAGTGAAACATCGTCTAAAATTTATTAATTCTTAATTTTATAGACATCAATTTAATTTTCTACATTACATTGAAGTATTCAGTAATATTCATATGATTGATTGTCTAATTTTCCCATAACACTCATCATCACCATCGTGTTTCACTGGATTTTAGAAATTCTGCAATACCGATTTGCATAGCAATACTAATACTAACACTTTTACTGATAATAATTGTATTGTTTAAAGTTTTGTGTTCATTATCAGCAACCTCACTTGACTCCACTGATATTCTTTGAGAAAAAAAACTCATCACAATGGTGATCTTCATGATTCTTTCTGTAGGGAATGATTCTTTTTATGTTTAATTATTCTTATATTTCATTGTAAAAGAAGCTGAACTGTATTTTAAAAGTACAGTTTGTCATTTTTTGTTTTAATCAAGTTAGTTCATAAATTGACATGTGGATTGTTAGCTTCAATGTAGTTATATGTATGTAACAGTACATTAGTGAACTGAGAGAACTGACATCTAATGAAAACATGAGTTCTCTCGTAATTATTTAAATTGTTAGCACCATCTGCAAATTGAAAAGTATTATGAACAGAGTGCTTAGATACTTAACTGCTCACTTGTTCGAATTTTTAGACTAACCATTCAGTAGTTCTGTAGATTTAATCTTAGCATATACCTCATAAAGTACTTCAATTGTCATTAGAAGTATATATTTTAAAGAATTTGTACAGATTGAACTCCTTTCTTATCAATTTTATCCAATATCTTACTCTTAATTAACATGTTACTGTTCTTTATTTTTTCCTATGGATACTAAACATCCAATACAACCGATGCAATACCATCTCAATGTTTTTTTCATTAGTCTGTCGGTCATTAATCAACTAATACTAGTAACCTTTGTCAATCCTCTTTGTGCCTTCCTCTTCACTTTGTTGCTCATAGTTTTTTTTATTAAAAGAAAACACCTACTCTGTAATAAGAGTTTAATCTCCAAATTCATGGAATTTATATTCGCCTAGGATTTATTCGGCATGTTTTCTATTTCGTTTCCATTTTAACACTCTATTAACACTCCATTTTAACACTTTATTGTTCATAATTGAGCTTTTTTATTCTATTTATTTCATTTTATCATGTTGTATTTACACCATCGTTCGTAAAGTAACTTACAATTTCTGCTATTCTAACATTTACTTCACTTTTCCCATTTCTATATGTTTTTCTTAAAGGGTATCACTCAGAATTGTTTAGCAAAAGTAGCTCGTTCACATAGACGTGGTCGTTTTCCAGTGGTCACATGGCAACATCCTGAAACTAAAGCTTATCTATTACGTGGGAGTGAAATACAATCAAATGTAATTTTGAATACTTTCAAAAATATTAAATCCTCATCTAAAATCAACACTGGAGATTGTGGTATGTAAATTATTTCTTTTCTTTAAAAAAAAAACAAACAACATAAATTTACCGAAATCAGTTTTTCACTATTGTAATCAGATTATACAAATGAATTATTTGAATGTTTAACTCAAACTTTACCACAGTTCTTCCTAGTCCATATATTCAGTTTAATCATGATATATTGAATGTTTGCTTTTCATTATAAGTAACTATGTATTGAACATAAACATTCAATAACAAATTTGAAAGTTATTTATCATGGACATATTGTACAAAATTAAAATTCTTTAGCGAACGGAACATTATGTTTGAAATTTTCAGTCACAGTGGCGCCTTCATCAATGATCACTAAGTGATTGAGCATTTACACTGTAAGGAAACTTAATACAGCTATTTTTTTCGATCGAAAGTTCCAGATTATTTCAAAGTATGCGTGTCGGTAATACGATGAATCAAACCTTTCATTATAACATAATTGGATATGTAATCAATACAAAATAAATGATAACAAATTATGATTAACAGTATATATTTAATTTTAAGGTTTGTTATCTGTAAAAATAATGATCACTTTGATTTTTTAGTAAAACGGATACCCTAATTAGTTGATTAATTAATTATGGAAACGGACTATTTCAGTAAACCATTTATAATGTTTTATCACAGTACTATTGTACAAGTGGTAATTTCAAACAAAGACAAAATCACGAATTGTTTTAAGTTAAAATTGTATAATTGAATGCTGGTATCCAGTAGTTCTAATGATTAAGCGTTCGCCTGAGACCTGATGCTCCTAGTTTCGATCGCTGATCTAGTCGTGCGTACTCACTGCTATGGGATCTCACACGAAGACGAATCTAGTAAGTAGCGCTCCCTAGTTTTTAATGGTTTTTCAACTTCGGTCAATCTGTTATGGATATAGCCTTAAATAAAACGAAGTGACTGTTTTTTTAACTCCTTCTCTGATTATTCGCTATCAGTTTTCGATTAAGCAGTTTTTAACTCTTCTTCCTATAAAGCTTACAATTATCTTCGAAACTTCTTCTTTTCATAGACGATAATGCTGATTCTACACTTTCTCATGCGACAGTTTCTAAAGAACATATACGTTATATTCGTGCACTAATCGATATGTCTTTATCAGCTATTAATAGTAGTCGACCAAGTAGTGTTATCACTTCAGAAACTGGTTATTCAGCGACAGATGATTTGTCAAATTCATCTCAACTACCTACTGTCGCTTCCCCTAAAGTTCCATCAACAGATCATTTATCAAAAGAGTTCAAACCAGTTATCAATAAACCTAGTCCAGTTGTTTCACATGTGACTAATAATAGAACAAAATGTAAGTTGAGACTTTCTCTGGTTTTTGAAGTCAACTGTATGTAAATTTTTGTTACTTATGAAAGGGGCGTAAATTCCAGTAACATTATATCTATCCATATGTATTTTAATGTAAACACTCGTTTTTTTATGTCACGGACTGACTTTAGATATTCAACTGTTCAGAATCAAGATGTTTTGTATGATTCCTCAGCAGTACATACCACGACGTCATTAGATGTTGAACCCAGAACATTCATATCTCGCGATAAGCATTTAATACCAAGAATCATTGGAATTTTCACCACAAAACATAACAACACAAAAACTGATCCAATGAAGATTTTATTGACCATTCCAAAAGCACATTGTCTATAACTAAACGTACACTCATCTGTATATGTGATTTTTACACAAACTTGATGTTTAATTAGTAATACCACAAAATACACAAAATCACTGGGGAAAAAAAAACTGTTTGAAATTCATATTGATTTAATTCACAAAATATGAACCTGACATAAATAGTACACTATACATGCTGCCTTATTACAATGGTTTACTTCTCTAATTCCAATCAATTCACAATATTATTCAACGGTTTTTCAAGTCGTTAGTAACTAATTAACTATTTCACATTCAAGAAGATTAAACTTTACTTGTTACAGCTTTTAATTAGAACTCCTAGAATTACCTCTCATATTTAATCCATAGTGAGTACATAATTACTAGTTAAATTCATGTGTCGATTAAAGTTATAACACCATGGAAAACCTGGAAGCACTGAACAGCCGTTTCTTCCTAGTGTGGAGCTCGTGAGCAGTTCACATTCACGGTTCCACATGTGGGACTCGAACCCAATACCTTCAGTCTTGCACGTGAACGCTTAACCTGTAGACCATTGATCCGGCATCCAATTGTTTTAATGTCTAACTTTAACCAATCCACGAAATTGCGCGACCGTTCACCATTGTCTTCAGTGAGTAGCTGGCTCACAACACACACTATTGAACTCCACTAGTCATGGCTTCTCACTAGAACTCCCGCAAATCCGTCTTGAATTTAGTCACTAGTGAGCACATGATGATTATTATCAGGTTATCCATGGTAGTCTATCTTTCATCGACTTGTGAACTCAACTATTAAATTACTACAATCTCCACAAAATCGCTTTTCACATAATTATTACATGGAGGCTATGGAATTATCACTCTTGTTTTTCTTATACATATATATCATTCACCTGTATTACCTCAACTTTTTACAGTTAGGAAACACAAAGGTAAGTTCCAAATCATACTCATATCACAAACAAAAGAAATTTAATAAAGAAAACTAACTTATTAGAAAAGTCCAATCATTTCATATATTTTTTTATTGTTTTCTGGTGTGTTGTGTACATTTTGCTTTTCCTTTTCCTCCTCATTATTATAATTAATAATTGTCTCCATTCTATGCTAACTTGAATTTTCTTCTAAAATACTTAATTAAACTAGATTTTACAAAATTATACAAAACAATACTTTCAAGCCATGTTTTTTTATTCTTTCAACTATAATTTAGTTACTTGTTAATAATAGTAGTAGTATTGTCTCTTTCACAAAAATAATCTGCCTATATGTTATGTAATCGATTAACTGTCAGAAAAATTTCACATAATCGGTTACCTATGATTTCAGTATGATCAATAATCTGCCTGACTGTTAGCCGTGTTCTTTTTAAAATTTAAATTCTATTGTTTCCGGTTAAGGAAAGTACCAGAATCTGTAGTTAACCAATATTATAGGTGTTACTTATACACTTGACAAAATCATAATTTCTACCTAACCATTGTAATAGTTACATAAAAGATCATTTGTCAACTTATTCATTTTTAAGCATTAAAAACAGAGTTCATGGAAAAATACAATAAGAAAAACAAGTTGTCTAAATAAGGTCTGTACTTTTCTTTTTACTTCTTGGAAACAGTAGTAATTCTTCACAATTATTTAATAATATTAGCTTAAAAGTTTTTCAGAAACTGTTGAATTTCATAGTTCACATCACTAACTCTTCCTAGTTAGATTAACATTAAGAAAAAACCCCAGAAAGCATTGAATAGATATCGAATGTTTGACTATGAAAGTTGAATCCATTAGTATATATATAACCATCGAGATGATAACAACCGATGGTTAGAGACCCTGAATGACATGGCTCAAAATCGTTTGCAATGGCGCAGGTGCATCCACTCTTTGTGTTCTCCAAATTCTAATCTTCTGAATTCTTCATGTCCCTTTTTTCCTCTTCCCAAATTTATTTCACTGTATTATACTCCTTGAATAACATCTTCAAACCTTAATCTTTCCGGTTACTGCTTATACTCTTACTACCTCTACCACTACAGGATTTGAATCGACCACTGCATCTCTGTGCTAATGTGGTATGGCAACTCGAACTGATGTACGTATGTACGTACGTACGACGTTCTATGTTGTTACTGACCGACTGACTGATTACTAATTTAGATACATTCGGCTGTTTATCTTTCTTTTAAAGTCATTTTTGTTATAGCATATCACACTGTGTGTAGATTGTTGTGTAATTTATGAATCAATAGCTTTGTAAGAATGATAATCTTGATAGCCTAAAACGAATGTACATCTTACATATTGTAATTAATGTTTATTTATATCGAAAATAATATCTTCTTGTTTTTCAGTAGAGAAAGCATTCATTTGATTCATTGTTTGAATAAGAAATAATAAACTCATTACTACATTTTAATATTTTCTTCACACTTAACTAGAGGATGTAATTAAGTAAATTTCAGGGTTTTTAATACCATGGCTTTTTGCGTGTTTCAAACAGATAACATCAATTACACAGAGATTATGTGTAAAGACGAATGAGATAATTTTTATTACACAATAACATCCTTCCAAACGTAATCGACTTATCGGTAATTAGTCATTTGTCTTTTTACCAACTGAACTTAACATTATTGATTACACCTGGCTACCTATTGACTGATTACTCAAGAATTAGCCTATCCATCATACAATTGACCAAATGATATTGTGTCATTTAATTTCATACACATTCATATGTTTTCTTTTTTTTTAAAGACTTTTGCCTTCATATGTTTTCTTTTTCATCTAGCACTTCCTTTACATAGGCTTTATACTTAATGTAGAACTATCGTCTTGTTACTGTAAACTTTTTTTTAAAATGATATCAACAAGAGTTTAGTCTGATCATTTAGCTAAACATATACTTTTTCAACTTAGTGTATATTGTGTGCGCGTATGTGTTCATTGATGTGAGACAATCTTCACTTCCTAACACATCATAACTAATAATGCTATTTTTGAATAAACCCTTTTTCTCTCTCTGTATTTTTATGTTCTCGACGTATTTATCAGTGTTAAACTTCGAATCCGCTCTATTTCTCTATATTCAGACTATATTAATTGACAGACATGATTTCTGAAATATTCTATATACTCAATTATCTCTTTCCTTATATTCACATTATATATGTATAATAGAATCTTATTACTGTTGTTCCTTGAGTCACATCAAACTAGTCTCAATGATTTTATGCTCAGTTAACTATAGAATCGACAACCTATTGTGTATTAGTTTACATCGCAAATGTTCAAAACTATAGTAGTTTAAATATGAGCAGAAGATAAAATGACAATTTCGACATTGAATTGTAATAAAATTGATGTAATTGTGGATTACAAGGTTGATACATAGATTTGAAGGGTTAATCTAACTACAAAGGTAAACACTACAGTCAGTTGATTCATTCCTTTTATGCTGAGTTGGTTTATATACAGATCGGTTGTGAGGTTTGTTTCATTCAAATTCATTTGAAATAACAGTGATTTTCGTATTTCTTTTTTATGTACTTCATTACTTTGATTTTTTGTACAGATAATTGCTAGGTGGATGTCGTTAGGTAGCCCGTTTTTTAAAATTTTTATTATCATGAACACTTGTATCACTATCTTGTTTAATGTTTAATCCTTGTGTTCATGTGTTGCGTTTACCTTATAAGTTTTACTCATCATCCAATCCTGGCTAGCTAAGTCTGTTTGTGAACCACTTTATTACATTTTTTTCATTGCAATATCAGATTTATGGTTCATTTTTTCTCATTGACATCTAATGTATAGTAATTGTGATTGATTTGACACAAATATGTATCTGCTCAAACTGCCTTTACTTAAAACCTTGTAACGAAAGAGATAATATGGAAAATGTGAAGCATATATATTCATATTGATTTTTTATGTATTAAATACTATCCAAAGCTGGATATAAAACTGTATGACTGATCTTGAGCCAATATCAACTGACCGGTTTTTATTGACCAAATAAGTCATAAAGATCTCATCACTTTTACAAAATAACACCAACTTATGTAACAAATAAATGTCATTACATTTAATGGCAATTGTATTGTCTGAATTCCAGTCGGCATAGTTTTATCCTAACCATATATTTCTTACTTCTTTTCTCTTCTATTTGTTTCAGTTCGTGATGGTAAGATCTTTTTGATAAGTTTTAAAAATACTTTTCTTATATATACATACAGGCATTTATTCATTCATTCAAGCTATATGAATCTATATTACAATGATTCTTATTTGAGTGTAGTTTATTTGTAAAATATGTTCATAGGCGAACAATCTATGATTGTATTTGTCTATTTTTATACATCACTTAGCTGTATCCCCTCATTTACAACACTTTATTATTCGAAGAATATAGAATAATTGGGTGTAAAAGAAAGTGATTTGTCTCCTATTTATTTCATTAATTTTATGAATTATATTAAACTTCATACTGGATTTGTGTTTTATGTGTGCGTGAAAGTGTGCGCGTCTGTTTGTGTTTGTTTCCTTTTTTCTTTTAATGCTTTTTCAATTTATGCGCCGCTCTCTCATATTTACATTGTTGTAATCGTTATTTTTTCCCCAACTAGTTTAATAATACCTTTCGTCAAATTGTTCTCAGTTAATTGACGATGTTATACATGTTTATCTATTGAATTCTTGGTTGTTTTTGTTTTTGTTGTTGTTGTCGTCGTTGTGTTGCCAATTATTTTGCTTACATTTTCGTTTGTAATTATTCTTGTTAGTGTTTACGTTGTGATTATCTGTTATAAATGTGTATTGTTATGATTAATTTTCTTTACTGTTATTTTTGCGTGTATGTATGTGTATCTTTTTTTTCGTAGCTTCTCCATCAGTTATTATGTTTTGCTACATTTAACTTTAATAGTTCACTATTTTTATTTTCAAAGTATAGACTTGTAGTTTGTTTATTAATATATAAGTCAACATGTAGATTTTATTGTCCAGTGTTACATTTCACAGTAAAACTTAGTTTTTTTTGTGTTTTGTAACTTACTGGTTATGTACCAGTTCATTTATGTTTAGAAGACTAACAATAGCTCATTTTGATACTTACTCTTTGTGGTTAGTCGTTAGAAATAGTTGAAAACTTATATTTGGGTACTTGTATAAATGCTGCCGCTGGAATGCTTGATTGAGATCTATCGACTTATAGTGATGACCAGACACTTTCATAGGTTAAGAGTCATAACAGTTAGATGGTTTACGGTCGCATTATTACTTTATTGGAAATTCAAAAGGAAATAAAATATAGAAAATGAGTACTTGCCACCTCAATAGCTGTTTGGCTGAGCAGATGAAACTCTCATTCTGTTCAATATTTAATAACAAATAATATTAAACAGTTCAATCATTATTTGTTCAATGAAGAATGATGTACATTGAAATATTATCTTTTTGTCACACATTACTTTATTAGTATTTCATGTGAGGTAGAGTTATTTACTTATGAAACAGTAAGAAGTAGGATGTAATGCTTTCAATAATCGCGAGGATATTTCCACTCTTAATAACATATTTGAACATCAATAATTAATTAGTTTACAATGTAGTTTATAAACTATTTTGAGATACGATTTTATTTATTTATTTTAACACATAGATATTGCTGCAGGGAGGCATCAAAGACATATGCACCACACAAATCTCATTCGATATGTGTGAGGGCTGTGATACTGCCCGGGTGCCCGAACTGAAGCAGGTGGTTTTCTTAGGGGGCCACTCCCCGAGCCTTCGACCTGAAGGTCTGATCCATAAGGCAGTAGAGCATCGTTAGCAGATGCAGTCCCATGGAAGCCGGTGACCAACATACGCCATCATACGCCATTTGTTCCTTCAGGATACTGGAACCCGTGTGCACCATTGGTTTGGAATTCGGTTAAAGCTCTGGACATTCGCTTTTCGTCCTCTCATTTTTGTAAACAACACACCCGCCACGAGAAGGCAGTGAGTAGGACTTCCCCGGCAGAGGCTGTTTACGCGTGGCCATGTGAGAGCATTTCGAGAGGGAGAGCGGACTCTCCCCACTCTCGGCCGTACCAGGGCATTTGGAGGTAGTCAATAAAAAACTTTTTGGTGCTTGTTTGCAAGGTGTAAACTGTAATCTTCTGTGAATTAAAGCTCCATATGCAATTCATACCTTTGTCACTCAACAGTATAATCCGAGACATTATCACTTTTCTACTCGAACTGTGACTAATCACCTAAAAGATCGAGATATTCATAATAATTGATCACTGAGTAATAACCTATATTTTCTTTGTATAGTCCTTAAGCTCTGATACCAACGTAGTTCACGTGATGTTGAATCACTTAAATTATAGTTGGCACACTTAAAGTTGGCATACAGCATCCATTCAAAGGACATGAGAGCTTTGACCTTTTTTTTTTTTTTACCGGAAATTACTTCTTAATAATGCTTTTCTCATCATTAAAAAATTTAGTATGCGTGTCAGTTATCCTATGTGAACTAAACTATTTATACACTGATTTGGTTATTTCAATCCCTTCATATTATTGCTTCAATTTTGATCAATTGATTATTCTGTTAACTGTTATCGCAAATAATTATTTAATGGATCTAACCAAAGTCCAGTTGTTTTATTGAGTTAAGAATTTACTGTGATTCCCAATATTGGTATACTCACTATTTTGAATTGATTGATAGTGATTTTACAGTATCTCGTTTATCATTAAAACGTTTGTTTGTTTGCTTGAAGAGAACTTTGAAAAATGTAACAAGTTGTGAAATATGTTTTTTTTTCTAAAACATTCAATCATGTTTTACGAGTTTTTAGTGAAATTAATCATCTGTGACATTCAATTTATTGTTTGTCTTCAGTCACCATCTTGAAAGTCTGTTTATATGGGTTCGTGTATATATTAATTCAGTAATATGATGCACGAAATCTTATTTCTGTATTCAAACACAAACATTAGTACAAGTAGGCACCAAATAGATATGCACCACATAAACCATTCGATTTGTGTGAAGGCTGGGATACTGTCCGGGTGCACGAACCGAAACAGGTGATTTTCTTAAGGGACCACTTCCCGAACCTTTGAACTAAAGGTCTAATCCACAAGGCAGTGGAGCAACGTTAGGAGATGTAGTCCCATGGTAGTCGGTGACCAACAATAGGTTCATACGCCTTTTGTTCCATTAGGATCCTGGAGGCCATCCATTGTTTTAAAATATGTGTTTTCTAACCCTCCTATGTGGATCCTCCGTACCCACCAGCCCGATTAAAGCGCCAGACGTTTGCTTGTCGTCCACTCAATTTATTAAACAACACTGCTGTCGCGAGAAGGTAGTTATTAGGACTTCCTTGGCAGTAGTTGTATGCATGTGGCCATGTCAGAGCATTTGGAGATGGAGAGCGGACCCGTACCCGGGCATTTGGGAAAGATGCACTGATCCAAACCTTGACATGATGATTGTTGAAATCCTACTCGGTGTTGTGACAGTCTGTCATAAGTCACGTACAGGCTCTTGCGAATGTCAGTTAATCTTAGTGCCAATAGCACAACGTTGAGAATGTGATCCAACACCACGAAGTGAAACGGTATATATACAAAGGAATACTGCAGCATATAATTTGCAGGAAAGTAATGAGTGGATGTATCTGTTTCTATTTTACCGACCTTGAACCATATCACCTAACACCTACAATCGGTGATGGCGTTCATTGTCCTTACCTCCATTAGGTAGTGTTTATCTATCAACAATTCAGACCGGCATTCACTGGACTTCATTAGTTGACGTCATGTCTTACTTTTGTCACCTCTAGCTTTTCAACTTACGCCTGCGCCAGTCAACATTACTCATCAAGCAAGGTAGAAGGATTTTTAACATTCCCTTCAACTGACATAAGTTGGCGAAAATCCAGTGATATTTCACCAGTTACCAATCCACCAGGATGTATTACACTTCCAAGATGAGTGCTGTAGTCAAAGGCTCCACTGTTTCATTCCTCTTGACAGCGTCTTAGGCCTTGGTTCAGACCAGTCGTAAAAGCAGTATTATATTGTTGCAAAAATTAAAAAAAACTTTCAAACATATCACATGAAATATAGCTCATAGCTAAACCTTATTACTATAGTGGATGTATGCAATTTTAAAGTACACAGTAAAAAAGATGTTTAAGTAATTTTCCCGAAATATCTTCGGTATTTTATCATGTTTGTGACATCTAATAGGACACAACTAACATTACTATTAGTATATTAGAACTGTGATTGTATAGGAAGTTCACTAATTTACTGTTTAACTCTGTTCTTTCTTTTTCAAAACGTATCATTTGATGTATACTAGTATTATATGAAGTATTTTCTTTTCAATATTGGACTCAAAAGTTTCATAGTTAAGTCAAGATTATTGATCTTTTTAGATAGTTCCAGCTGCAAGTTCACCTGAATTGAACATCTGTGTTAGCTATTCGGAATTAGTCGATAAGATATCCTAATAGACCTAAAGTTCTTGTTAGTCAGCACTCTTCAGCTTGATGTATTGAAATTTTGAGGTAACTGACGATCCTCATAGGATTCAAACCCAGGTCACTCCGTTTCACAGTCTGAGGAGTTACCTCCAAGCTATTTGACTCACGAATGACAACATATAGGGCTTAGTTTTTCATGACTGACCAATCAGTGCCATATTTTTCTATTCCTTAGTGCTGACAAAATTCTATCAACCAGTTTGTAAGGTTATCATTGGTCTGAAAGATTTGACCTCACATGAGCTATGCTGAAATGTCGAGTCACTTAAACTATTGGCCACATTATAATTTGATTGATAGAATTTGGTCAGTATCAAGGAGTGAAAAAAATAACACTAGTCAGTACTCAGTAATTAATGAATTTTAAATAGAATATTTATTTCATACAATGTGAATTATTAAAGGGTATCAAAAATTGAACAAATAATTATGTCTCTATTACTTTGAGTTTGTATTACTTATGACCAAGTTATGTGCATATTATACTTGTTCAGTTGTGTCGCTGCATAGCCAGGCATTGCAGGTATATTATTTGCGTGAGTTTTGAGTTGTGATTGAATGGTATGCAATGAGGAATTTGTTTGGTTTCCATCTTTGTTTTCTGATCGAATACTGGGGTTAGAAGAAGCTCGATGACTAATACGCATTCATATTCTACTTATTGTTTATTAGTAGATGGGTCATTTAGCAAATAGAAGGTAACCAGTCTTACTGGCATATAGGTGGATTAATCGATGACGTGAGATAATACAACCCTGTCTTGTCATTACACCTCGGTCAAACTAGATCAAATACAACCTAATCAAGAAATCTGCTTTTCTTCAAATTAATATTATTCTGATAAGAAAATGTACACTAGTGTCTTTATTTTTCTCTCATCTGTTTTTTAAATCTGTTTTTGCATTATTGGTTTTGCGGAATTCTAATTAAACAGTTTTTTCTGTCTATCCTTGTGCATGTGTATATTTCATTGTTCTTTTGTCGATTATTATTTCCATGTTTCAGCTTTAGGAAGAATTGGAAAATTTGCTGCGCGTCGTAATCGTTTAACACGTTCTGGTGTTTCACCTATGGGTAGTGTAGCATCTGGATTAGATGAAGATTTACTTAGTATGGATAGTGCATCACAAACTAATCAACATCATGCGCGTCAGTCATTACATGAGTCAAATTATCCTGGTATTGTTTCCAATGCTGGTAGTAGTAGTGGTATATCCAATTCACAAAAACCAATATGTTTATACGTTTTATGTGAAAAACAAATGACAAAGGTCAGTATTTGTGAAAACGATGTGCTATCGATAGAAATTTTATGGTTTTTAATAAAAAAATCTTTATATCGGGTTTGTGGAGACTATAATCTTTACTTAGTTGAAATTACGAGTCGATCTAAGCTTCGCCATTATTGAAGAATTAGCATTGTAAGTATGCCTTACATGAACATATAGTTTGCACAAGTTAAAGGGTTATGCACACACGTAGGCATAAATGCTTTTGGTCGCAAATATACGTCACATTCAAACATAGAATGCGTAGACCAAGGCCTATATACTCTATTGTGTACACATAGGTTTGGATGCGATTTGATTTTTTGCACAGGTCTGGGGCCCGGTAGTATTGTGGAATAAATGATGTACTTCGTTTCAAATCATTGAATTAAAATTCACCTACTGACGTTCAGCTCCTTCACGCTCATACCATACCTCCATGCACTGGTTGTAGCAAAGTTTATGGCCATCGCTCCGGTTGAGGCCAAAATCTAATGGATATTCCTTTAGATAATCCAGTTAGAGGCCAAAATGAATACACTGTTTTTACAGTTCCGCATTACACATTTATCTTTGTTACATGTCCCTTTCAGCTAGCCCACATTTACAATAGAGTGGGGGACTAGTCTTGTCCCCTCCTAGCATCTCATATTTGTTCATGAAATAAAGTTCCCATCATCTGTGGGATAGCTCAAGCAGGTGTGAGTCGAACTTTAATCCGTTTCCGTATCCCAGTAATTAGTGTTTGATTGGTTAATCAATCAGTTATCATAGATCTGTTGCTATTTCAATTGTTAGATTTATTAATTCCATTTTTTTAAATTAAAAAAATGAGATTTTACCATAGTTTATTCATTCAAAGTGGGTAGATATTGACTAAATCATGTATATGAATTAATTGTCAATAGTATATGATGTATGTTAGTTTGTTTAAGCTATAACAGCATATAAGTCTCTCGGTAATATACGTGTATCTATGTTAACCACTCGATGTGACACCACTTCTACTTAGGAAAAAAAACTTTATAAATTGTATATAACACTCGATTCAATGTTTAATGATTACATAACAAAAAAAACGAACGCTATACTCCATTCAACGTTAAAATGTTTTTAAAACACACACACACACTTAAATTGTTTAGAGTATCTCGAAATATTTAATTATTATTCACTTATTGAGATTATGTAAACATATAATTATTAAGTTGTGATTATCTTTAATTTATATGATGGAAAATAAACAAATTCTTACTGAAATATATAAGTTTCATTGAAATCACGTATCAATCTAAAGTTGAGATGGCTGGGACACGTGTTACGTATGCCCAACGACCGACTGCCTCGATGTGCGATGTTTTGTTGTATAGGAGTAGATTGGAAGAAAGCTAGGGGCGGCCAGACCAAAACATGGCACAAGTCCATGAAGTCACTGACAAGTAGACTGAGTCATGTTGGTAGGTGTAGACTTACCTGGTTTGGGACTGCGAGATGATAGCAGCCGATGGTTAGAGACTCTGAATGATATGACTCAAAATCGTTTGCAGTGGTGAGTGCAGGTGCATCCACTCTTTGTGTTCTCCCAAATTCTAATCTTCTGAATTTTTCATGTCCCTTTTTTCCTCTTTCCAAATTGATTTCACTGTATTATACTCTTTAAATAACATCTTCAAACCATAATGTTCCCATTATATGTGAAAATTATATTTGAAATATTCTCACCGATTGAAATTTTACTAATTCCAACGTTTCGTCCAAACAATTTAATGACATCTCTATACTCGGCGCTCAATTACTGTGAAACTTTTCGTTCTAATCTTGACGAATATTCGTATACATAATGTTTCCAATTACTGCTTATACTCTTACCGCCTCTACCACTACAGGATTTGAATCGACCACTGCATCTCTGTGCTAATGTAGTATGGCAACTCGAACTGACGTACGTACGTACAAAGTTCTACGTTGTTACTGACTGACTAGACAACCACCATGAGAAATATTGAACAACCATTATTTTCTGAAGAGTTCCATACTAGAACGAAACAAAACTGTACAGTGCTTTCGAATTTCCAAAAAAATACTAGTCTAACCAAAAGCGGTTCGTGATTTCATTAAAATTCAATTATCTCCCTGACAACATCTTACTAGTATTTCCTTTTTTTTCTTAATATTTGATAGATGTCGAAAATATTTAATTCATCATCTGTTCTTTTATCACCAATTGACTATCCAACTACAGCAACAGTGACTAAATCTTTTAAAGGATTTTTTAAAGCTTGCCTTCCAAATGATTCGAATCGATCGAAAACAGCTACAAAACTTTTATCTGCAGCAGCGTCTACAGCTACTAGTGTTTCATTTGATCATGCTAATACTACTACTAATATTGGTAATAATAGTCATCATCATCGTGGAATTAATGCAACACTAGGCGGTCATTTCATACATCATCAAAATGAACCTTATTCATTTCATGATAATACTAGTAATAGTAATGTCAATGCAGGTGAAACTATAGAGACGGAAAATATTACAACATCTACTATACCAGAAGCAAATAATTCTAAATATATGAATGTTTTCACTGAAGCACATGAGAATGGTTGGTTTCTGCAGTTGAAATCATTATTGGAATTAGCTGGAACAGTGGTAGATTTGTTAGATTTACAAGGTGCTAGTGTAGCATTGTGTTTAGAAAATGGCAGTGATGTTGTTGCACAGGTGAGTTGAAAAAATTTGTTGTTTTTTAAATTTGATGTACATTGACTTAGTCGGTTTTTTTGCACTTCAATACAACCCATGTATGTAGACTGGTGATTCGTTTTGTTTGGTAGACCTCATCTTCTAAATATTCGATACACCAGAAAATGTTGTAGGCAGTAGTTCATGACTATAAAAATTGTAGAGATGATAGAATAATCATTTCTTTTCACAAACAAACCATAATCATAAGTTCATAAATTCCTAATGTACTTTGTAGAAAATATATATTTGAATATGGTGTAGTAGCTAGTTTGATTTACGAATTTCACATTGATGTTGATTTACTCTATGATCATGACACAAATATCCTTTGTTGTTCGCTTAGGGGCTATCGCCTAGTGGATTCCGTTGTAGTGTCGTGTGAGGTTGACCTAACCTTTTAGCGTTTCTAAATCATCCTAGAATCTTTATCACTTATATGATATTTTATGTGACAGTCTGTAATGCAGATGTTAGTGTCTTATGAACCATCATCTTGAATACGAGCGATTTCTACCTCTTGTTATATATGAAGAGAGAGGTAGTATACGGGAAAAGACCTGGGACCAATACAATCTAGTACTGTTAGCTCTAATGCGTTAAGTACCGATACCGTATTTTTAAACACCTATGTCAAGGTTAATAGTTTACGTCATAACTCCTGTAATGTTTGTTTGTTTGTTTCATCATGGCTCAAGCTGAAAAATTCGTGGATTATCTGACTACATTTTTAATGCAACTGCCTTTATTCAGTATTGAAATTACCAAATTGAAGTTCACGAGTCTGTTTGTTGTAAAATGAGTTGACGTGCAATTAATAGATGCCTTGTTTACTCTTTCCTATTGTTATAATTAGATTCTATTTATCAAGTAGTATTAAACGATCCGGTGCTAATTTGTATTGCATAAAATCTTATATTGTTGAAATAATCATCGACATCTATAAATTTACGTTTCATAGTTACTAGTTACTAACACTTGTTTCAGCAACTTTATCCCATTTTCCAGTAAACTATTGATTGATTGGAAATACAAATTTGTAGTACTTAGATCCATTTTTAAAATTGTTACTGTTTGGTTATAGTTTCAATTTCTTATAGTTAGGAGTTATGTAATTATCAGTTAGTCAGCTAGTTATTTAACCTTCGGCAACATCGAATCTGATATATATGTGCATCGACTCAAACTGCTACACATCTTATCAACAAAGTGATATGTTTTAATCATGACATGTTCCAGAGTGTTAGAAGTAACAAAGTATCAGTGGTGGTAGGAAACATTGGACATAAAAGATATTATTCAAGAAAAAATGACTTCGTGAAATAAACTTTTGAAAATAAACTTAAAAGCTCTAAATCTGAGGCAAACAGTGAATGCATCTATTCTACCACGACAAATTCTCAGTCATTCCTACCAACGTATTTAATCACTTGCTTGCGATAATTATATGGATCTTAACAAATTATCTTACTCCTACAGTCAATGACTTCATATAGTAATACCACATCTCTCTTTGTCATTCTCTCAGTCTATTTTTTACAGTACTTAACATCGTAATTCCAGTTCAGCGATATATGTGTATATGTCATTACATGTTCCAGCTATCTCAATTGATGAAGATTCACTACTTTACCAGTCGATCAATTGTAATTACCAATTATATTTATTCATTTAAGCACATAAACATTGGTACAAGGAGGCACCGATTAGATGTGCACGACATAAATCATTCGATTTGTGTGAGGGTTGGAATACTGTCCGGGTGCTCAAACCGAAGCAAGTGGTTTTCTTACGGGACCGCTCTTCGAGCCTTTAACTTAGTTGCCTAATCCACAAGGCAGTGGAGCAACGTTAGGAGATGTAGTCTCATGGTAGTCGGTGACCAATAATTAGTTCATACACCATTTCTTCTCTTAGGATTTTGAAGCTCGTGTACACCATTGATTTGGAATCAGGGTTTTTCAACTCCTTTATGTCCACCAACCCGAATAAAGCACCGGAAATTTGTTTTTCGTGACAAAATCTCAGCACGGATACAGAAGGCTCGACTAGCTTTTGCGAACTTGCGTCATTTATGGCGTAGGCGAGATATCCGTCTATCAACCATAGGACGTGTTTACTGCTCATCAGTTCGTTCCGTCCTACTTTATGGAGGTGAAACATGACCAGTAAGAGTAGAGGATATTTGTAGGTTACTAGTATTTGATCATAGGTGTCTTCGAAGCATTACTCGTATATCCTGGGACCATCGAGTAAGTAACGCAGTTGTTAGGAAACGGGTACTAGGTAAGGATGGCAAATCGATTGAGGAAGTAGTGAGACTTCATCAGTTGAGATGGCTGGGACACGTGTTACACATGCCCAACCGTCAACTGCCCCGACGTGCAGGAGTAGGTTGGAAGAAAGCTAGAGGCGGCCAGACCAAAACATGGTACAAGTCCTTGAAGCCACTGACAAGTAGACTGCGTCATGTTGGTAGGTGTAGACTACGTGATTGGGGACCGCGAGATGATAACAACCGATGGTTAGAGACCCTGAATGACATGGCTCAAAATCGTTTGCAATGGCGCAGGTGCATCCACTCTTCGAAATTCTAACCTCCTGAATCCTTCTTATCTCTTTTTTCTCTTTCCAAATTGATTTCACTGTATTATACTCCTTGAATAACATCTTCAAACCATAATGCTTCCATTATATGTGAAAATTATATTTGAAATATTCTCACCGATTGAAATTTTACTAATTCCAACGTTTCGTCCAGACAATTTATTGACATCTCTATACTCGGCGCTCAATTACTGTGAAACTTTTCGTTCTAATCTTGACGAATATTCGTATACATAATGTTTCCAATTACTGCTTATACTATTACCGCCTCTACCACTACAGGATTTGAATCGACCACTGCATCTCTGTGCTAATGTAGTATGGCAACTCGAACTAATGTACGTATGTACGCACGAATTTCTACGTTGTTACTGACTGACCCCCACCACGCGAAGTCAATGAATAGGACTTTCAATGATGAATAATTTTTTTGAAAATATATAAGAATCTTTTAATTATTCTTCTTTTATCTCACTGTTTTCGTCTTTCTTTTTTTTTATATTTATTTCATTATAGACTGTATCATTAGTACAAATTATGCTTGATCCATATTATCGTACAATTTATGGTTTTTGGAGTTTAATTGATAAAGAATGGTTAATATTTGGGCATACATTTAATTCTAATTCCAATCAAACAATATTAAATAAAACCAATCATTTTTCACCAATATTTTTACAATTTTTAGATGCTGTACATCAATTATTAAAACAATTTCCATTATCATTTGAATTTAATGATTATTATATACAATTTATTGCATATCATTATATATCAAATCGTTTTCATAATTTTAAATATGATACAGAATTTGAAAGATTTACTATATGGTTTCCGAAATTAATTGAAAGTTTATTAAATAATTATAAATATGGTACAAGTATTATATCAAATATAGATGAACATTTATTAGAATTATATTATTCACATTCTATATGGCCATTTATACAACAACAACATTATGAATGGCCTATATTTTTTAATTTTCGTTATTCACCTACATTGAGTGAAAAGGTAATATATATTTATATTGTTTTTCTAAATTATGAATGATAATCTTTCATTTTAATAGTTAAGATCATGAGTCAATTGAAACTATAGACCATTATGAAGAAGCTGGAAGCATTTAGATGTCCATTTCATCCTATTATGTGGGATTCCTCAGCACTGTGTGTATCTATGATCTCCACATTGCAAGAATCGAACGTATTCTGATACTAATCACTATGGGCTTGAGTGCTGTTAGAGGTATGAGGGCGGTTATCATTTCCCCGGTTTCCCACACACCGTGGAAGGGTTCTTCTGGAGGTAGGTACCTAAAAAGGAAATTGGATTAGAGGTGGTTTTAGTGACCTGAGAGTGTGACCGCAGTGCCCAAGGGACAACTGCTTGAGGTCGGTCACACACGACCTTTTTATGGGTAATTTTTGTGTTAGCTCCGTACTTTTTGGGACCTTACCGCCGGAGACGGATATCCGTGGGATAAGGCAAGGTGTGCATTTTTAGGGTGCACCTTTTCTGACCCCACCCCTCCTTGTGAGAAGGCAGCATCGCTGTCATGCTGGTTGTCTGAAGGAAACACCTTACTGCTGTCACACCTCTGTACAGTCAGCAGTACGACTTCGCCTTCGGACCTTGGGTTTGTTGCTTTTAGTCTTACCGCTCATCAACCGACTTGTCTGACATGGTAGGACCTTGAGGAACGGTTGTTCCAGCCAGTATAGCTCGGTTGCTTCATCACGATAGGCAAGCTCGACCACCACGTCAAGGTAGCAACAAAGGTCGGGACTAATCAATATATGCTTACTAGTGATTGGTTTCAAGAGGTATTTTCTGGAGTTCTAGTGAGAAACGGTGATCAAGTGGAGTTCACCCGAGTTTGTTGTGAGATAGTAACTCACTAAAGACGATGGTGGATGTGTCGCTCAATTTCATGTATTAGTTGAAGTTAGATATTAACACCGGTGAATGACGGACAACTCAGTGGTTTAGTTGGTTAAGCGCTCGCGCACGCGAGACTGATAGATCTTGGGTTGGAATCTCTCGAGGTGGGATCGTGGATGTCTATAGTAGGACTAAACGGCCATCGAGTGCTCCCAGGCTTTTCATGATAGTCTAGTTTCAATTGACTCATGATTTCAACTATTAAAATTATATTTTATTGTTAATTAAGTTATTTCTATTTATATAGATCAGTTGTATGATGATTTGAACTGAAAAAAAATTTTTAAAGCAATTAATCCCTTTTATAAATTTCGATAGAACAATGAGAAGACGGAGTTGATCTGAAAAATGTGATGTATTTGTGCTATACATTTCAAACAATCTGGTTACACATATGCTTATCAGGGCATTTTATATGAAAATTAATAAAGGTCAATTAAATGAAAGTTCAAGTCGGAAATGTAACAATGGGGAGTGAAACAATTTTACATCGTATAAAAAGAATAAGAAATTATCGCGTTATTCTAGGCCATAGAATAACTTAAGGATTACCAGGGTAAAATCAAGGTTACGACAAATTGTATCTGTACACATAAGGAGGTGGGGAGTTAAATTTAGGAATAGCCAAGGTTTCAATAAACCTGAGGAAATGTTTTATCCAATCTGTGCTCAATGGAGACTTTTCATGAAACATTTAGAAAATTAGGGATTACGCTTTTGATTGGATAATTACTTATATTATCGTTAAATCTAGTGTATTTCTAGAAAGTTTTAGAAGATTACGGCCACATGGAACTCTATAAATAATTTGTACATAATTAACCTTGGAGCAAAGCCCTTACTTTCACTTCTCATCTTTTCTCTGTTGTTCAAGTTAAAGTGTATAAGTAGACGGAAGCGGCTAAAAATTCAGTATTGAGTATCCAATAGTAGACTTATCAATTTTTAGTTCATGTTAAAGATTTTCGAGCTCAGAGAGGACATCACTTAGGAAATTCTAATGAGTAATTGAACTTTGTCAATCTCAAAAACACCAATATAAAAAGATCACTATATGTATAGTTGGAAATTTCCAGGTAGTTTTTTCTTTGACCTTGTAATAGAACTTTACCAACTAACTAATTGGAGGTACACATAGGAGTAAGGGATTTCTGAGTGATACTTGTTTATCCCGTTGATAGATAGGGTTCAACCACCAGTTATATAACCATTCCTATTACAGATATATAGATCCAATGTTATAGTTACTAAACTGAGGTCTTTTTAAAAACTTCAATTGCCCTCTTATCCAAATACATCATGAGTTCATTTTGGTGTGCGCTTACTGTTATGAATTCAACTTTTATGTACCTGAATAATGAAATCACTGAATTTTGGAATCTATCAATGGGTAATTCGCTTTCTGTCTATTATGCTAACGAGCCTTGTCTTAAACTGTTGTGCTACATGAGTATGTTGATCTTGTTTGACCCACATGAACTCATTCTGTTCTCCATTTGTTTAATCGGAATACTAGAACATCCAATCAATAATTCTGTGCACATTATGACTTAAAAACTTTGAATGGTGGTATATGTACAATTAATTAACAGTAATATTTAATCTCTGAAGGATATTATCAACAGTCATTGAGTTTAATGAAAACTTGCAACTATAGTTATATAAAAAAATTTGTGAGTCATATATTTAATAACTGCACAACAACAACAACATATATATTATGTAATAATCTCCTATAATTTCACCTAAAACTAGATTACCTACTCATATTGCTTTCTAAAAGATTGAAAATTCCCACAGAGAAGTCTTCAGCAGCTGGCGAAAATTTGAGAACATTTTATCCAGTGAATCACTTCTATACAAACGGGGAATAATATGTCATGTCTTAATTAGACAGTTACAGACTTTTTTTATTACTGATTTTAACATATTTTCAGAATATTACGTTTTCTGTAAGTAAACAAACCTTAGAAGTAAAGTTTCTTCTCATACTTCCCACCTTTTTGTTTTTCGTTCGATAGTTGAAATGATGAAAAGAGATAGAACTAGAAAGCTGTTAAAATTCAATGTTAAACATTTCAATAGCAGTTAAAAATCTCTCTTCTCCCTTTCTATACTCAATATTCTTAAAAGATTGAGCAATTCAAATGTAACCATTAATATGTTATTGAATTATTTTCTTGTTTTATTCATTATTGTTTTTCTCATTTTTCCTCTTCTTTCCATATTACATAACAGGTTCTTAGACCAGCAACATATTTAGCTTCATTTGATTTATGGAAATTTTATTTAACTGAAGATTTGGCTTGTGGTTCAATCTATGATTTAGATCATTTCTCACCTAGTTATCGTAAAAATACTAATCGTCCATATGAACCGGTTTTACGACAGGGATTTAACAATAGTCATATTGTTAGTTATAAATTATTATTATTATTGTTATTCTATTAAATGTTTGCCAATTATTTATTATTTCTGTTATGTTATTATGCCCGATTAATTATATCACATAATACGATCGCCGGCAATTAGAGACACCGTCTTATATGACCTGTTTAATGACGTATAAACCTGTACGAGCAGTGTAGATTTCTTATTGATCCTCTGAAATAGTAGCTTCTTTTCTAACCCAGCCGGTTGAGTCCAGAACACCAATATCACCCTCCGTTAAACGAATCATATATTTCAAATATACTGGGATTATATACAAACAAACCAGTCCGCATCATACCATAAATAGAAAATAACAATTATACAAGATTAAGCCAAAAAGTAGCTGTGATTGTGAGAGACTGTTAATAATTAATTCAGTCAGTCAGTCAGTAACAACGTAGAACTTCGTACGTACGTACACCAGTTCGAGTTGCCACACCACCTTAGCACAGAGATGCAGTGGTCGATTCAAATCCCGTAGTGGTAGAGGTAGTAAGAGTATAAGCAGTAATCGGGAAGATTAGGGTTTGAAGATGTTATTTAAAGAGTATAATCAGGTGAAACAAATTTGGAAAGAGGAAAAAAGGGACATGAAGAATTCAGAAGATTAGAATTTGGGAGAACACAAAGAGTGAATACACCTGCGCCATTGCAAACGATTTTGAGCCATGTCATTCAGGGTCTCTAACCATCGGTTGCTATCATCTCGCGGTCCCCAACCAGGTAGTCTACACCTACCAACATGACGCAGTCTACTTGTCAGTGACTTCATGGACTTGTGCCATGTTTTGGTTTGGCCGCCCCTAGCTTTCTTCCAATCTACTCCTATACCACTGAACATAGCACGTCGAGGCAGTCGGTGATTGGGGATACGTGACACGTGTCCCAGCCATCTCAACTGATGAAGTTTCACTACTTCATCAATTGATTTGCCATCCTTACCTAGTACCCGTTTCCTAACAACTGTGTTTGGGAATATCTTATAAACAGTAAGTCATATTATAATAGTTAATAGGTTAAGTGGGAGCTTATAATTAAAAGAATATAAATATACATATAATATAGTTACTTAGTAGTTATACAATAAGAATATATATATATCTAAATAATAACGGTCCATAAATAATTCCTGGCGGTTACCATTCATTTCTTTTTCATCCAGATATAACAATTTCCTTTTACTATTTAATTCATATGAAATAAGGAATTAATTATTGAATAGAAATTTCGTCTGACAAAGTTCCTATGTAAAATCGGTGTGTTGTGTGTGTGTGTGTGTAGTACTCCTGGTTGAATAATTCAATATATGTATTTGATTTAATGTTCAGTATCTACCAAATGAGAAAAAATGGTGCTGTTAATCGGTTTAGTAAATCCTTTTCCCGACCATGCTGATATATTTTCTCAACTAAACCAGTACTTATACAACAAATCAAGGATAGGTTACCGATGATGGGCTCCTTCATGTTTGTATACCAATTTAAGTGCTCATGTGTAGCTAGTTACATAAACCGTACTCAAGGGGCTTTATCCTTGCGTGTTTGTGAATATATTTAATTGTTAGGGGATTATAGATAGTTGCAAAGAAATTTTATGACTGACATTTAAACGACTATAGCATTTCGTCCCTTATCCTTCAGCGATATATTTTGTGGGTATGATCATCAATATTAGAAATATAATGTTAACTAAATAGCTGCTTCATCAGTTTAAGTACATACTTTTCTTCTTGCAAATATATCTATATCAAGATGTACTATGCTGAGAGATCAATTATCTTTCCTTGTAACCACGTTAGAAATTGAATCTGAACTACTAATTACACAAATACTAGGGCTCATTGTTATTAAAACAGTAATCACTGTATAAATTATTCACTCTTATCTTTAACAGCAATGGTAACCACATATATCATTTGTAAAAGTATTGGTATTACTGCAAGACAGGTTAAAGGAATAGAAAGTGTGTGGAGCTGTGAAAAATTGTTAATTAAGGAGAGGTTGAGTGTGAATAATAAACGTACATCACAGTTGTCTTAATTTTATTCGAACTTTATAGCTAAATTTCACGTTTGTTTGACACTCTTCAGTATAATGTTCCTGCAATCTTAAGACAAATGATGCCCGAGTAATTAAATGGTAGTATCTTATATTGTGAAACTTGGCGACGCGTATCCTGATCCCACGATTGACACCACTCCCGTTAACACTACAAGTATGCCTTGTTGACGAGTGTCAACCGGTATAAAGCTTAAATCCAGGGTTGTCAATTGATTGTTTATAGAGACCTTTGATTTGAGCATTTTGTGTGCTGTGTTCAGTCATTTAGACTTGTGTCCACATTACGTCTTAATCAACGTAATTTATTTAACACTAAGAAGAAATAGACAAACATAACAGTAGTCATGAGCCAGTCGGCGATCGATCAACTGTAACTATGTTTAACTGTTTTTACAGTTTATTTATTTTGAACGCTGAAGTATAACAGTTGTCTTCTTGTATGATTAGTCACAGTTATTTTCAATTTCTTAAATCATTCGTTTTTGGTTATTTTGCACAATCAGTAAGTTGAATTTATATGACATATAATTATACATAGATTACCTGATAAGACAAAAACATAAGAGGCTTAAAACATTATCTCTTGGCAACTTGGAAGAATTTATTTAATCAGGATTTCGTAGTTTTATTACCACAAGTGTATTACTGCACGTTTCAATCAATAATTATTTTTGGTATCACAGTCAGACTGTTGCAACTTTCACAGCAAGTTAAAATGATAACTGGTAAATATTTCTTTCTCTTCCTTTCTCTTCTATACTTAAGGAGCAAACATATGCTGTTTTAGGATTACGTGAAGGAGAAGAAGCTGTTGGTTGGCAAGATGCATGGGAACAAGCACAGTCTGAACTGCTTAACTTATATTCATCACATCCACATAAACATATGACAAAACATGATAAATCAAATGTAAATATTCAGTCAACTTCGAATATTCCACGATCTGTTGTAGATACTTCTGCTTCTGCCACTACTACTACTACTACTAATACTATAAGTAGTAGTAATACTGATAGCAAAATAAACACTCATGTTAAAATAGTTCATCATTCCAATCAATTACCATCACGTTGTACACCATATAGAGAAAGCAGTGAACCAATTGAAAGTTTATCACATCATAAATTAGTCACATCTGATTATTCAATGTCTAGACGACGTGCAGTATCTAGTGGTTTATTAGATACTAATCAAACGAATAGTGTATTGGTATCATCATTGACCACTACATCTTCATCAACAACTTATCCACTAACTAATGAATTAACTCAAACATTAACACCACAAGGAGAAAGTAGTGCTAGTATTGATTTGGATAGTACATTTACAAATTGCCCCGAAGTGATTACTACCAGTTCAATCCCAGTTCAATCTGAACAACATTCAAATGAAACAACCCAATCACATATCATTATTATAAAAGATTCTACCATGAATGCTGAAAGTCAACTGAGTACTGACATGAATCCACCATCTACAAATAGTACAACTATAACAGTACGAACAATAAAAGATTGTAATCATTCGAAATCTAGAGAAATATTAAAATCCAATGATGATCGAACAATAAATGGAATTGAAACAAAACATCCGCGTACCACTAACAATACTACTGATAGTAATCTCAACGTTTTAAAAACAAATTATAATGGTAATAACATACCGAAATCTGAACAAACTTCAGAAGATGAAGCATTTCATGAAGATAATGATTATATTTATGGTGATCGATATGATTCAGTTGGTGAATCCTCACTAGATGATTATCATTTTACACGTCATGCTATACTAGAATATCACCGAACAACTACTTTGAAGCGTTTAACTCGTCGTACTGCATGTAGAATCGGTATCGGTGGTAATATTGGTGTTGAGAGTAATGTAGGGTTGTCATCAAATGGTCAAAATTACCATCAATTGATGCCTGATTACTCATCATTGGATACTGATTTAAGTACTGGATATCGAGATCTGGCGATTGAATATGAATCAGATAGTGTAAATAGCCTTACTGGTACTGGGGGTGGTCTTGGCAGTACCATGTTACATGATACAATTAGAATTGATGGATTCGATATCAACGCCCCTGTACAAGATGAAGTAAGTTAGATTGTGTTTGTTTTTCTCTAATTCTTCGAGAAAGTTTGTGCTATAGAATTAAGGTTTCATGCGTAAATTTATGAAATAACAAAGTGATTACAGTTAAAATTTGTCCAGATTAGTAGTTGACTAGGTATATTAAAAACGTTTATTATCAAACATTGGAACTTGATCTTGCATTTATTACAAACAACATGATCAGATCACTGCAACCCTTTGTTTGTTTATATTATAAAAGTAAATCTGACTCATTTCACCCTCATTGTTTATTATTTGTTCATTCTCTCAAGTATGTTTTATTCCACTTGTCTACCATGAATATGCTACATTTGATGAATTCACTTCATAAACTCTTATAGCAAACTATGTGAAGTGTCCAATATTCCTAGTTAGATCATTAATTGTTAATCAAAAAACTTCCTAAAATATATCTTCCTTAAAGAATCTACATTTCATTACAATATTCATTTATTTCTTTGATCAGTCTTTATTGACATTGTTAAGTTGTTTTCTTTTCTAGCTTCAACATCATCTGCATAAATTTACTTCATCTCGAATAACTAATAATACAAATGTACAATGTGAATTATGCCAGAACATTTGTCAATCATCAGATGATATTGTTAAATGTATTGAATGTGATCTATTATGTCATACAAAATGTTCATCATCTATAAATTCAAAATGTTTTCATTCATCTGTAACAAATACTTTGAATCAAATCAATAAAACAGGGAATTTACTGAAAAGACATGGTTCTGCATATTTTCCAAATGAAATAGACAATGGAAAATTAAAACAATCTAATGATATAGAAAAATCTTCTTTAACTTTTGGTGTAGCTGGTGTTGGTGGTAGTTTATTTAATTCAACTTTACCATGGCGTACTGAACGAGATCAAGCATTTAGATCTTCTTTAGTTTTAATGTAAGTAATTAGTATTGTGATGAAAAGTGATTTTACGCCTTGATTAATCATAATTAAACGTAATGCTCAGACTGTAATAGGAAAATGTTTATTCTATATTTTCATATTAGTTATTAGTTCGGTTGAACTAATTGTAATTTTCTTTTCTTTCCCACAGTTATTTTATTCTTATTTTGTTCTGAAATTGTTATGATGAATTCATTCTAAGCCTATTTTATTCAGATGAGAAATTTCCTAGTTAAGTATATGTTGTGATTTGTTATGTATGGTTTGATTTGGTGTGGTGTATACTACTTATGCTGACAAACATAAGTAGTATGTAGCCGCAATGGGAAGTGGCATACCTAGCAGTAGAAGATTGATTTGAAAAGAACGGAAAGGAGATCGGATAGCAGTCAGAATGACAATAGATTCAAAAGAATAGTGAAGTATGTTAAGGACAACACAAAAAAGATGTGCTAATAATGTATTTAATTTATAATTTTCATATTTTACCAAGGCACTGTGTGAATTTGCATTAAACAAGTCTTCATTTCCCATAATGGTCCTGTAATTTATTTGTATACTCATATGAGTTTTCTGAGTACAGAGATTATTTATAGACTTTCTTTCCTCCTATTCTCATGTGGGATTGAAGAAAGATAGGTTCCACTTGAACCAATAAGCTTTAATATATCAGATCACTTACTGGTGGCATGACAGAACGAGGTCACAACAGGTCGTTTCTATCCTTAACATTTATTTAGATATTATGTAGTGTGTCATCTTTACATCAATTATTATTTTATACCCATTTTGATCTCACATACCTTACTTTCCGACATTAGATGTCCTTAGTGTTTTTACAAAAAAAGACACAAATTACAAAGTTTAAACACTTTGTTGCCTAACTTTTTGCTAATCTCGAATCGGTCTAACAAAATATTTTCTGCCAGCATCTGGGTACTTAAACAAGTATTTTTACACAAGAAGATTTAAGAATGCTCCAACACATGTGTTGAGACTGTGGATAAGGATAAAAGCATTGAACAGAGAAATTTATAATCTCATGCAGTTAAAAAAGTCATTATTTTAATGATGCTTATATCTAAAAGTTGTATATATTTCGATAATTACAAAACTCTACAGTTGATGATTATTAGATTACGAAGTAAGTTGTAAATATTCCAGTCCTACAGAAGGTCAGTCCTAGTATGTGTAAATCAGTGGTAACATATTAGATTGTGAAGCATCTGAGTTATGTGAACTCGAATTTTGTAGCGAGTTCCAATTTCCTCAATATCCCATGTACACCTTACTGTTGTTGAGTGCCAATTAACTTAGAACTAAAATCCCAGAATTTCATACCAGTTACCTCTAACCTTCTGGAATGTTCATGATTTCCCTTTTTTTTCTTGAAAAATTTACAATAACCTATTTACATCTGTTTGTCATAACCCATTTTCTCTTTTTTTCCCTTAATAAAACAATTTTAATTTTAGACATGACAAACGTGGAAAACGTAAACTAAGTGAAAGTTCTTCATCTTTAGCACATACTAACACATCTGACTGTCAATCACAAAGTGGTCATAGTCTACCCGGTGGTGGTACTACTACTACTGTTGAACATCATCTACCGGAACATTTAGCTTCAGCATCATATTATGGTTATTTATATAAATTAGGTCATCGTAAATTTTTACAACAATGGAAACAACGTTTATTTGCTTTAGATACAAATCGGCATCAATTGAAATATTATGAAAGTTATGCTAATGCTTCACCTCGTGGTTGTATTGATTTACAAGATGTTAGAACAGTGAGAATTATTAAAAATTTTGCAATTCAACGAAAATCACCTGCATTTGTTGTATTTGAAGTGAGTTATTGTCTGTTTGATTAATATTGAGTTTCGGTATCGTAGTAGGTCTTAAGTGTGTTTACAACTTTCAATTTTATCAATCAATAATATAGTATAGGGGTTTTATGGAGATTGTTTAATGTAGAAATTCACATCAATAACTAAGTGTAGTTAGATAACCATTGGAAATAAAAATACTCTGGTGGACAGCTGTTTTATGTTAGAATGGGACTCACACTAAAGATCAAACCTAAAATATTCAGATCTCATAGAGAGGAGTTGACTTTTATACTACTAAGTTGGTATTCAATGGTTTACATGTCCTATATTGTACAACAATCTTCTAATGCTATTGGTAGGTAACAACAGGTGAGCGATTTGTGAAACTCGATAATCTCCACAATTTCCGTATATTAATATAAGTTGTATGCTTACTGAATAGTTGTTATATCTTGAAAGCCGCTAACCAAAATCACGTCACCACCAATGAGAGGCTTGTTTCTAATTCGGTCGATTTTACGTGTACTATTCGCTCTGTAGCTTATTGTTTCCGATTAGTACTATTGATCCTAAGCCGAGAACTAAATTTTTACTAGTCCGGTATTCCCAATCTTCTCTTTATGTTCAAAAGAGCCACCAACCAACCTCTACTGTATTTATATTTGAGCTAGAGTGCTTCATATTTACACATACTAAATCTCATTACACCACAAAATAGAAAATAACGATCACAGTGGCTGTGAATAGGGGAGACTGTGAGTAATCGAATAGCAATAAATTAGAAATAGTAAATCATATAACCTTAGTTAATAGGTTAACCGAAAGCTTTTGATAAATGGAATTTATACATAAATAGTAATGTAGTTGCTCAGTAATGATACAGCATAAATACAAAGAATAATAATAATAATACATTCAATCTATGCATTCTTTTTCCATAGCTTGAGACCAATAATCGAACATACAAACTCGGTGCTATCAATCAAGAAAGTGCTATGCAATGGATTGAACGTATACAAAAAACTATTCAATAAAAGAAAACTTTTCTAATTATGATTTAAATTGTAGGTAATGCAAATTGTTTCATATAAGCCAAACAAGCTTACCAATGGATATATATATATAACCGTATAGTTATCATCAGTAATATTGCTACTGTTACGGGAAAAAATTCTGTTATCTTAAATGTTTTTCGGTTGTTATTTGTTTCTTGACGAAACTGTACAGATCCTATAATCATTATTCATGTTCTACAATTTGACTTGAATCCTTACTTCTTATACTGTGATCAAACAAAAAGAAGTACACAATGAACAAGATTTGTATACTTTATATTCAACCATATTTATACACTGATATACTATACATTCTTAATCATCTTCTACCCCCAGACATGTCCAACTATTTAGGCTTCTATTCTATTTAATGTTTTACAAAATAAAAGTGAAAATGATGCGCCCGATACCTTTTACAGAAATTTAATCAAACTACTACTAATACTACTACCACACACACACACACACTTTTCCTGCTATTACCACTTCTCATTCTTCTTCTTCTATACAAACCATTTAATTTTGTTCTCATATAATTTTACAATAACTCATGCATTTTTGTTGTTGTGGCTTATTTATCATTTAAATTTTTTATTCAATTCGAAGCAAAGAATGAAGATTTTCTTTTCGCTCCTATAAATCTTTGTATAATATATGCAATCAATATTTATACATATATATATGTATGTCACTTTGTTCTATCTACTGTTCTACTCATGAGTAGTACAGCATCAATATTGTCATCATTATTCATAATCTTATGTAATTAATTATCATGTATTTATTTTGCAAACACTCATTGTTCATGTGTACCGTATTGTGTTGATGTGATATTTGTTGTTAATGTTTATTCATCATTGTAAAATGTGTTCTTTTCTTCTTCTTCAATAATAATAAACTTGATCGATTACTACTCACCATGACCAATTCATGCTTATTGTTAACATCAATGTTTCCCCTGTTTTGTCTCCGTTGATAAACCTGGATTTCTGAGTATAATAATGATCGTTATTATTATTATTATTCAATTACTATTCAGATGCATCGAATTTCAGTGAATTTTATTGTACAGTTTTTATTCAATATTTCACATATGATGATGATAATGATTAATAATCTAGTAAATATACATGTGATTTAGGGTTTTTTCTCTTTTATTCTTTGTGTTACTACTCTCATAGAAGTAAGTAGTAGTGTGATGTTTCACTAGATTCGCTTTTCTTTCCAATCTCTTTACGGAAGTGACTAATTATTACGTCATTAAATAAAATACAGTTCAGAGAGAAAGAACTCTCTTTTGAACGGTGTTATTTATTATCAAATTCGTACAAATTATTATTTTATAGTTATTTTCCACATATTGAATTCTAGAATAAAAATAGGAAATTGTTGTAACATGAAAAAAGATAATGAAAGTTTTTTAAAATGTTAAACATCTTTACGTAATATCCAACGGATGATGTAAGGATGTAAATCACATATAGAATAGATGGAAAAGATCGGAAACAATTTGCAAAATAAGGTGGGTATCAGGATCGGAATAAAATAAGGGATTAAACTCTTCTGAATCTGAAGACTAGGCTTAAAGTGAGGCAGTGGGAAGAGAAACTCCCGCTACACACAATTTTCTTTGTGTGATTTCGTGAATATAACAATAGAGCTTATTGGATCGGTATTGAAAAACGTATCAGTATATTCGGACGCGAATCTTCCCAGTTTTTTGATAACTTTAGATCCCATTGATCAATTCAACAAGTCAATTCAAGTTTCATCTGAAATATGAGGTAATAAATTAGGTGTGATCCAAAAGTCTTAGGGACTGGTTCATTAACAATTGTATGTCACTATTGGGTAGTGGAGATTGTTGAGCTTTATTAAGATCATGAGCTAATCAATGTTAAGCCAACATCGAAAATCTGAAGCAATGACCGGCCGTTTCGTCCCGGTACTGGAGTCGCATCTACTATCCTGCACGCGGGACTCAAATCCAGAGACTTCAGTATCGCGATCATTGAGCCAGTACAAGTCACACCCAAGTAATGTGGTAAAATGTTTAACATTTGGATTAATCGGTTTTCAGTCATTACTTGACATCGTCAATTATTAACATTCTTTAAACCTCATCTATAAGGCTCGCTAGGAAACTCAGACCAAAAAATTCATGGGTTAGTACTATATGACGGAGAATTACTGAAGCTCTTCTAGTCCAAGTTAAACTAGATATCATTGTATTTCTGTCCAACTCAATTCAGACTACCTAGGTTTACAGCTAATCCAATGCAGCCTGCATATGCAGCATAGTGTTAACTCAGTGCTACTGATATTTTGTATTGTTTGCAAATAATTCATAATTGTGTTACGTGCTTTTCCGTAGCTGGTATAGCAGGTGTGCCATCATGGTCTGTTGTGGGAAATCGGAATCTCACCTCATAAAGAAATCCGCCGATCACTGAGTTTTTCTTCAAATTATTAGTACGTATACACTCTAGGAGGTGAATAGAAAGGTCATTATTAACCGCTGACTAGTAATACGTCTGACTTCGCTTCATTATCTTGTATATTAGACACTCAAGTGTTCATCTAACAACAACTGAGGCTACGAATATCACAGCTTTTACACAGACCATGAAAATACGGAGTCGAGAATCTGATTAATCACTCTCATTTACATCCTTCTACTACCATGTTATCAACAAGCTCACTCTGTATAATCCTGTTTGTGCCCTGCTTTGCACACATAAGCGCTTTGCTATCTACAGTATGTCTTACAACTACTGGAATAAAAGGACGAACATTACCCCATCTTCGATTCCGGCAACTATTTAGCGGCAATGACCTTCATAAAAAATATGTGGCTTAAAGACAAGAATATAAACCTATACATTATAAGTGAAAGGCGTGAGTTTAATTTAGACCTCAATCAGAAACTCGTGTTTGTTACAAATACGGACCTGCCTATAAAGTCCGATATCGCTGGTTACTTCCAAAAGCTCTCAGCCGATTTGATATAGTAATACCTTTCTGAAAAGGAAAATGGTGCTGAAACTAATGAAGATAAACTGTAGCATCAGTACTAATACTGCACTAAGAGTTGAGGGGTTGACACAACATAGATCGCGACCTATTTGTGACCTGGTGCACTTTCTTTACAACTCAAGCCTGAACTCAAATAGGTCTTGTCAAAACCAGCAACCAATAACTCATCCACACAGGACTAATGGATATTTTGAAGCACATGGCAAACGTATCCAGAATATTGGTGACCAAAGGAGAAATCGATGTAAAGATGCTGATTACACCTAGCACTACAGATAAAGTTAAATTCAAGACTAGATTTAACCCCAATGAGGACAGATGGACATTAATTCCACTAACAACGCGCAATGAAAATGAACGTAAAATTGTTCCACGTTTAGCAAGACTTACGTTTGATTATCAACGGATCTCTGGAAGCTTCTTAGTTATTAGCAATGATCCAGCTTATTACAAGAGACTATGGAGTACAACAATACGTGTAATTCCGTTTAACAGAAAACCGGTGAATACTTCACATGAGATGATCAATGTACTGTAGATTGGAGGCACTAACTGTATATAGAAATTACTAGAATCCATTTCAGCTTATCCAACTCTGTAAGGTATCTAAGTATCTGGGTGGAATATTCCGAAAAGGAGCTAAGTTTACTGTCCCAACAACTTTATAGAAACCGTTTTGCACTCCGCATTTCAACTAACGAGTGAATCTCAAATACTTAGAGAAACTCGACCTGAAGCAACAATCATTTCAGAGATGGGACATATTGGTCAAGAAATTCTGTGAATTCCTCATACATGAATGGAAAACAAAGTGCTTTGGAACTTCAGTATAAAGTTTTTACCATTCATATCTCCGAGAAACGTCAGAACAATTAGGTTACAAGTTTTGGCTGTTGCCAAACTATACATATTAGGTGGAACGCATAGAAGGAGCAAGTTAAGCCTCGTTCAGATCATGCATCTATCACACTTTTACCATTAGCTAGGTGCCTGAACATCGTAACATGTTTCGTACATCAACAACCTTATATATCCCGAAATTAATAAGGCTCTTGTTAAACAAGAGTGAGGTTCACGACTATCTTGAGTTACATTCCTAGAATCTTAAAAGTTATTTAAAAAACATAAGCCAGAATGTAGAAATCCAATAACCCACCTAAAGTGTTTAAAGACAACCAGGACTACCGTTCGAATTTTCACATAAGGTTGGAATAAAAACGAATAGAGATCCTACTGTAATGTTGTTATGCTGTTCATAAAGAGTGAAATAAATTTTTGAGAAGAATTAACTCTATATTGGTTGCATTCTTCGTCAAGTTAAACATAGCAGTACTAGCATTTTTGTCTACATCTCACGCTTTCCTTGTAAATTCACAAAATCGATGTCTCACACTAGGATAGGCATTCCTACACGTCCTCATTTATACTGACAATTTTGAGTGAAATAAATAATTTTAGGTAACGACCAGGAAATCAAAACCATACTGTGTTCAGTTGCTTCTCTTTTTATTGCCAATTAATATAAAGTACTTAATACAATATAAAATATCATGTTTTAAAAAAACAAAAAAGTTAGTTTGATTGCAGCTCAAGTATACATTTGGTCTGTCTTTGCACGTTCACTATTGCAAACTGCAGTAATACACATTTCCTTGAGTTTTTCACTTAATAAATTATTGTCCCACTGATTGTTGGATGAAAACTGCTTTTGCATAATTTCAATACCAACTGGTAATAGACTGTTGAATATCTCTTTTACTGCAGACCATTCACAGACACTAACGTGTGGTAAATAAAATACAATATATAAATTGACTGGTAATGACTTGAAATAAAACCAATTCAGCGCTTCAGCTGGTAAACCTGTCAAAATTGTCGGTTCTTCCAGCTTTGGAAATGGACTACTTAATCCAGAATAAGTTGGTATACATTTGATAAAAGGGGGAGGTGTCTTCAATTTAGAAGAATACTGAGTAACTGGACGACTACATAGTATATTAATATCTTTAATAGTAATTTTATCCTTATCGAAATTCTCATTATGACAAAAAACACGTTGAAAGTATCTACAAAGGATATACTTGTGTTGATAGCACAAATATTTAGGTTCATGTTCAATACAAATAATTAATGTGTTGTCATAATCTGGAAGATAGTAACTGTTGAATACTAGAGAAGTCTTCTTATATGATACTTTAATAATAGATAAACTTTTATGGGTTATGCCAGCGCCAATGATTACGAATGCACTTGTTAATGGTCCAATAGCTAGAATTACATGTGATATTGTTGTATAATCTCGAAATATCTGATAGGTGTTTAATTCTTCATCTTGCTCATTTGTGAATAGCAGGGAATTATCGGGAACATCGAGACCATTCTGGTCAACGATTGAGTCGTCGTCATCACTGTCAGAGTCGATATCACCTAATGCACGACTGAAGGCAGGGATCCGTTTAAGAAAGTATTCCATCTCTGAAAATAAAACAACGGGAATGGTTGACCAACTATTTAGGTATTTTTTTTCTTAATTTATATCACACTCACTAAGGAACATTACTTACACCGATTTGATAACGATCTACTCTTCAGTTCAGACCTTTCATATATATTATTCTTGACTGTGTCTGTATTCCTTATCATGTTATAAAAACTAATCATGTTAAGTACGCTAAGTGAAAAGTAAGCCAGACAACAATGTGGCCGGGATTGAATATTAGTTCGACTTGACAGTCACTTATAGTGGTATGATTCTGTTGCCCAGTTGATGAAAGTAGCAACTGCCAAGTCTGGGCCTCACATTTGTTGGGCGCGAGTGCCTGTTATGATTATAGAATGGTATAATTTAGTTTATTTACCATAAGTTGGATAGATATAATAAACTCAACTACGACTGCTAGAGATGCACTTAGTGCATAACATGAGATCGAGACGAGATTAAATGACTAGCAGTCATAATTAATATGACAGAAAACAAGGATACTTCTGA